CGCAGGAGAGAATATTTCAAGTACGGTGTAGACAATATAAAAACAAAGTTTTGAAAAAAAGGGGTGGTAATTGCATTTCATTGCTGAAACGCTTCATGCATTTGGTTTCGTTGTAAGAGCAACATGCAAGAAACGAGAAATACCCATAACAGCATGCCAGCTGCCTCCGGCAGCATACCAGCCAGTAGCATTATTGCTTTCCTTGCTGAAAGTACAGTACATGGAATGGAAAATCCGTATGCACCCTAAGCAGGGAAATGTTTAATAAAGAAAAAAGAGCAAAGCCGAGGTGTTATTGTAACAATGCAAGAGGGGAAAAGAAGAAGTTGAGAAAGACATGTCATGTAACCACGAAAGCAAATAATAGATGAACACTGCAATGGCTGGAGGAAAAAAGAAACAAGTTAACAAGGGTTGGTATCTAGAGCTCCTAGAGGGCATCGAGGGAACATGAGGTAGGAAATGAGAAGGGAATGTTGGCTCGTAAGAGTGTCCAGGCTAGCTTAGGGGTACAAGTAAAGAAGATTTGGGGAGGATTAGGGGCACGTTTTGAAAGGAGGAAGCCAGAAACATCTCTTAGAGGCTATGTATGGAGCTTGATGCTATGCTGACAGCATACAACTTAGCATCCGGTGGGAGGGGGAACATTGGCTGAAGAAAAATATCTGGGGTTAGAGCCGCCGGATCCACCAACGCTGCCACCGCTACCTATGTGCGCAGGGTAGCTGTTTCTTGGGACAGGACTGCCAATGTCACCAGGGGAAGTGTTAGGCATGGTACCGGACAATGGGCTCGCGCTATCGGGTTCGAATTTGATGAAGGTCCCTCGGGGCCCGGCATAATCGATGATAAGTGAGCCGCCACCGTTCTGTGAATTACCTTCTGTATCACAGATATCAACTATCTCTTCTAGGCTGATTGGAACGTCAAGCGGGGGATTTAGCTGTTCGATCTGGCGTAAGACTTGGCTGGTGCTATGGAAACCGGAGCCTTCAGGTGAGATTGCAGAGAGCTTCTTGCATGCTTGGCTGACGAGTAGACGGATGGTGACTGGTCTCGGAGTATGAGTGTGGTGAGGCCTTCCAATTACACCGAAAGCATTGTTGGACCATGTTGGACCTTCTAGGAGATTAGTAGCTGCATTAAACCGAAAAAGACATGTGCATGATATAACTTACTTGGACCAGCGCCCCATGAGGTCGCACTGGGGAATCCTGGAGGTCCAAACGGAATTGCCGACCCCCAGGTGCTGCCACCAGATGGTCCTCCTAGAGGGAAGTTTGGTGATGTGGTAGCTAACCAAAAAAAAAAAAAGACAGTTAGATTAGTGATTTCAAATGAAAAGAGATATTAAGCCGGCAAAATAGTACTTACAACCCAGCGATTCAGAGAATAGAGGGGTAGTCCCGAATGCCATTCTTCCTGGAGCTGGTATTGGCTGCGAAGGGCCGGTATTAAGTGGAAGGTCCGTATCATCCAACAATGCGCTGCTGCCTAGTTGAGTACTAAGATCATCGATATCTGGCTGGCTCGACTTTGAGCGTTCTTTTCCATGGTCGTGAACAATGCTTGACGGGCGTTGAATAGGGGCAGGGCGAGACCCTATGGGTTGATTCAGGGGAAGAGGCTCGTTATGGTTCCTATCAATCGACGAGGAGAGCTGTCCAGTGTGTCCATGTCCATGAGAAAGATTCTCCCGAGGTATCTGAATGGGTTGTGGACCAAGAGTGCCCGACATTAATGAAGAATGGAATGGTAGGGCGGCATGACTTGGCTCCATGCCAAAACCTCTGCTCTGAGTGGGATGTCTTGGGACGATCCCTGGTGGAACAGAGAGTCCTTCTGGCGATCCGATGCCTCTGAACGGACTTGCAATGGGGTTATGCTGATTCGGATACATGGAAGATTCATGGCCTAGAGAACCACGATGCCCCATTCCTGGCACTCCGGCCCCGGGGATACCATTTAGACTTGGTAGAGCATTGAACCCTGGTGGTGGTTGGCCACGACCCGGCCCTCCTAAAGGTGACATAGGTGTTGACGGCTGTGGTTGATGAAAGTTGTTTAGATGTGGAGTCATCCCCTTATTCGACACAACGCTGGAAGCACCAGATGAATGCGCAGCTCCTGGAGAGATCGAAGTTTGCAAGGTGTCTGCGTATGCAGGCTGTGAACGAGGCGAGGAAGCATGAGATCCTTGTTGGGAAGCCTGTCGAGCTCGAACGGGAGTCGGTGCCTTTGGTATAACAGGTGTAGCAACTTGGAAATGGGGCGATTGGAGCAAGTTTGGTGGCTGTGGATGATGAAGGCCAGGCGGAAAATGGGTCACTCCTGGTTGCGAGGTTCGCTTTGGATTTTGAGCGGGTAGATGTTGCTCTGGTTGAACGGAGCCAGATTCCTCCCGTCTGCTTTGCTCGCGGTCAGCCTTAGCTGCAGCGTCTTTCCCTCGTTTCTCCTGTTCCGCTTTGGCCTTCTGCTCACGTTCCTCCCTGGCTTTCCGCTCCCGCTGCTCCTTTTCTTTGGCTTCCCGCTCCTCTCGCTCTTTCTTTTTGGCTTCCTCGCGCTTCTTTTTTTCTCTCTCCTTTTGTTCTCGCTGCTTTCTCTCGGCCTCCGCTTGCCGCTCACGCTCCTCCTTCAGCCGTTTTTGCCGTTCTGCTTCTTTCCGGAGTCTCTCTTCCTCTTGGGCTTTCTTCTCCGCCTCCTTTTTCTTGCGTTGCTCCTCTTTCTTCCGTTGCTGTTCCTTGAGTTTTGCCTCTTCAGCAGCCTTTTGAGCAGCAAGCTCGGCAGCCCGTTCAGCCTCTCGTCTAGCTCTCTCCTCATCCTTGGCCTGTTTCTGTAACCTCTTCTTGTCTTTTTTCTTCTGGGCTTCCTTGGCCTTCTTTGCTTCACGCTCTTCGTCAAGCCGGTTTTCTTCTTCAAGTTCCTCTATGAGCCGTAACTGTCGTTCACGTGCGACTTTCTCTCGATAAGCAGTTAAAACCCGTTGCTCAAACATCCTAGCGGCAAATATCTGGAACATCCGTCGGCCCTCTTCCATTCGCTGCTCCTCTGTCATAGCATCCTAGAACAAAGTAATTAGTATGACGAATTCTCCTTTTCATCCTGGAAAGAAAAAAAAAATCCAGCTAAAACAAACCATTTCATCTTCCTCAAATTCATCCTCTTCTTGACTGTCATATTCTTCATCCTCATCATCCTCGTAATCTTCGTCATCTAACGGCGCCCCGTGATTATGACCTGCTTGCATTGATGGATGTGCCGCTGACGTGATGTATTGCGTCTCTTCCTCACGCTGCATCCGCCGTTCCGCTAACTGTTCCATCATATCAATAAAATGCTTTCCATCGTTTTTTAGTAAATCGTCCGCCACAGTCAGGATTCCGTCTGGATGCCATCCGTTAGCATTCATTCATATCTAGCAAACCGCCAATCAAAAGAAAAGCGTACCCTTCACTGTTAGACTATTTCCAAAGGCAAAGAAGTCGGCCCGGGTTGTTCTAGCATCAACATCGAGATCCTCGTCACTATAGGGTTCCTCGTCATCTTCATCTTCATCTTCATAATCTTCGTCTAGCTCCTCATCCTCATCATCATCTGGCAGTTCGTGTACTCTTCCTCGTGATGGATGTTGGGCGCTAGGTAGGTGAGGATGGTGATGGTGTAGGGATCGAATGGGAGTTTGGTATAGGCGGGGGGGTAGCCGGAGCGAAGTGCCGTTCTCAAAGGAGGCCTGGTTATTGTTGGCATACTGTTCCAGCTCTTCATAATATGCGTCGTATAATACCTCCAGCTCCTCCTCAATGGCTGTGCGTTTCCTGCCACATACTGTGCAGCTACACGAATGCTTCTGCTGCTCCTTCATTTTCCGTAAAACAGCTTCCTTTTCAACTTTTACTAGCGAACGGCGCTCCTCTTCGCCCAGCTGTAGCCAAAACTCTTTAATATTCTCCCGCTCTTCGTGGGTTGACGTATTCCATATTCGATCTTTTGATATCCTGTGGGCTGACCGATAGGCGCTGACGAGGGGCGGAGGGACTCCAGTAGGACGTGTTGAAGAGGTAAGAGGCGGCGGCGGAGGTGTTGAGTGAGACGTGGAGCTTCCTTCGGTGGGTTGACCTCCATTCCGACCCTTTTTGCCTTTCTTCTTTTTGCTCTTCCCTTTGGCGGTATTGTTTTGGGAATGATCTATATTATTATTGCTGTTATTATTATGGTGATGATGGCTTTCAGCTTGGCTGCGTGGAAAGTTCTGGTCGTCGTCCGAATACCATGCCTCCGGGTTTTCTATCGATTCACTCTCATTAGGTTTGTGTTGCGTTGAATTGCCAGAGTGTCCATGTCTGACGCCGTTATCGTAGTCATCACTGCCATCCTGGCCGTTTCTGTTTGTGGGGGTCGACAGATCGCTTCGTTGTTGCTCCGCGGCTAAACGAGCAGCTTGTTTCTGCCGCCTCTTTTGCTTCTTCCGGTTGACGGTTGGGGCCTGCAGATTCGATGTATGGTTAATCAAGCACCTGTCTAGTGAAGTGCCAGGACTTACGCCTTCTACAGGTGGCATTGTCGACGTGGTGCTGCTAGCATTGGCTGTGGTGGAGGCTGGGGTTGTGGCGGTCTGCTTAGCTGTGCTGGTGGAAGGGTTTTGACCCGATGAGCTTGTCGGCATGGCAGCTGATCGTTTCGAGTTGGAAGGCATTATTCTAAAGCTAGACAGCGTTAAGACTTTTGTAAGCGCGTAAACGTAGGGAAAACGGAAGAAATGCCTTATCAAAAAAAAAGTTGCGGGAGTAACGACCGAATATGAAGATTTCCCTCCGAAGATAAAGCAGGCACAAGAGGGAGAAAAAAAAAGGCGGATGCTTACTCAAACGCCTGTGAGCAGGTTCGAGGGAGCCCTCCACAGGGGCGGGAGACGGAGGACGGAGAAGGACAACTCAAGCTCGTCCAGGGCGCTTAGGAAGGTGGACTTGTCCCGGAGGTATCGCGAGGTTGGTGAGGCGGGGAGGCAGTTTTTGACGCCGGCGAAAGGAACCACGCCAAACGAAGAAACAAGCGCGGAGTGGGAAAAAGGGCTCAGACGGTGCAGGTTGCAAAGCCCCCCAGAGATTCGCTGGTCAAGAAGAGAGAAGAAAAAAAAACGAGTGCGTCTTCGCGTTGGCGGATGTGAAGTTTGAACTTGCTTGTCACTCAACTTCTTCCTTTTTTGATATTTTGGGTGGTGCAAAACGGCAAAATACAGCGAAGACAACCCAATCTGGTAAGATTAGACGCCGCAAGCGATTTTCGTCTGGCGCTTTCGCTCACCGCCCAAAAGTGCCAGTGAGACGTAATCCTGATACGATACGCTTGTAATTTTGAGCGGGTTCCTGGCGCAAAAAGTGGTAATTTTCTGTCCGGCGGCTTGTTACCACGGTAAGCTTCCCGTTTTCGCGCCTTTTAAAGTTACAAGTCAGCCTCTTCTTTAGTTATTTTTATATTAAAAAGACGACAAGACTAGGAAAAAGATGAAGAAGCTAGCAGAAGAAGAGAAGAAGAAGAGTAAGGAAAAGAAAAGAAGAAGAAGGATTGAGACTGAAACCTGACCCGCCGGTACACAAGTTGTTGCCTACTTTTTTTTTTTTTTTTCCCATATATTCTGGGCCCTTTTTTTAGCGTGTATTACCCAACAGTTATAATTTCTCTTGGAAAGGAAAAAAAAGGCGTTGACAAACAAACTTCTCCTTAGGCGAAGGGCCTTTCTTATAAACCTGAAGGGCAGGCCGTGTTTGAGAGGACAGGAAACAACCGCGAGAGTCTGGCGGTTCTCCCTGCGGATTCGGTGAAATCGACGACCCCAAGCAAAAGCCCCTCCTGGCCACATTTACACTCGGATCCTCTCAAGGACGAACGAGGAAGAAAAGCACTTTGCGCCTATGGTTGGCTAAGAAGGTGATTACGTTCCTGTCTAGCTAAATAATCCCGCTGTTCCAACCTTGGGCACCATGCAGCCTCACCTGATGGAGTAGCTGACATCCGCTTCGCTTTCGTGTTAGACACTCAGACATGGGAGTTTGATAGTTCCCGATAGCCACACCCTTCCAATACACTCCATCACTCTCAACACCATCCTATATCTATCGAACCCCGTCCGGCATCAGGCTCGAATCCAGAAAATACACAGTCACCTTTTCACTTCTCAGAACTACTCGTCTCTCGCGAAATGGCGCAGCAACAGGCAGACAATGTTATGCGAAGGTGCGTGGCAAGGATGTCTCAAACCGCGGTCGATGACTGTGTTTCGGTCTCGGACCATCACGACGCTTCTTGATACCGGATATCTTCGATCAAAGTACTGACAGGTATACTAGGAAGCTGGTTATAATAGGGGATGGTGCCTGCGGGAAGACTAGTCTTCTCAGCGTCTTCACACTCGGTTATTTCCCTACGGTAAGTGATTTCCCTTTACCCTGACTATTTATTAGATTTTGCAGACATACTAATTTCAATCTTCTGCACCTAGCACTACGTAAGTAATACCACACGGATCCAGCTTGCTGTCTTCGATCACTGACCTATCTCTGAGCCAAAGGTGCCTACGGTATTCGAGAACTACGTCACAGACTGTCGGGTGGATGGACGATCAGTACAGCTCGCCCTGTGGGATACGGCAGGACAAGAAGACTATGAACGGCTTCGCCCCTTAGCATACTCAAAAGCACACGTTCTCCTAATCGCGTTTTCAGTCGATACTCCAGATTCCCTGGAAAACGTTAAACACAAGGTTCGTCATCAGCCGTAACACCCCCTTTTTTGTTCTATCCCCCTACATGGTATATTCTTCTAACAAGAATGGTCAGTGGATTGAGGAGGCAAACGAACGTTGTCCAGATGTTCCTATCATACTTGTAGGACTGAAGAAGGACCTCCGTGAAGATCCTCTTGCTATCGAAGAGATGAGGAAGAAATCACAGCGCTTCGTCTCTCCAAGAGACGGCAGTGAGGCCGCAGCAGAGATTGGAGCTAGGAAATACCTCGAATGCTCCTCTCTCACAGGCGAAGGCGTCGACGATGTGTTCGAAGCCGCCACCCGCGCGGCACTCTTAACATTCGGGAAGGCAAGAGGCCCATGCTGTGTGATCTTATAAGATACCCACCGCACTGGCCACAAGGGTAAAAAAAATTCTTCTCGACAAATCATTTGACAACCCCGGCCATCGTATTGTTACAGCCGGTCCAACAATTAGCTACCGTACCATTCATAGGGCTCAGGCATGCCCAGACGCGACACCTATTCATTATCCTTTCTAACCTCAAAAACGACTATCAACATGACTTTCTTTCAAAATGGGTGGCTATAAGGACGGAGGCACAGGAGCCTCCTTTCTGATTCTATGACTTGTGTTATCATCATGGAATTAATTTATTTATCCTGTTTGCATCACGTGGTGTTTATTCTGAGGTGTTTTTATATATTAACTTAGGCTTGGTTTTTTTCTTTAGTCACCTTGTGTCTCGAGCCCAGCCCATCTTGTTTCTCGTCCAAGTACTCTATCACTTAATGGTCACAATTGTCTCATTTATGGATTTATCCACGGCACATGCTCCCTAGCACCTTCACAATGGCTCATGTAGTAAAGTTGTCTTCCCCAGGCAATAATAGGAGACTAAGCCGATCATTCCTCTTGCCACGGACAAGCCGGTCAGTAAAGTCATATTTCAAAGATCATATAGACAAAGGCAAGTTGATAGAGAGCCAACACTGGTCAAGTAGGCAAGCAGAAATAATTATGATAAAGTTTACTCCATCCAACCTACTGGCTATACAGAACCCCTTGTCCTATCATACTTATCTAATATACATGAGCTTGATGCCTCCATCTCCTGTCGATTCTGTTCATGGGAGTGAGCAAGCTCGAGCGAGGGCTATAGCAGAAAAACTAAAGCCAGGGAGCAAATAGCCGGCCACCATTTTCATCAACTTCATGGCTTCCAAGAATAATCCCATCCATCCTTGCTAGGACTTTCGGTCTGTAGTCGGCCATATTCAATCGGGATACCATCTGAAAACACACCTTTCTTGTTCATCGAGGTACGGAACAATTTTCCACCATCACCAACACCAGTGCGAAGTTCCTCGCATGCAGCTTTCATGCTAGCCCATTGGCGTTCAAGTTCCAGCTCCTGGGCTTTTCGCTGTTTGGCACTGTACAACTGCCAAGCTCGATGAATTGTCCAGTGGCGGAGATATCGATTACGTGAGAAATGGAGTGGACGAGGTGTGAGCGGGTGGTTGAGGAAATAACGGATTAAAGCTATGTTAAAGGGCGCGGTTAGTGATTTGTGCAAGTCATCATGGCAGGAAATGGCTATACATACTAACTCGTTTGTCAATTTTTACAGGACCCTTTCTCGCCTGTAACGTTGAACTAGAGGAGAATGGTCTGAGAGCATTGACGGAGGATATAATTGAACCTGATCCCAGTGTGTTCCTGCATGTTTGGCTGAGTAGGCCGGACCGCTGAAAGGGTGAAGGCTGGGCGGAAATCCTGAACACGCTCGCAAGCGAGTTAAGAACGGGAGAAAAATGCTGTCTCATGGCTTGAAAAATAAGGCAGCGAGACAGTAATTCCAATTTAACTGGCGACCGCCCCCCTTATATTCCGCAATGGAGGATGTTGATGCTGGTCTTGCTTCAAATCGCGATTTTCTTGAAGATTGTTAAAAAGTTTCTTGAATTGCTGAGCTAAGCCTATTTTTAATTAGGCGCGATGGTCACGAGGTGGCAGAAATAAGCGCGCAAAACTCTATGCTCCAGCCGTTTTTAGTAACGACTTTTGTATTATCTCGACATATACTCCGCGTCAGAAGGAGGTGCGTTAAACTGGTTCATCTGAGAGTAGCATCAATCTAGTTTAACAAGATATATGAACGGAATGGCACAACATAATACATCCCACCCCGAAGGAACGCCGCCAATATGCAGAATTTGATATGTATACACTTATGTACTACGATGGTAAGACAGTCTGTTTTGTCTTTTTGTCATAATTTAATATAACCCGTTGAGAGTGCAAGCGTGCGCGCTTATATCGGCAATAGAGGGAGAGAGCATCCTTGAGAAGGACGAAGACACAGCCACCAATGACGCTTCTTCCCCATCTAGTTTGGAGTAACCACGGCCGACTTCTCTCAAATAGCGGAGGGGGATTTGTCCATGCTTTTGGAAGGGTTAATTTCAACAACCCGCCCATACCGGCGGAGATGGCTGGGAAAATCAGGGCACCAAGGATGACATCTGCAAGGTTGGTCGTTTCGCGGAGTACGTCGGCCTGACGCCTTGCCATGACTTGGTTGGCTGGCTGTTCACCATTCCGGTGCTCCCCCTCTTCCGTATCGGGTACTGCTGCCCGTCCATTTCCATTTAGGCCCATCTGCAGCTCTATCTCCATAACTATTTCGCCGTCTGCTTGATCGTTGTGGGCATCCTGACCATGTCCTTGCCCGCCTTGATGCCCGTCATCTGCATTTAATCTTGTTCGCACTGTCGAAATCCACTGCCTCTCTAATTTGCCAAAGAATCTCTTGTACAGTATGTTATAGAAGCTTTTAACGTATGGTAGTGCTGCAAATGTCATAGGTGCGCTTGGTGGCCATATCTGAAGATCCATTTCCTGTTGATATGGATGGTGTGCTGCAAAAAATAGGACAGGAATCACGGGAAGCAAGCTGTCTGCATATCGAGTTCTTGAAAATATTAGTGATATTGGTATTAGCGGGAGTCCTAGGTTTATTCGAGGGTTCAATGGCCCGTGTGAAGCTCCCTCAAGCAAGCGTAGTGCGGTTTCTCTGCCGAAGACAAGGTGCATAGAGTACACTCCATGTGCACAGCATCCGGCCCAAATTGTCCCTACAAGTGTAAATGCTATCCCAGGTAACACCAAGCGGCCAATGGCGCCATCAAACTTGCGCACAAGATCGAGTATCAGGTTACTTGGCCGCGACATGTGAATCTCTGACTTGCACTGAGGGCAAAGCATCGTTGCACCGTCTCTATGGAGGTTATAGCCTTCCGTATTCTCCATGTCCGCAAGCCAGTCTAACAAGCATGCCTCGTGCGCGCTTAAAGCACATGGGCATGGTGACCGCCATTCTGTATTGAGGGGCGAATCCTCTGATTCATCGGTATAACATATCCAGCATTTCCGAAGCTCATCCTCATAGCTTGTTATCGCGACCTCCGCAGGAGAAGACGTCGTGATCTGTTCATCACTTTGGACATCTGATTCCCACTCACTGTCGGAATTTATAAGTTCCACGCTTTCTTCCATTTGTGTCCTGGGTTCAGCATCACAGTCACGTATGGAGGGTAGCTGGCGTTCGGAGGAATCGGTTTCAGCGCGTTCTTCAAGTTGATTTTCGGCGGATCGCTCATCGCAACTGGCTCCCTGGCTGATATCCGGCCGCGATCGGGACTCCATATCAGAGAAGGTGCTGCTAGACTCCGGTGAGCTGCTGGGTGCTGAGCGGGGAGGTGGAAGGGACGCCATAGAACGCAGTAGAGAGATCGGTGTTACCTACTATCAAAAGGTATTCCTAAGATACGAGGCTAAGAAGTCGTCGATAATATATAGAAGTATCGCTGCGCAACGTTCATCTCCAAGAAACCAAAAATTTATGCATGTTTAACGGGAATCTACACCAAACCGTCGATTCTCCGTAGATGCGAAAGGTTCTTTGCCGAGGCGGCAAATCCAATCAATTATCACGTGACAATCCGCGCTTGTGCATGAAACTGTTGTCGAATCATCCTTGTAGAAATCATCCAACCTATTTGAAAGGGCCTATTGGGCTATAATTCTAATAGTAGTGAATGAGTCAGAAGCAGTGTATTCATAGGTAGGAGTCCATCTCATTTGTGGGAAACATGACAATAGGGTACGAACGGCCGGCAGCACTTCTGCTCCTAGGCTATGTGCAAGCGACCCTCGGAATAAATTCTAAACAAGAATGGATGGTGAACGGAGTAATTTGCAAATTTAAGCAGCATGGATGCAAGCGGCACCTTGCACAACTCAACAGCATGTAAACCAAGCAGTATAAAAACAATTAGCCACATTGTGCACTTTTAGACCGTAAATTTTGTAACTCGCCAGACCGACCCGAAAGAAAAAGCAAAAAGCTGAGGCTGGAATAGCACATTGAAGGGGAAGAAACATCATGGATATCAAAGTCAAACGCAGGGAACATATGAAATATGCAATATTGGCAGGATGGACCTTTAAGTTAGCGTGATGGGAGTTTAAAATGTTATGTAGAGAAGTAAGGCGGAAAGCGGCTTGGAGGCCCAGGCTGCTATCAAGAAAGAAAACATCAAAGGAAGGGAAGTAGGAAATATAGAATAGGGCAGAGAGGTGATTAATGCCCAGATCGCTTCTTCATTATGGCTCTTCGTTCCTTTTCTTTGGCTGTAGAGAAAGAAGTTAGCTGAGGTATTTCTATATGGGGTATTATTTAGTATATATAGAGAGCATACCTTCATCATATACCAAGAACTCATGCAAAGCCTTTCCAGCAGGCACCATTGGCAGGACTGGAACCTTCTTGTCGGTCATAATCTCCAACAATGCTGGTCCCTTACTATCTATCAACCATTGCAGACTTGACTCTACCTGGTCCGGTGTCAAGCACCTTCGAGCCTGGACACCCATGGCCTCTGAAACAAGGACGAAATCTGGGTTCTTCTGGTGTGTATGTGCAAATCTGTCTTCGTAGAACAAGCTCTGCCATTGTGTGACCATGCCCTGTTCCTCGTTGTTTAGTACAATGACTTTGACGCCAATGTTGAACTGGGCAGCAGTCGAAAGTTCGGTGAGAGTCATGTTGAAGGAGGCGTCACCGTCAATATCGATGACAAGGGCATCTGGCCGAGCTACTTTGGCACCAATGGCGGACGGCAGGCCGTAACCCATGGTTCCCAATCCACCAGAGGTGATCATCGTGCGTGGATGGCGCCAACGGAAGTGCTGAGCAGCCCACATCTGATGCTGGCCTACACCGGTGGTGATGACAGTCTTGTCTTTCCGATGGGCTGTCATCTCACTGAGTTTTTCGATGACTGCCTGTGGTTTTATAAGGCCGTCGGGTGTTTGGCGATCATATGAAGAGAGTGGGAAGCGAGCTTTCCAGTCGTTGATCTGTGCAAACCACTCGGGTCGTTCTGCAACGGGAGTGATATGGGGGAGAAGAATGGCAAGGTTATCTGCACAGTCACCTTCGACGGCTTCGGTAGCTTCAACAACCTTGTTGATGTTCTTGGGCATCACTTCAAAATGTACGATACCACCGCGGCCTGCTAGGGCAGCGGCCTTGGCTTGGGGAGCGAATTTTGCGATATTTCCGGTAACACGGTCATCGAAGCGAGCTCCCATGGCGATGATGAGATCAGCCTCTTGCATGGCCATGTTTGCATAAGCGGAGCCGTGCATTCCCAGCATGTGCAGGGATTTTGGGTCCAGTTCATCAAAGCCGCCAAGACCTTGCAAGGTTGTGGTGACAGGGATGTTGGCTTTATCGGCTAGCTCTTTCAGCAGCGCTGGGCCTTCCGGGCGAGCGCTGAGGCCTTGGCCGACGTACAGGACCGGTTTTTTCGACATATTGATCAGCTTAGCCACACGTTCGATAGAAGCCTCCAACTGTTGCCGGCTGAGTTCACGGGCAGCAATGGAGGCTGCGCTGGGGTGAGAGGGGATACTGGAAGCCATAGGGATAGCCTTTCGCAGAATTCCACCGGTAACGTCCTTGGGAAGATCAACCAGGACTGGTCCGGGGCGGCCACTGGTAGCAATCTCAAACGCTTCCTTGATACGCCTCGGAAGCTCTGCGACGTTTTTTACCATAACATTCCATTTTGTGCAAGCTCTCGAGATACCGATAACGTCGGCTTCCTGGAAAGCATCTGTGCCAATAGAGGTGGTGGGGACCTGTCCGCAGAAAACGACCATGGGAGTACCATCCGAAAGGGCATCTTGCATCGGGGTAATGACGTTAGTGGCTCCAGGGCCTGAGGTAACAAGGACAACACCAGGTTTTCCCGTAGCTCGGGCGTATCCCTCGGCCATGTGACCAGCACCTTGTTCATGTCGTGGGAGGACAAAGTCGAAGTGGCTCGAGTTGAAGATGGCGTCAAAAACAGGCAAAATAGCACCTCCGGGGTATCCAACTGTTTGATAAGACGGAATTAGGAGCTGGTTTTTTTTTTTTTTTTTTGAGCCATTACTCCAATTGGAAAATCTGACTCACATATGTGTTTCACACCAAGACGCAACATCATCTCATGAAAGATCTGACCACCGCTCAGCCCAACAAAACTAATGGGATCCCCAGACGTTAGACTGCAAATAGCCGTATAGTAGTATAATTATGTAAACGTACGAATCATCGAGGGCCGGCGTATGCCTCCTATTAAGGGGAGAAATGTCCTGTCTGTCATCATCCTGGTTGAATGCCGGGCTAGGAATGGGCCTTGTATGTCTGTTTTGAAGCCATTAGTTTCCCCCCTAGTCTGCGATCCTGTTCTCTAGAATGTCAAGGTGTTGGGTCATACGGTGAAGAAGCGGTAGCCGTGCTCTGTCCACGCCTCGAAGTATCTAGAGACGCGGTCTTCTGTGACGGTCTTCGATGCGGCGAGAGAGCAGAGGCTACGACGGTAGTCGAGAACTGCCTCCTACCGGCCTGTGATGAGTGTGAGAGACAGCTGGCAGCTCGGAGCGCACTCCTTGACCTGGCAGACAGCATCATGGGCAGGCCTCGACGATAACCGGATGTGAAGGCGAGAGAGAAACAAGCAACAAAGATAATTGATATGTGCAGGAGAGATCGAGGCCCGATGGGGAGGGGGGTAAACGTTCTCCTTTTAATAAGTAAACCGAGGTGGGAACGTTATGACTCTTTTCGTGATCATCTTCTAGTTCGGCCCTTTTGCTTGCCTTCGCACAGTCACACCTTTTTTTTTTTTTTCTCTCTCTCGTTCTTTTTTTGGAGCTAGAGAAAGGGCGGGGCGACCTCGGCCAGTGGAAGGCCGGTAATCGGAGCTTCCATATCCTCTCATTGGTCAATAATTAATATCACGTGATATTAAGTTAGTCATCCTGGTAAATCACGTGCTTAACAGCATGTGAAAGTCGTATGACAAAACATGCTGAGTAACAGATGAGGTAAGCCACTCGAGGGAGGCTGGGGAAAGGATGAGAAAAGACGAAGAAAGACGCAGAAGCCTTTCGAGTCCTCATTATAGGCTCTGGGATAGACGAATCTAGTCCTAGATAAGAGACTGTGGGCTAAAGGAGAGTTAGCGGGTAAGGGGACTTCGTGTCTGCATCGTGTTTTCTTTCATGAGAGAAGCCTCGTCGCTTGTACGGAGCAAGTCCTCGTTCGTTCTTAAGAGGTATGGCGGCTGAGGCCGCGAGAGTGAAGCATCTCTGCTCTCATATCTACCCCGTCTGTTCTTTTTTGTCTCTCTTGTTGGAAAACGAACTGTGGGGGATGATCACTCATTTATATAGATCCTGCTGCTCTCAAGGATGCGCTTGCAGTCGGCCGAGTTTCTTTGCTTTTTGGTGGAGTCCAGCATCCTTGCTGCTAACAAACAAAAATAACACGGGGTTGCGGGCATGACGACATAGGAGGCATGCACATTATGTAGTCCTGCTCTTGTGTGTGGAAGAGTGGCCCATCTATTCAAATGCCAACTATGGGATACTGTGGAATACTGGAATGTCAACAGAACAGGCTTCATAGAACAGGGTTTAGGCGATCTAGCCCCCGGGAGATCGACTATAGAGTATACAACAACTCTTGGATTCGGAACTTAACGCCCACTAACTAGGAACTTATCAAAAAAAATATAACCCCCACCATGGATGCAGAACTCGTGCCGGAGACACAGTCGTTAAGTGACGTGTACGTAGCGGATGCGGACGCTCAACAGCCTGTAGAACCAAAACAACAGGCTAGGTGGAACAATTTGATCAAACAGTTCAAAAGCCGCTATGGCGAAGCGCCCGGTTTTGTCGCCCGGAGCCCCGGAAGAGTCAACATCATCGGCGAACACATCGACTATTCGCTTTACGACGTGCTCCCTACCGCCCTGAGCGTGGATGTTCTCGTTGCTGTGAAGAGCACGGCGTCGGGGGGCCAAGAACCAACCGTCAGAGTAGACAACACCGATTCCAGGTTTGCTGCTGGTGAATTCACCGTCTCGTCCGATCGAGAAGTGGAAATTGATGCAACCAGGTCTGACTGGGTTAATTACTTCAAAGCTGGTCTCAGGGTGGCTGTCAAGTACCTGCGAGAGAAGAGCCCGGCTTCCACCTTCATACCTGCAAATATCGATGCGTTGATCGATGGCAATGTGCCTCCCGGGGGCGGCATATCGAGCAGTGCCGCCTTCGTATGTGCGAGTGCCTTAGCTGTAGTCAAGGCAAATGGGCACAGTATCTCCAAACAGGATCTCTTAGATATATCAATCGTCTCCGAGCGTGCCGTGGGTGTTTACTCGGGAGGGTATGTTCATTCCTCCCTTGACAAGGTGCTGATATCAGCTCTTGGCTAACAATACAGCAGGATGGACCAGGCGGCTTCCATCTTCTCTCGCAGAGGATATCTCCTCTATGTCACTTTCTTCCCCACATTCAAAGTGCAGCATGTGGCCATCCCCAAGGCCACCACTGAGATCACCTTTATGGTGGCCCAGAGCTTCGTAACATCGAACAAAGCCGAAACTGCTCCCCGTCACTATAACCTGCGTGTTGCCGAATGCACTCTTGCCGCCGCAATCCTCGCAAAGAAACATAACATCACTCTCCAGAAGGACAGCAGCTCACTAGGTTATAGCCTTCGAAACCTACAGCAGGAGCTGATGCGCCGGGAGGGCCGACTCAACGACCCGTTCGAATACCAGCTTGACTCCCTCATTCTCATTGTAGAGGAAATCTTCAAGCAGGAACAAGGATACACCCGCTCTGAGATCGCAGAACTTCTGCAACTCACGGTTCCACAGGTAGAGGAACAGTTTCTCTCCTCATTCCCCGTGCAAACGGAAAGGTTCTATCTCCGCCAGCGCGCACTGCACTGTTTCAAGGAAGCTCGGCGGGTTCTTGATTTCAAATCATGTCTTGCTCGCTCCCATACACTCGATCAGCATAATTTAGAATACCTCGGACAGCTGCTCAATGAATCTCAGGCTTCTTGTCGTGATGTCTATGACTGTACCTGCCAAGAGGTTGATGAGCTGTGTGAAATCGCACGGCGAGCGGGGTCGTTGGGTAGCCGTGTGACCGGTGCTGGATGGGGCGGCTGTACAGTGCATATGGTTCCCCAGAGGAAGGTTGAGGATGTCACAAGGGCGTTGAGGGAGGAATATTATCTAAAAAGGTGGCCGGACATGGACAATCAGAAACTTGAACGGGCAATGGTAATTAGCAAGCCGTCTAATGGCTCGTTTTTGTAAGTCACCCCCATTCATCCCTTTATTTCTTGTTCTGTTAAAAGATGCTAACTTCGCAACAGGATTACCGGTGCCGCAATAACAGATGTTCAGTGACGCTTTTAATGTTATATTAGGATACTTGGATGGTGTTCTGTGTAATATATAATCCAATCATTATGTCGTTTACTTTTTCCCCATACTTCTTCACTCACCAGTAGCTCCTCCGGAAACATTTTTTCCAAAGGGTAGCAGGGACCCGAAATTCAAGAGCTCCGGTGCGTGACCAACTCCATCCCTGAGGATTAAGCGATATATAGCACCGTCAAGAGGTAGTAATAGAGTGTCGCCAACCAGGGAAGAGTCGTACACTCTATGTTAATGGCTGATAAAGCCATGCTTCTTCACATCCAGGTGTACTTTCCTTAAATGTACACCTGAAGGGGCACGCAAGGCCTGGCTCTGATCTGTTTTCCGAGGTCTGTACCGTGTATTTAACGATCCCTATAAACGGTCATAATACTGGCATGAAATCATTTCTTTGCCGGTGCTTTCGCAAAGAAAGATGACAGCTTCTGCATTCCCGATGTATTGACCTTCTTCAGATCCCTTACTCCTCGAGACATACTCGCTTTCTTCTTCTTTTCTTCCTCTTGTGCCTTTCTTTTCTTCTCCGCTTTCTCTTCAGCAGTTTCATCATCCTCATACCCACGTTTCCTTCTCGACATGTCATACATTGATCTCGACGCTTGAGCTTCAGCACGAAGTTTGGCAATGTTTTGCAGATACTCGTCTAGCGCGGTGAAGTCCTTCGGTGATGATGAAGAGTTTAATATTTCAGTAATCTTAGTTGACAGGTCGGGTTGGAGATATGATGACTGTATAAACGATAGGGCGGTCCGAATACGCATAAGATGAGATATTTCGGGGCTGTAACTGGGTTTTGGCTCAGGTACCACTTGAGTGTCCGCTGGCTCGGTGATGGCGGTAGAGATAGAGGCTTGTGTGGCAGCCGCCTCCGTTTGGGGGTCACTTGTGCTTTGGGAGGGCTGCATGTCCTTCTCGCTCTCATTCGTTTCATCTTCCGGTTCCGTAGGTGTTTCTTTGCTCACACTGAGCATGGGGGGCTCCAGTGCCTGGTGCACAAACCTGGCTTCAAGACTGGGAGGCAGCCCATTCTTCACCATTCTTTCGGCCTTTATCAATAACTCCTCCACGAGTTTCTTTTCACTGAACCTGAACATCATCCCATCACCGTCAATCGTCTCACATACTGATGCCATTCTCTTCTCGATAGTTTCTCTGAACTCTGGCGTATATAGGACTTTCCGTAGGTGTGGAGAAATATTGTCGTTGGCATCTATTATATCGTCCAGTGGTTGAAAAAGGGCACGTCCTGAATTGCGATTAGAGGGCACAATTATCGGTAGGATGAAGAACACGATGTCTATGGGTGTGGCAACATGAAGCTGGCCTGTCTTTGAGGTAAACCCTTTCTCTTGTGTTGGTTGTTCGCTGGACTCCGTGCCATTGTCCTTAGCTTCACTATCGGTTGAATTGACGAACAGTAAGCTCCGCGGTGTAGAAGACTGAGGTGAAATTGAAGTAAATTCAAACACTCCCAGCTTAGGACAGAAATAATATCTTGTAAGCTTGCCCGTCCTAGGGTTTTGAAGCTGGATGAATCGCGCGTCATCAGAGGCATCAGATGGTAAGATCAGTGTCTTGTAAAACTTCGGAGGCCCGGGAGCGTTTGGCATCACCGTCGACTCGCTCTCAACAGGCGCAGACACCTTCGTAGACCCAGCCCTTGTCTTCATATCTGCGGTTTACAGGCCTCCGTCTCCCTCCTTCAGTCACGATGATAGCGCAAAACATTTCCCCAACTTCCTTTTCTTTTCCCCTTTCCGCGCGCCAAAAAAAAAAACATGAGACCCACACGAGCTTAATTAATTTAAACGCTTGGCGATCGCGAAATTGACGCGAAAGAAAAACGCAATATAAAAATCGTTTCTCTTTCCACCTTCAAGTTTATATAACTTGATTATTTTAGGACAGAGAGCCTTCATACATTTTATCTATCTTGTAGTCTTCAAGTGAATCTCAAGAGGACCGTGGATTACAACCTTTTTGTACACGAATAAAGCCGTCTGGAGGATTCCGCACACGTGATTATCACCCCAGAAACTTTTCCCCTGCCACAGAAATCAATTCTCATTATTAATTTATTACTGGTTTTATGTAAGTGGCTGGGTATTTCGGGGTCTCCAAAGTCGACCATGGAACGATCAGATACTTGCTTGTCCTTACCATAGTAAATAAGCTGTGGAAGCCTTTTCGGAAGTCCCTTCCCAATAATTTCTGGACGCCCTCGCCGAAACAACAGTGTAGATGCGAGATATTCAACTTGCGACGACTGAGAAATTTACCTCGAGTATCCTGATTCAAGAGTGAGTTTGGCCGCTTCTATTTAACGTCTAGACTAGCTACTAAGACAGTCATAGTGGGCGATATCCCTTGGCCTCCGAAATCCCCTCTTGCCGCGCTGATGTCCTCTCCAAATGGCCGCAAGAAATTTGAAGATATCCAGAACAAAAGGCGGGCCGCCACCGAATATGGCATAACATCGGTAAAAGCGCGACGGATATTGGACGAAAATTTGGAGGATGAAGAGGACGAAGATGATGAAGAGACTTTACAACTCAAGCTTGCCGCAATAGAGGCCCGGTTGAAGCTAAAAAAACTACAGCAGAGCAAGGCACGGTTGAAGCAGGCGGATTCAGAAACTGAGAGATGTGATGATCTCTCGGGGAGCGCAAGTCCAAGGATAGAGAGCAAACTGCACCATGCAAATCGAATACTGGGAGAACGGAAAAGGAAGGCTACGGACATGGCATTTCAAGAGAATGTACAGGTTCCTCTTTCTCCAATAAAAAGGCCACCCCCACCAACAGCCCCGATATCCCCACAAAGAGTTATTTTAGGCATTGATAAGGGTCGCAAGGCGCCTGATGTCTCGCTGAGGCGTCCGAAATCCTTGTGTCTAAATAGCTATGACAACAAACAACTTATTGGCCATCGGACTGGAAACCTCTTTAATAGAGCTGCGGGTTGTGAGACACAACTATTGCCACCCGCTACCACAAGCCGCATTGAAAGACCCAAGAGTTTTAGTGACCGGATACTTGAGAGCAGGTCCACTGATAAGGAGCGGAGGGATAAGGCCTGGGCGTTACAGCGGAAAAGAACCACAGGTTTTGGCGTCGACAAGAATGAACTGGAACGATTCCACGCAGCGGCAAAGGAGTCAACAATCAATCTTGGAGCAGTTTCTACAAAACCCGAACGATTGACATCCCCCGTGCGTGTGGCAAAACCATCTATTGAGAATATACCCCCTACCTCACCGTCCAAGAGAGAGCGTGGTCAACTGTTGGGAAATACTCGGAGTAACCTAGATACCAAGCCAACCCGGACAGCGAGAAGCGAATCCTCATCTTCCATAGGAACTGAGGTCAAACCGGCGGATCCAACCAAATTCGAACCCTTCTCTTCTTTACACCTCTCTACTCGCATCCTACCCCATTCATTCCTTAAACGCACTTTCGATTCGAAAACTACAATGCGTATTCCAGACCTCTTACGAAAAGTCAAAGGACCAGAATTTGACTGCCCTGAAACGGACGGGGACTATGTTGTCTTTGGTATCGTGGGCTCCAAATCAGCACCTAAGGAACATAAAGAGAAGAAAAATGAAGATAAGAATGATGAGGAACCAGAGGATGGGCTTAATGCAAACAAATACATGGTCCTAACATTAACAGATCTGAAATGGACCATCGATCTCTTCCTTTTTTCAACTGCCTTTCCCCGTTACTATAGACTTGCCCCTGGAACATTAATTGCGGTATTAAACCCTGCAATAATGCCTCCCCCACGCCATAAGCTGCATACAAATGCCTTCAGCCTCACACTACACTCCTCCGAAGACACGATCCTTGAAATTGGAACTGCCCAGGATATTGGCTTCTGCAAGGCTGTTAAAAGAGATGGCAAATTATGCGAGTCCTGGATTGACTCTCGCAAGACGGAATACTGTGATTTCCACGTAGAGGCCCAACTTCGCAAAACTACTTCGGGGAGGATGGAAGTTAATAGCGGACCCGGTATTTCGACTAGATTTGGGGCACGTCCAGGCGGATATCGTGGCACCAGGAGAGACCAGAATGGATCCCAGGGAAGTGGCATGCGAAGTAATACGGATAAGGAAGGAAATTATGACCGGGCAACAGGTACCAGGTACTACGTTGCACCGGCTACAAACCCAACCGGCGGGACCAGACAAAATCGTTTTCCGGACATAAATAGCACAGCATCCAGTCTGTTAGACGCAGATGACCCATTCATCGATGCAGCGTCCTTCAACCGAGGCGGAAACACCAAAGCAGAACGCCTTCGAAAGCGTCTCGCGGATCAAGAGCGAGAGCGTACAATCGCCAGATCTCTGGGGGAATTCAAAGGTGTTGGGGCAGAATACCTTCGAGCCCAGCACAAGGACACCACTGAGGCTGAAGGGAAAAAAGATTCTTCTACCATGACCACAAACTCAAGCGCTACGAATAGCCAGGGAGGGTCGAATGGTAGCAGCTCAGGAAACGACCCCTTCCTTGGCCTCGATAACCTCCAGAAAAATGCAAGAGGTATCAAACTTCGGCGTGATAAGGATGGGCCTCCAATGGTGAAAAAGACGAGGTTTATTACCGCGAATGGAATAAGGGAGGCTGGTAGAGATAGCCTTGGACGAGCTACACGAGATACATCGGATTATAATGATGACTTAGACATTGTATAGATTATACCAGGAGGTACTAAACCTATTTTTCATTTCTTCTTAGGCTTTTTTTTTTTTTTTTTTTGGGGGCAGATTCAGTGGCAACATGAGTTTTGTTTGTTCATATCTGATAAGTAGCATGCATGCTTGTATCCTGGAAATTTGAATAAGTTAAATATACAGGCAAATCTTAATTACCAAAAACAGCTATCTATAAATAAAACGGGATGTAGATAACTATATACTATCAGCAAATACCTATGTAGATCTAGTAGCTTTGTATACTTCACGGTAACTTCGGACTGTAGATGCACTGGTAAATGTAACTGGTATTGGCATTAATCTCACACTACCCTATCTAAACGCGCGCGGTGACCTCCATCCATACGCCCAAACGCACAACAACAATTTGATTGACATGAAGACCCTCAACAAAGAAACAACCACATCCTAGAAGCCTTTCCTTCCGCCATTGCATCCATTGATTAGCGGTATCTTAATGGTATCTTGTGAACAAACTAATGAGAAACAAGAGAAACAAATGACTGGAACTGATATCAACCAATAAAGGCAGCCAATAAGAAGTAAGTGAAAGGGACGTTAAGTAAAAGAAATGAAAGGATTACGAAAGGATCATAGAATAGGGGAATGAAAGAGAAGGCTTTGAGTTTTTAAGACACCGCCCGAGGTCATGAACATGCAGTCATTGTAGAAAAAAAAGAAGGGGGAGAAAATACCGAGGAAAGAAGGGCAAAAAGAGCAAAGAAGGGATGGGTGATAAGGAAAGCGGGCATCTTAGAACGTATGCAAAGTAAGCTTGGCCTCAAGAAGCATAGCAAAAGAGTTCCGTGGGTGAAATTTGATGTTTAGTGGCTGCGAGACTTCTTCGAGGCAGGGCCAGATTGGCCGTCAATGCCTCTCTTCTTCGTCTTTGTGGGAGTGGTGTGGGATTTGCCTCTCCACCATCTGTCAAATGGACTGAAGCGCTTTGCAGCTGGAGTCTCGGGGTCACGGCGTTCGGCTTCGGGGTCAGAGCCTGCCCTAATGGTGTGAGAACGGAGGGAGCGTCCGGTAGCGGTTGGGGAGGAAGGGGTTTTAGGATTGGTAGTCTGTTCTTGAGGCGTAATTGGATTGTCCGATGATTCTACCTCCGTGCTAGCGATGACTGGATGGCTGATAATATCTGTCTGCTCTTTCTCCACTTCAACGATAGTTGAAGGGGTGCTGGGCTCTTTTTCTTCCTCACGGTTATAAGCAGCGGTAGCTTCAGGGAACAGAACACGAGGTTTGATAGATGAACGAGTCAGAGGCCGAATGCGGGGTTTGGACTCATTGGTGAGTTCGCTGCGAGATGCCAAAAGACCCAAGTCATCGTCATCTTCCTCATCCTCCTCTGTCTCCGGCTTGAATTTGCGGAATATTTTCTTTCCTCGGCTGGAAGCTGTTAGTTAGCACCAATCTCTTATGCATCGGAAAGAGCATGTTTAATATACTTACAAAACATAGAGTAGCCCATCGTCTCGACGTATGGCTTTATCCACATTCTTGTCCCGTTTATAGCTATTATCCTCGACTTTCCTGCGTTTGGTACTGTCTGACAAAAGTTTTGAGGATGATGGCTCAGGATCAGCAGATTTGCTTCGGAAAGGGTTGTCCAAGCTATTGTTCACTTGGGGAATGCGATCTCTGGAGTCAGTGAAAATAGATATTGGCTGTTGGTTTGCCCGCTGAGGATCGGCCTCGAAGCTTTCAAGTGAGAAGCCACTATACTTCTTGCTTCTTGAGCGTTTTGGTACCATGGTGCCCAGGTCTTCTGACTTGGAACTACTAGGGAACAAGGTACGAGCTGTAGATCCGAGATCTTCGATCTTTTTCTTTCGAGGAGTTTTCGCTGGCGTAGGAAGCATCCCGTTGGCAGCTAAGCTGTTGTTGATATTGGTATTCATAGTGCTCTTGGAAGGAGGATGTGAAGAAGAAGCAGGATCAGGTTTGACTCTGTTCTTTGGCTGAGGTGAAAGGGAGGAACGGGTGTTCATGTTTTGTCTTTCACTTTTTCGCTTAGGAGAATTGTGTTGTGACTGTGGAGGAGAAAAGGTTGCTCTGTCACTGACGCCAAGCTGGCGTAGCTCCTGGTCGCGTCTTAAGTTGTGTTCTTTAAAGAGCTCATTGGCACTCGCGTCTAGAGCTGCAGCAGAGTCACTAAGCAAGTGTTGCTGGTCTGCAATGCGTTTAGAACGGCGAGGAGAGTATGGCTCGTATGTATCATACCGAGGGCCATAGCGAGGAGTGGGAGGAGTCCGGATGGCAGACGACGGCGGCGGGGTGGTCGTCATTGTTACCTGGTTACCAGGACAAAATAGGGTGTTTGTTGTATGTAAGGGTCTTCTTATTGGTATCCTCGACTATCACGTCTTCATGGAAGGGAGATGGCTGGTTCTGAGACAGTTGAAGGCGGTAACGCGTGCTCTTGACACTCTAGTACTTATAAATAGTACCTTTTTTAAAAAAACACTGCTTTAGACGTGACAGACAACTGGATGTCTCTATCTCTCCATTTCTCTCTCCGTCTCCTGTGTGTGTTTGTGTGAAGAAGTAGAAAAAAGCGGGTGGTTGGTTAGAGGTGAAGTTGAAAATTGCCTTTTTGGTCTTTTACCAGCCACACACCAAAAAAGGAAAAAAAAACAGGGACGCGCACGACCCACTAACAACAAAAACCCAACTTGGCTTAGCGTGTTTTTGCTCCCACTTTTGAAGTACATACATTAACGCCTGGGCTAAGAGTATTCTTAAGAGACGTGACAGAGAGACGTAGTGTGGTGTCCTTTATATACCATGGCTACCCCCATACCTGAAATGGATGATCTACAGCTACAGGAGAAAGAAGAGCCCTGGAATTCTCGGGCAGAACTAGGCTCGGGATGGCCAAAGGAGAGTTACCAACATAACAATGATGCGGCACAAGCCGAAGACGACAGAGAGGCAGCTCTGCGGTCAGAGTTGAAATCAGTACGGGATATTAATGCTGTAATTCAAGGAGTTGTTGAGAGTCTGGAACGCGCAAAGGGGAATATGGAGGTACGAACCACCTACTCACTTAAAAGAGTACACTCAGTTCACTAACATGGGCTCATTCAGAGCGTTTCCCGGACAGTATCCTCTGCATCCACATTGCTTGATACCTGGACTCGAATCCTTTCTCAGACGGAACATAACAGACGACTCGTCCTGGATCCCTCATGGCACGGTGCTACCCAGGATATGGCAGATATGGAAACTGAAGCTCGTGAGAGACAGCAGGAGGCAGAACGAAGAGAGCTAGAGTTACAACAACGCAAGCTTGAGCAGGAACGGAAGGCTGAGGAAGAGCAACGGAAGAGGGCTGCACAGACATCTTCTGCTAACAGGGGAAGACGAGGGATCGTAAGGCCGTCGACACGGGCTGGTGTGAGTCGCACTCAAAATGTTTCTAGAACACAGGCTGGACAGACAACCACGCGAGTTCCAACGAGCTCTAGGGGAATACCTACTGCTAGAAGAGCTGGTACTGACACCGGGAGGAGCTCAGGGATTGCAAGAGGTCGGGGGAGGGTACGAGGAGCATAAGTGCGCTGGTAGGCCCAAGTAAATAGACAGAGATATGATACCCAAAAAGTTAGACATAATCAATATAGAAACGAGATATGACTATTAAAAAGGAAGGCAACAAGTTATTTAGTGTTCGCTCTTGATAAATAGCTATCCTTGCCTATGACATATATAGTACATCACGCCAAGCCCGCTTGGGTCTTGAGCTCTTCTGCATGCTTAAATTATCAGTTGACCCGAAGTGAAAAGGCAGCAATAATTAGGCACAAATAAACGAATCAATACTCTCTCTCCATGAAGAATATCTAGAGTACATCCTCAGCCTGCGCCAGCAACCATGAACTTCGCGCCTTACCGGGACCAGTCTCCTGATGTCGAGCGTGCGCTTTCCCCTCCACTGGCAAATGCCAACCGCATACATACCTCGTCTCCCCGTCATACACCTTCACCACTAGGCCAGAACCACCCAAGACACTCATCCAGTCTGGACCAAAACGTCATGAGCAATGCGCAAGGGTTTGGATCCGGGTTCGGGAGAGATATCGAGGGAGGGCGCATGAGCCTGGGTGCGTTCGAGACAAGCCTTCCACTACGTATGGACTATGAAGCTATGCTGGCGTATCTCTTGCTACCACCGGCAGGAGGCGTGTTTTTGCTACTGACAGAACATAAGAGTGATTATGTACGGTATGTGTGACTTGCTGTGCCTGCAAAGTGGAATGAGGAGGTATACTTATATTCTCAAAATAGGTTTCACGCCTGGCAGTCTAGTCTACTATTCACATTTATGTTTGTACGGATACCTTGACTATTTCAGCTATTTTTTTTACTCTTTCTAACGTATTTAGGCTATTCATATGTTATTTTCTTGGTCGAGCATCATATCTTGGCTACTATTCATATTCAATCTTGGGCTGATTGGGTTCCTCAGTATGCACGCTTATCGTGATGGTGAGTACGTACATCGAGTTTACCTGTATAAGTTTACTGACTCTGGGATTAGTTGATTCTCTGGAGCATTATCAAGTTCCTATCTTCGGGCCCTTGGCCAACTCTTTTGTTGATGATGAGTGATGCTGTCTATGATGAGATCTTGGTATAATATTTGGAAGTGGTCTTTTGTGCTTAATTTAATGCCTGCTATCTGTATGCCTTTTGTATGCTCTTTGGTTTCCTTACTCTTTCCGTCCTCCACAATGCATCATTAGATACCTACTTGACGTTTCTTACTACTGCGCATATACTTGTATTCTATCCTCTCTACAACCTAATATCTGCCTTTACATCTGCTTTCCCTTTTGTATATATTCTAGAAGGATACCCAATACCAAATTACTCAAGCTTACACATATTTTTAGCATTACTTGGGGACATTGGAGAAGGCTGGTATGGTATCGGATCGTATTATTTACGGGTCATGACAAAGTGAAGGCATAACAACAAAAGAAAATAAACAACTCAGCTCACTGCAGCACATAGGGGAAGGGGGGAGACGGTTGAGTACTACTGACCGGAATGACTTAGCAACAAATGAAAGTGAGGTAAAAAATATTGGAGGGTATTCAAAGCTTTAGCAAGTGCAAAGGAGTCATCAAGTTGATAAGGTATTCAGGGGTGAAAAGGGGCATATTGTGGGAAGCTAACAAACAGGGTAAGCACAACAAAATAGAAATGATGAAAATGTTTCCAGAAGTGCATTATTGCAAGTCACGGTCACAGGGGTGTAAAACGGGGAGGGAACGGCCAAGGAGGAGATTGGGAAAAAGAATAGGAGAACGACAATTATGGCCCTCATATCGAAAAAATAAGAGTACCAAGATAGTACAATGAGCCCCATATATGGGTGGGTATAGTAAATTCAGATAGTCCAATGCCCAGTATTTTGGAAACGAATGGTTTGAAGGTAAAGAAAAAAAGGTTATAGCGGAAGATTAACAAGGTTGAAGGTAGTTGCTAGGCACTAGGCCTGGACGAGTGGGCTGGTTGGTGATTTCAGCTTCCCACCATCCATCATCTTGATGCCTTAGAACGGCAAGGATATCTCCTTTGGCAAATCCAAGTTCCTCGGGAATGGCCGCGGTGTAAGAATACATCGCACGAGCTGGGAGAAATTAGACAAATAATATATCAGCAAGGGGCAAATAGAGACTTACCAAAATGCAACACTGGCCTGCCATCGCGACTGACTTGTGGAGCTTCTGCCATTATTACGCTCCTGCTTCCTGAATGTTGATCTTGAGCTCCATGGCCGTAGTCCCCGTGGCCATAGTCACCATGGCCGTAATCATGAGGAGCACCATAATACATGGAGTGAGGGCGTTGCTGCTGCTGGTGGGCGTAGGCGTTCCCGCCGTGATAACTTCCTTGATAACCTCCCTGATAAGCGGAATACCCGTCGCCATGTCCTCCTATATGTGGGTTTACTTCATTGGATGAGAGCTGGAGTTCCATACCATTGGCACTTGCTGGCCGCTCTTGTCTTCTAAACTGCGGCTGAGGAGAGACGGATCGTCTAATATCATGTCTCACATCATTTGGTGGTGGTTCATTTCGCACTTCATTGCGTGGCGGATCGTTTCGTACTTCATTGCGGCTATCGTGCCTCACATCGTTGCGTGGCGGCTCGTTTCGTACGTCTTGCCTAACTTCATTTCTTGGTGGTTCAGCTCGTACTTCATGCCTAATCTCGTTTCGTGCAGGTTCGGTTCGTATGTCTTGCCTAACTTCATTTCTTGGTGGCTCGGTTCGTATCTCCTGTCTTACTTCATTCCGTGGTGGTTCATTGCGTACTTCCGTTCGAATGGTGTTTCTAGTTTCTGTCCTAGGCTCATTGCGTACTTCAGGTCGAGTGTCGTTTGGAGATGCTTGACGAGAGTATTGCGGGGAACGAGAGGGCTCTCGGACAACCTTGGTGGGTGTTGCGGACTGTGAGTGCGAGTGTCTATATCTACTGTTCATGCTCTCAGATTTGTATGCAGGCACACTTGGCTGAGGAGCATTGTTAAGTCGAGAAGGTGCACGAGTATTGGTATTTTGTGGTGGTTGAGGGCTTGGGGACCTCTTGGGAATAGGGGATGTGGCCCGCGGGATGACCTGATCCGCAGTATTGGCCCTTTCCCTAGTACGAAATGGCTTGTTAAAGAGGCTTTGGGTTTGGCCCACATACTTTCGAGTTGTTTTGTGCATTTGTGCAGAGGTGAATGCTGGTGATGGCGCGTCTAAGCGCTTAACGGGCATATCTTTGTAGGATGGCGGGGGGGCTTCGCGCTGGGAAGAAGTAGATGGCCGATTTGATGCAGGGGCGGAAGCAGGGGCAGCAACGGGGGCTGGTACGGAAGTGGGGGCGGGGGCGGGAGCTTGTGCCTGGACTGGAGCAGGCGCGGGAGCAGAGGCAGGTGCAGCTGGAGGAGCCGGGCTTGTGATGCCAGCATATCTATCAGCAGATACACGTATGGAAGTCTGCTTTCCAACACCCTTAAGGTCGGCTAGGGCCTGGGCAATTGGGTCCACTTGTTCGTTTGCAGGTTTAGACGCTTTGCTAGCCTTATTAGCATCAGGGGAGGCAACATCGAACACATTGTTCCCAACATTCAGTTGGAAATTCGCTCGAGGATCTACGGGCTCAGGGCTGGGGACACGACGACTAGGACCTAAGTCGGATTGGGTTCCCATCAGAGCTCTTGTTTGTTTAGGGGGGGCGGCCCATGTTCTGCGATTTTGCACAGGCGCAGGAGCAGCTGATTCTGCCCGGCGGTCTTTTTCATGCTTGCTCTTCCTGCGGAATGGACTATTGCTAAAGAAACCACTCCTCTTCTTCTGTACCTCTTTTGTTGATGTCATAGTAGCAGGCGCCGGGGCCGGGGCCGGGACCGGAGCTGGAGCTGGAGCCTTGACTGGGGCCGGCGCAGTTGCAGGAGCAGAGACAGGGATAGGGGCAGGCTGTACAGCAACAGGAGCATGTTTTACCGGGGATTGATGTCCGCTCAGTGGTTCCATGCTAGAAAAAGAGGAAGGGTTAGAGAGATCGCTCTGGGAGTCTCTATTTGATGGTGTAGCAGAACTTCTTTCTGACGGTGGTCCAGGGCGGCAGAACATTGTCATACCGTCGGCCGGGTATTCATTATGAGGTATATTGGTAGGTATATCACCATGCTGGCTAGGTTGATAGTTCGGAGGGACGTGCTGCTTTCTCCTCGGTTCTGGGGCAGGCTCTGCTTCAACTGGGGGTGGGGCAGATGGTTTCTTTTGGGGAGTTGCAGTATTTTCACGACTTGATTGAGAAGTTGGGATCATATGCTGTGTAAGCTCTGAATTGGGGTCGTGGTGGGATTCATAAGTTGAAGGCTGGGGTGATGAGCTTCTATATGCCGGATTGATAGTACGCTGAAATTGTGCGACTGAGTAGTTTTCCTCCTCCGAAGCCTCAGAAGCAGTGTCGTTCAAGTCACTCTCGGCAGAAGTTGATATATTTAGGGGGCATCAGGTATCTCTTGGTCAGTTGACTTTTCCTTAATAAAAGAGGCAATGTCCTTCTCGACCTCACAATTCTCGAGGGAGACACGGATCTTCTCGCAAGACTAAAGTTAATAGTTAGCGTATGGTTATCGTTGTGTTCATTCTTCTTACTTACAGCATCATCGCTAACACACCCAGTTGATGCTATGTTGGCATAATTCCATAAACTGCTCTTTGAAAAATCGAGTCTCTCCTCTTCTAGATCTTGAAATTTCTATTTTACAATTAGTAAACAGATGGAATACTGAAATCAGACAAGAAAGTATTACTTACGTCACAAGCTGCCTTCCACTCCTTATTCCAGCGACCAGTGGTCTCCTCCAATACTTTAATGGCAGCTTCGTATTCGCTACTGTTTGAAGCCAGCTGTATCTGAGTCTTCTCTAGTTTGGCCTTGTTTTTGCGTTCCTCCTGGCCCATAACCATGTGGCCTTGGGCAAGGTAGCCCTTAATTCGAAGACAATCCTGCTCATATCTATCTCGAGACTGGAATATAGATCAGCATTGCGCAATGGGGATATTGCCAATGGGTTCTCGGGACGGGTATATATACCTTGTTTACAGCTTGAGTATGCTGTATCTTAACCTTCAGAAGTTTCTCTATGCCATGCTGCACGATCTTTCTCCTCTCCTTCATTCCGCCGGCGAAGGCGGCCAGAGGCTCTTCCAATTCGGTCTTCATCTGGGCTGCGATTGCAGAGTGTGTCTTTCCTATTGCCTCTGTCTCTCCTCTAACAGTATCTAACGATGAACGGAGTGTCCCGGACTCGTGTGCTCCAAGAGGTTTGCGGCAAAGGGCAATGAGCTTTCGAGCGTACTCATCCTCGATCGCAGCTCGTGCTATCCAGGTATATCAGCAATGGCTCCACTACATGGCTGCCAGCATAGATAGCAACTCACTGTTATAGAATGACCTTAGTTCGTCGCATGTCAACTTAGCATTGTGCATGCGCTCAAGCATAGGTAGGACGCCAGCGTCATCTTTGCCCCAGAAGTTATTCGCAACTAGATAACGATCAGCTTGCAGCTCCAGTATCAAAACTATAACCACGGAAGCCCCAACTTACAGGATAAAGAAATAGAAGGAGCATCCGCCACTGCAGCCGGCATCGTTCCAGATATAGATATGTTATAGATATGTTTCGTTCCAAGCTATATGCTCTTGAGGTTTCTTTTTTTTTTTTGTTTCTGGTTTATATGTTTTATATGTTATTCGTGAGGTCTGATAACAAGGAAAAGAAAATCGTAAATCGTAACAGAGAAAGTGAGTGATACTGGGGGAGCTTGTGGATTTAGAATAAGAGAAGGGCAGAAGGGGAAAAAAGCGCTTACAGGTCGAAGGTCGTCGTGTTTACCCTTTTCGGTTGCCCAGGGCAACGTATCACGTGATGCTTATTCATCAACCTGCGCAAGTGGCTCGTCCCGCCCGCCGGATCTTTTTTTGCCCGTTTTTGTTCTTTCTCCAACTTCAACTTCACAACTTCATCAACTTCAAGCCGTCAACGACAAAACGTCAACTCCACGTCAACACCAAACGTCGACATCGGGACTTCCCCTCAAGCAAAAGAGGGATCCAGACAGTCTCTCTTCTCTCTCTTCTCTCTGTCGAACTGCCGAACCTCAGCAACCCCGGAACTTTGCATCTCTCGCTCGACACTAACAATCGAACCACAAAGCCCACACCATCCTTGAGAGGTTTGCTCGCTTGAGGTCACCCTGCAGGAAACCAAAAAAACTGCTTGGGGGAAAAAAGAAGCCCAACCAAACCTGTTATATCAACATTTCAAACGCCCAATCACGATCAGATCAAATGATCGCGTCTCCTAGATGACCTTCCCTTCCCCTTCTCACTCCGCCCAATCCTCGATTGCTTCTGGCACCGATAAGCCGTCTACTGCTCGATCTTCAAGGCTTCAGCCGTCAGCTTGGGGCGGTTCCTCATCCCAAGCATCCGTTCGTCGCCCTCTGACCCTTGCGACATCCAACCTATCTTCGTCCACTGGTACCTCTTCTCCGTCTCGCCGGACGCCCGCGACAGGTGCAGCTGCATCTCCGTCCCACAGTAGCAACCCAACGCCTGCCTCCGGGCCTGCCACGTCTCCATTGGCCTCGACCTTCTCCGCCATTCTGAGCTCGACCTCTCGTCTTCCGGCTGCGCGTGGAAACCCTTCACCAGCTCCAACGCCATCCCCCTTTGCTTCTTCTTTCCAAGCTGGCGCACAGCACCCTACGCAGCAACAATCAATTACATCTCCAAAGTCAACTACTACACTTCCCCCTTCAACAGTCTCGCACCTGGCGACCCCAACGGCTTCCGCACCAGGAGGAGGAGGAGGTAGTGGTGGGGGTGGAGGAGGCGGAGGCGGTGGTACTGCCGTGTCAAGGGGCGCCACGTTCTCTCCTCTGTTGACCGGCACAGCCGTCGGCTCTCCTACTGGATTTCCGTCCGATAAACCCTCTTCCGCGAACTTGTCATCGAGTGGTGGCGCGGCCTCGAGTCAATCGTCACTCTCTAAGATCTCAGTTGTTCAGGTTTTCCTCTTATTAGACTCGATCAACGAAAAAGAAGGAAAGGAGAAGTGGGAAACTAAAGCCGCACAGATTCATAGGGTTAGTGTTTCAACATCCATGGCTCCCTTTTGACCAATGACTAACAGCTTTGCTCTCATCTGCTTTTAGCTTGTAAATTCGAACGGCATGGAAGTGTTTTCAAAATACTTCCGCCGTTTGCTGTCAGGCAATGCTGGCCAAATCTTCTCTGGCGCCAACAAAAATGTTGATAATTCCGGGAATTACCCCTTACTCGTCCAGGAAATGCAGAAGGTGGCTCTTGACCCTGACCAGAGTCGAAAGATAGCGGAGACGATCGATACCTCTGAAGGTGATATCTTCAGAGACTTTGATCTTTCCACCTTCCTAGACCACTTTAAACTTGACCCTATACTCAAAACCGCTCTCACCCTCGCTTTCAAAAACGTCACTAAATCTGACCTCCGTACCAAAGGTAAGCAAGCTATGCCTGCAGCATTCTACGCAAGACACTAACTCTCTACAGCCGACGCAATATTATCAGCGTCACTCCCTCAGTTCCTTCAAAGCCTCTCTACTGTTTCCGAAACCAATAAAGACTCCACGCCGTCCTTTATTGCTTTTACCATCGAACGACTTATCTTTAATCCACCACGTAATTTTAACGAGGACATGAAGAGGAAACTTGTGTATGATGTTCGCATACGATACCAGAACACTGATGCCGAAATCCCGATTGAGATAGATTCTGCTCTGCAGATGTTTTCGCTTGCAGATCCCCGCCTGTCACTAGTCCGCCAGATCCAGGCTCGTGGCCCTCAGTCCTTAGCAGACCCTGACACCATGCTGGACACCATTAAGGCAGCTGGTCCTGACGCGTTCAGTGGGGAACAAATTGGCAATGCAATTCTTTTTATTGTCCTGTCTCAATCCTGGCAACAGTATCCCCTCGACCTTTTAGTCTCAACTCTTCTGAAGCAACACGCATCACAACCGATAAATTGGTCTGAGGCTGTACGACAATTTGACAAGGATGGACTTCGCGTCGATACTTTTCAGTTCACGAGAATATTCAATGCCTTTCTTCCTGTTGCTCAGGAGGACAATATGCTAGACCTCCAGTTGCTTTGGGGAGGTGACTGGAACTACAAAAACGCCCAGTTCTCTTTTCTGACCGCCTTTCTCACTGCCGGAATAGACACGCCTGGCATCGATACATCCCAAATCCCTAACTTCCGCTCCGCCTTTAACCCCGAAATCTTTGATGATGCCTCTGAGACAGTCAAACAACAGGCAGAACAAACCAAAAATAATCCTCTACGCTCCCTTGACGCAACGAAGGCTATTTTTGACCTAATCCTTGTCTCTCCCGCCACTTGGGCCCTCCCGGAGAGTCAAAACTTCGTCAAGACCATCCTCCAACACGACCTTCCCACATTCCTCTGCTCCGCTTTTGCCGTTCCCCAACCGTGGACCAATGTTCAACATAATTTCCTCGTTCGGTCTTTCATGATATTTATTTTGAAGCGCCAGGATGGATATCAGTTTGCTCTTCATGGAGTCTGGAAGCTCAACCAGCAGTGGGTTGGAGAGCAACTATTCCACGCCTTCACTCAAGATCCTTCTTGTACCGACCTCATTTATGAGCATGCTGTTGAACATGGCTGGCTTGACTATTTACTGGACTTTACTAACGGCCTTGCTATGGATCTTGCCTCTTTAGCTCATCAGAAAGGCACATTTGACCTGGAACATTGGGTTAAGGGAACAGCAGGGAAAACACCTGTCGATATGGGCGGTTTGCTTGCTAAGTTTCTGAGAATCAAGGCTGAAGATGAATTGAGAGTACAGCGAGGAGAACAGCCGGCTCCGCAAATGGTTAGCTTATCAGTAAAGACGGTGTTTGCTCTCCTAATGATCCTGGAAGACTATATCACTGACCACGAAAATCTTACCCCCATCCAACGGATCTGTCTCCAAACCTATCCAAGGCTCATTAACTACGGTGAAGGTTTTGATGATGTAATCGAAGCTAACAGTGCTCGAGGCAATGCCATCCCTGAGGAGGTAGACAAGAAGATGCGTGATCTCTTTGGGAAGATGTACCATGAAGAACTCTCTCTTCGAGAAATCCTTGAACTGATGAGACGGTACAAATCCTCTCGTGAGCCTTCCGAGCAAGATCTCTTTACATGCATGGTCCACGGTCTCATTGATGAATACCATTGTTACCATGAGTACCCGCTTGAGGCCCTCACGAAAACCGCCGTTATGTTTGGTGGCATTATCAACTTCAAGCTGATTTCAGGTATTCCCCTAAAGGTCGGCCTTGGAATGATTTTAGACGCTGTACGCGAGCACGAACCCCACGAGTCTCTTTATAAGTTCGGCGTTGAAGCCATCGAACAGTTAATCGGTCGTCTTCCAGAGTGGGTTGGATTCTGCAGCCTTCTCCTTCAAATCCCCAGCCTTCACGGATCAAGCATTCACCGGAAAGCTGAGGAAGTACTCCGTGAACAGGGCCATCATCCAATCAATGGCGTTGATGGAACTGAAGTCAACGGTGTGACCGACGGGCTGTCACTTGCTAATGGTAGTATTAACGAATTGGTGAACGAAGGAGCGCCTCGCAAATTTCAGTCCCTACATGTAGACCCACCACTTCGACCGGATATTTATAAAGAACCTGACGAAGACACTCACGACAAAATCCTTTTTATTCTCAATAACGTCTCAGAGCAAAACATAAAGTCAAAGCTTCAAGATCTTCGAGAAAGTTTAAAGGATGAGCACCACCAATGGTTTGCTTCTTATCTTGTTGAAGAGCGAGCGAAACTACAACCTAACTTTCAACAACTGTACCTGGACCTTTTGGAGCTTATTGATGACAAGACATTATGGGCAGAAGTGCTTAGGGAGACATACGTCAGCGCTATCAGGCTACTCAATGCAGAATCCACAATGAATTCTACCCTTGACCGTACTCACCTTAAGAACCTCGGTGGTTGGCTAGGCTCTCTGACTATTGCGAAAGACAAACCCATCAAACATAAAAATATCTATTTCAAGGAGCTACTTATTGAAGCTTTCGACAGCCAACGCCTTACAGTAGCCATTCCATTTACCTGCAAAGTCTTGAGCCAAGCAATGAAGTCTTCAATATTCAAGCCTCCAAACCCGTGGCTGATGGACATTATCGCCTTACTTATTGAAATCTACCACTTTGCGGAGCTGAAGATGATTCTCAAATTTGAAATCGAAGTCCTTTGTGGGGATTTGGAGCTTGACCACAAGACAATTGAGCCCTCAACATGCATTAGAGAACGCCCTGCGCAACTACATGAAGGACTACCGGTTACTTGCCTCCCTGAAGGGTTGGAGGCATTCGATGAGATGTCCCTCACTGGTATGAGCCGTGGCATTAGAACGGAACGGATCTCCCCTTCTTCCATTATTTCAAGCCTGCCTAAGCTCGACCAAATTCTTGTATTCCCACCATCTGCGGACCCCAACACTCTGAAACAAATTGTCCATGGTGCCGTCGAACGCGCAATTGCTGAGATTATTGCGCCAGTCGTTGAGCGTTCTATCACTATTGCCTCAATTTCAGCAGCTCAGTTGATCCTAAAGGACTTTGCTATGGAACCAGATGAAGAAAAAGTTCGCCAAGCAGCCGGGACTATGGTTCGTGCCCTTGCTGGTAGCCTCGCACTGGTTACTTGCAAGGAGCCCCTGAAAATGAGCATGACGAACTATATTCGTATGATCCAGCAAGAGTATTCCGATCAACCCATGCCTGAAGGCCTCATCCTCATGTGCGTGAACGACAACCTCGATGCTGCTTGCGGTATCGTTGAAAAGGCAGCTGAGGAGAAATCCCTCCCTGAAATCGAGAAAGTAATTGAGTCACAGCTTGAGGCTCGTAGACGCCATCGTATCGCGCGACCCAATGAAGCATTCATTGATCCTTCCATGAGCCGTTGGGCTTTGTTTATTCCGGAACCGTACAGACAAGTCCCTGGAGGGCTCAATAAAGAACAGCTGGCCATATACGAAGAGTTTGCTCGCCAATCGCGTGGAACAGGCCAGTCACACATCCAGCATGCATCAACAGACTCGGGTAAACAACAAATTCCTGATGTTCTACAAGAGGCTTTCCCAGGCATGCCTAACATGGCCGCTCCGGCTGACCAATCCACAATCTCCCACCCTGCTAGCCGAGGCCCGCAAGATGCCGATGTACAGCAACAGGCGCTTTCGGGTGCTCAGCCACAAATCAACGGCTTTTTAGAGGCATCTACTCCGCGCGAGAAGATTGAAGCGCTTGTCACAGACCTTCAACAGACTACGCGATCTGAGAAGGATGAACACATTAAAGATATTGGGCGTGAGAGCCCCATCCTCCACTCGTACAATCAGGTTCTTCGAGCTATTCTGTCATCTCCAAACGGCGAAGATTTGGCAAGGTTGGCTGCTATTAAAATCTGCAATGCCCTTTACACGCAAACCGAAAAAGTTTTGGAGATTGAAGTTCTCGTCCATCTATTAACGAAAATTTGTGAACTTTCGTCGCTTGTGGCAAGATATGTCTGGGCTGTCCTCGCTGAGGTTGACGATGGACAAATGTTTAATGTTCCCGTTACCGTTGCTCTCATCGACGCCGGGTTAATGGATCTTCATCGAATTGACATGGTGCTCGCCAAATTGATAAAGGACAAGAACCTCAGCGCACTAGAGTTATTATCTGCATTAATGAACCGTGTACTGTTGAATGATGAACCATCGGCCTTACGATCTGACTTTTCAGGTAGTTTGGATGCATTAAATCAATGGGTCATGGAAGAACCAGAGCTCTCTCCTGCTCGTGACATCATCCAGACACTTCGAGAGTCAGGCATCCCGGAAGCGGCAAACACTCTCTTAACTGATCTAGCTCGGTCTAAGAGAGACCAGATGGAGTATATCTTTAGTGAGTGGATTGGAGTATACAAATTCCCTGGATCCAACGACAGAATGTACAGTGCCTTTTTGAAGGACATGCACCACAGACAGGTCATGAATACACAGGAAGATTCGGCTCTGTTTTTCCGGCTTAGCATTGATATATCAGTTGCCATGTTCGAACATGAATATCAAAATGTTAGCGGAAACATCGACGAGGCATTCTTATATATTGATGCGCTCGCCAAGTTGGTTGTATTGTTGGTGAAATTCCAAGGTGACGCCGATGGTGCTGTTAAAGCCAACAAGTCGGCCTATTTGAACTCTATCCTCTCTCTATTGGTTCTGGTTCTCAATCATCACCAAGTTATGCGAGGTGATAGCTTCAACCAGCGAGTGTTTTTCAGGCTATTCTCAAGTATTCTTTGCGAGTATGCCGGCAGTGGTCTCCCACAGACAGACCAGCACAAAGGCATGATGCTAGCTTTTGCAGACAAATTTTCGTCACTTCAACCTAAGCACGTACCGGGTTTCATTTACGGATGGTTGTCTTTGATCTCCCACCGCGTGTTCATGGCTGAAATGCTTACCATGGATGACCAGATGGTAAGTCCCTGTCTTTTAACTAGAGACTACCTGACAGACCTTTTTGCTAACTACATATCTAGGGCTGGGAACCGTTCTGTGAAATAATGCAAGTGCTGCTATCATATATTGGTGAACAGCTCAAATCAGCATCTGTTACCTATGTGGCCAAGGACATCTATAAAGGAGTACTCCGAATTCTTCTAATTTTGCACCACGATTTCCCCGAATTTGTTGCAGAGAATCATTTCCAATTCTGCACTGTCATACCCACTCATTGCAGCCAACTCCGAAACCTCGTGTTGAGTGCTTATCCTTCGTCGTTCCAAAAGCTGCCTGATCCTTTCCGCGACGGCTTGAAGATCGACCGGTTGGAGGAGATGAGTAAAGCTCCAAAGATCACTGCAGATATTATCACGCCTCTCCAGGATGCAATGATCAAAACACCAGTGGATAATGCTCTACGAAACTTTAATGTCGCCGATGCTGCTATTCAACAGATTTCAGAGACCATTTATAATCCTCCAGCACGAGAGACCGGGTTATTTTTCAGCCCAATCAATGTCAATACGGTTCTTCTAGAGGCACTTGTTCTGTACGTTGGTCAGAGTGCAGTCTCCTCATCTACCCAGAAGACTGGTACCGCTTCTTTCAGCAACTCTCCCGCCCTAGGGTTCCTGGAAAAATTGGTGAACACGCTACGCCCGGAAGCTCGATACTATCTACTCAGCGCCATTGTAAATCAACTGAGATACCCAAACAGCCACACTCATTTCTTCAGCTTCGCTATCCTACATATATTTGGCTCGGAAACGGCAGCTCAGCATGAAACACATATTCGTGAACAGATCATCCGGGTATTGCTTGAGCGGCTGATTGTCCACCGACCTCACCCTTGGGGTTTAATTATTACTCTCCAAGAACTATTGCAGAATGGCAATTATTCATTTTTCCGCTTACCTTTTATTCAAGCAGCGCCCGAGGTATGGAACTATTTTGACAAAATTAGCTCTCATATAACATTACTCTAACGTATTTGCTTTTAGATTGGACGTCTTTTTGATGCTCTTCTGCAGCATATTCAGCAACAAAGCCCACGTACCCTGAGCTAAGTTACTGCCTAGCAAACAGTTGAAGCCGCAGAAACACAGGCTTAAATGAGATGATATCCCTACGGCAGATTGCGTCTTGGAACTAGTCCATGGCTGTCACTTTGATTATGATTGCGACGATGAACAAACGTATCACAACCCCATACTCTTATCTTAATACCTTCAAGTCTTAGCATGCGCATATGTACTTCCCTTTTTACAAATTTCTTTTAGATAGTGCTCGGATGGGTTCATGGTTCGTTTGCTTTATTTTGGACGGCATGCATGCATGATCTGGGGTTGCTTATCGTCATGGTCCTATGTAATCTTAAAATAGGTGTTTTTTTTGTTCTCCTTATGTTTACTATATTAATCTTCCGCAGTTTTTGTGTGTATACGAGTTTTTTCATGGAGGACAAAAGATCAAAGGTATAAAAGGTTGAGCGGTAGCGTCTAGTCCTCGTTCTTTACATGAAAGCAGGCCCTTGAACAGTTATAACTACGCCTACCATCCGCACAATAAATCGTAACTCTCATCCCAAGACTCGAATTCTGATGCAGGAAACTTGGAAAGTGCACGTGATATCATGTAGTCCATGTTTCTTTGACCCTGATAGAGAGAAACAACTTCCAATGCCCAAATACCAGTTATAGCGCTTCAGCCAAGCAATGTCCATCTGTAGGATGTGATGAGGACGACCTCCAGCTATCACAGGCATCAAGCAAGCGCAAGGCATAGCAGCACGTATCGCCTTCAAAGTCTCACTCTATACCCATTATTTACCTCTAGCTAGGTCATCATGCTACAGCCTATCCAGGCCGTCACCTCGAAAACTGCCCAGCGTTCCTATATAAACATAGTGCTCTTCTCATGTGCCTCCTTTGCTCTCTTTGGCATATCGACTATATCGTACTGGGTTTTCTACTACAACTTTGTCCCCCAAATCAGCCTTGAGAGTCAAATTCACCTTCAATATGAGTAAGTTGAAAGTGGTGCAGTGGACATTCTACCCGTGGTAGCATTCTTGAAATCGGGGGTTTAATATTGATTGAGTCCATAGTAAGAGCTCTCCGTATGGTACTGCGGTTCTGGGGCCACGTTTGATTCCCCTTCAAAAGTACGACGTCAAGGTCATTCTACAACTCCCGTCAACCCCTGCAAATCGTGCGGCAGGGAACTTTATGCTTGATCTCGCGTTTCTTCAAGAACCCGACGATATATCTGGATCTGTCTCAAACGTGTCCGAGAATGTATTGCTACGGTCACGCCGCCCGGCCATGCTTACCTACACATCACCGATGGTAGACACAGCTCGTCAGCTATGGAGGCTTCCACTCTATGTTTTAGGGCTGAAGCGGGAGGCAGAAGAGCTCGGGATTGGAATGATGGAACGAGTACAGTTTCCAAAAGGAAAAGGCAAGGTGCCAAAAGCTCTCAGGCTAGAGATCCAAAGCCACGAGCGGATTCAAGTGTACAAGGCGAGTGTGAGGATAGATGCAAGGTTTGCCGGTCTAAGGTATGCACACGCTGGATCATTACCTACTCATTTTACAGTCCTACTCTCCAACTCTTTATATTGTACTTTCTCTAACTTCTAGCGTATAGATGGATAATGTACAATTGGAGAACACTTTCTTTCTTGACATTTGGGTCTATGTTCTGGCTCTTTTCTGTATCAGTCGCCACTGGTGTTTGGCTTCTGCTTTCTTCTCAGTTCACAGGGGGGAAGGAAATGGTCATCAAGAAAGAGGAGGATATTGACACCGATGATGAGTTTGAAGGTGGCTCAGAGCAATATACGCCAACAGAAAAGGGTATTGCTGCAAGAACTTCCCTAGAAATAAAAGCTGAGGAGGAGGATGAACCGTCAGCATATGCTTCAAATGAAGATGGCGGGCCAGAGGAAGATCAAGCCAGCGAAAGTAATGACGGAATTTAACCATATGATTGTCACCCTCCAGCAGTCACCAGGCATACATATGATATATACCATAGAGAATTAATACTAATAAAGACTACTTCAACTCTACCTTTTTCTACGAGTAAACAGTGACGACATATATAAAAGTGCGCCGTTGGTTGGGTGAAGCTTATAGTTTCGTCGCATATAAAAAAAATATCTTTCTACAGGAACCTCGCGGGGTGATTTGTTTGAATAATAATATAAAACACGATATCTAACGAAGTCACTGGGCTCTTCATACCATTTGCTAGTCCACAAGATGCACATCCTCGTAAGTCAACAGGAGTTTTATCTATCTATCCTGCGGTTGTTCGGTACTATTACACAAGTTGTGGGTGAGACTAACGTTTGGCCCAAATAGGTTGTGAACGACGACGGCCCGCCGTCGTCTCAGTCCTCGCCGTACATACATTCTCTCGTCCATACTCTTCAATCCTCAGGCCATGTAGTATCCGTCGTGCTACCACATAGGCAAAGATCATGGATCGGTAAAGCCCACCTTGTTGGGGCGACTGTCAAACCGACGTATTTTCATCCCGGGACACTCTTCCAGGACGATGGGACGGTGCACCCGCTACCGCGCAGCGAAGGGCGAGAGTGCAAAGAAGGAGACGAGTGGATTCTTATTGACTCGACTCCAGCGAGTTGCGTTCAAATTGGCCTGTTTCACTATTTTCAGGACCGAGGACCTGTAGACCTGGTGATCTCCGGACCGAACTATGGGAGAAATTCTACGGCCGTCTTTTCTCTTTCTAGCGGCACTATCGGTGGAGCAATGGAAGCTGCGGTCTGCGGATATAAAGCAATTGCTCTCTCCTTTGCTTTCAGCTCACGCGATCACGACCCCGTCGTTATCTCAGAAGCCGCGAAACACTCGGTTCGGTTGATTGACTATCTTTATAAGAATTGGACGGATGGCGTTGACCTCTATAGCATCAATGTTCCTCTTGAGCAGGGAGTTGGGTTTTCAAAGATACTATACACGAATATTTTAGACAACCGTTGGTCCGGGAGTTGTTTTGAAGCAATTGATGCTGAGATGAGCGGCGAGGACCCGGGGTTACAGGAACACCTGCTCAGGCAAAAGGAAGGAAGCAATGCAAACGAGGATGCTTCAGGCTCCTCTTCCGCAAGATTCAAACACAAACACTTCAAATGGGCCCCGAAATTCGGTGATGTGTACAAGAGCGAGCAGACCAGCCCTCCGGGGAATGATGGTTGGGCTGTTAGATCTGGCTTTACAAGGTAAATCTTCATTTGAAATTAATTAACCTTATAAGTTGGCAAACCACTGATGCTATGTTTCCGTCTTAGTGTTACTCCCTTGAAGGCAAATTTTATGCATTGGCCAGGCTGCTCTGGAGAAATTACGCTGTGAGTGACGAAATGGGGCTGTTGCAGGTATTCTACGATGTTTAGACCACATGTCCTCCCGCGAGTTTATCAAATTTCCGCTTAACTTACGTACCTCATTGTATTCGTTGCCATTTGTTTTGACTACATTATTATGTTTCTGTAAGAGTTGCGTTCTGACTGCGCCGGGTTTCGTATAGGTCGAGTGAGAGTCCAATGTTTTATGCACTTGTGGATTGTCAAGACGTCTATGTGCAGCCTTTGGTCATGGGGGCACTACAGAGACAATTCAAAAGTGCCTCCTACAAATTGATATCTTCGTTATCAGAGCTGCCTGACCCTGCTTCTCTGGTCCTTCAGTACAGGGTATATGAAAAATCTGACTTTGAACATGTTCATTCACACCCTTCAACATCATTGGTGAATTCTTACATCATTCGTAAGGCGTTGATTCGCAAGCATTTTCTCTCAAATACGGTTGCCAATTGGATAACCAAATACCCAGATAGCTTGCTTCGGAAGCATTTCAAACCCACTATAGATTTTGAACTAGACTACGCCGAGTTTCTAGATGAGGCTTTACTTGAAGCTTATGAGCTACGTGAAAGCCTAGAGGCTAATGAAGGGAAGGATGAATGTGAGAAGGAATGGTGGATATTGAAACCCAGCATGAGTGACCGTGCACAAGGAATTCGCCTTTTTAATAGTGAGCCGTCTCTCCGGCAGATATTCGAAGAATGGGAGCCAGAGGATACGGACTCTGAGGGAAACATAAGAGAAGAAGATCCTGGCAACGACAAAACAGATACTGGGGTTGTTACCTCTCAACTACGGCATTTTGTTGCACAGCCCTACATTCTTCAACCCCTATTGCTACCGTCAGCCTCAAACCGAAAGTTCCATATCCGAGTTTATGTTTTGGCCGTTGGAGCTCTTAAAGTCTATGTGTATAGAGAGATGCTCGCCCTTTTTGCCGACAAATCCTACGTTCCTCCATGGGAGAAGGAGGATGAGGACGAAGGCGAGATCGCATATCTGAGCCGTCATCTAACGAACACATGTCTCCAGTCCGATACTACGGGCCATGATGCCGCCCCTGATAATGTTCGGCGTTTTTGGCATCTCGATGATATGGGCGCTTCAATAGAGACGGGGTGGAAAGAGAGGGTATACGATCAAATATGCGCTGTCACAGGTGAAGTTTTTGAAGCAGCTGCTCGAGGCATGATGGTTCACTTTCAGCCATTACCCAATGCATTTGAGGTGTTTGGAGTAGACTATCTAGTCGATAAAACCGGGAACGCTTGGTTGCTTGAGCTAAATGCCTTCCCCGACTTCCGGCAGACAGGAGACGAGCTGAAATGCGAAGTCGTAGGGAAACTGTTTGATGGGGTTGTAGAGCTCGCAGCGAAGCCGTTCCTCTGCCCGACTGAGAAGGGCAATGCAGCAGACGAGCAGACCGTTTCTCGGTTCCGATTGGTGGCCGAGCTCAACATGGGAATCAAGTGAGTTTCTCTAGAAGCGTTTTGTTGTCAGCAGCTCTCTGGGCCTCAACAGCTTATCATTGGCCACCTGGGGAGAACATTCTGAATATCCCGGGAGGCGATTCTCTCCTAATTCTCCCAGATGCATCGTGCTGTGCGCATCTCCATCCTGGCTGCCAGCAAACATGTGTCACTCCGAAAGCGTTGTTGGCTAAACAGCCCCAGTAGGATGGAACTATATTTATGGCTGACAACTCCATAACTTCGTTATAGCCTTGCACATCGGCAACCAATGTCCTTTCTTGGTCCAGCAAATATGCAACTGCAACGCTTGGATCTCCTTTGGATTTGTGTCGGCAGTAAGACAGGGCTATCTATAATAGCATTGGTTATTATTAAATATATATGCAGTAATATTTGGTATGCATGGCTATAATAGGGGCAAAAGAGAGAGAGAGAACCACGTCCCCTGGCGAGTCATTTGATTTGTAGAGACGTTGGCAGGCTGCCATTAATCTCAATCCTTGTAAGGAATTGTGTTCTTTTTTTTTTTTGAACTCTTTGTTCCAGCCATACGGGAAGCGAGCGTTGGTAGAGGAGGCGAAACCGTTTCTGCGGGCGTCTTTTTGGGATGAGCTTTACAACAAAACCCTCATCTTATCCCTTTTGCTTAACTGACATGCTAATATGTTCATGTCTGCAAGTCGACCGTGAAGATCCAACCTTCCACGAAGATCTGCAAGCGAAGATTCTGGGATAAGATGGTGCATGCAATAACAATGGGCAGACACGTCTATCTGCCGTGTATACATGGTTTTTCTATTGCTCTGCCATACGGGATGCTCCCCTATCCGCAGGCCACTTCGACCACGTCCTTGTCTCGCTCCTGACAAGTGTTCGCTCCCACAGGTTTTAAATAAGACTGTCTCGGGTTGCCGATTGGCTGCTGCGCACATAAGACAGGCGCGGCGGAGAATATGCACGCAGAAGAATATGCACGCAGAAGAATATGCACGCAGATGAAGCATCGATCCGACCCGGGCTGGACGTGTACATACAATGTACTACGCAACACATTTCCAACGAAACTACCTATCATGTCACGCTGGCTTGCAGCTAAATACGAGACGACAAGCCTCCCGAAGGCCCGACTTTAGTTTCTAACCTATGCTTGCTCCTTCAAAATGCGGATGCCTGTGGCGATATCCCCATCCACGAAAGCAACGCCTGATGGCTATAATGTGCTGTAATTTAAAAAAAAAAAGGATCACGAACTTAGAGTTACAGGACGGGACATGGATCGATGCTCGAAAAACGAGAAGAAAAAGCATAACAGGGATGGCGCCCTACTTTCTCTTGATCGCGCAGACAAGGGGACGCCCGGGGACCTGTCTGTCCTTCCCTGGTGGGCGGCCGCAATCTCTGGATAATATCACAGAAAACCCATTTTTTTGTTTTGTCCTTGACAAACAACTTTTGTTTTCGGCGCAGAGAGGGATCGCCGATTGGGTGCGACTTAATCTATCTCAAAAAGGCTGGACATCCCATCGAAGGCGCCTATCACTGGGTAAGGGTATCTGAGCGAGCGTTGCTCTTCCTCGGCCTTTGCTCCGCTCTAGAACTCTCTGCCTGACTGGCTTCGGCAGTCTATTCTAGCTCTTGCGCCTGCGGAGTCAAGAGGTAGGTCCGCGAAGAAGGGCATTAAGCTGGTCGATTTGATTATCAAGACTGGCGTTTGTGCTATGACGGGTCTCCACCGTGAACAAAAAGCTCCTTCAGAGGGGGGAAAGCATGTGCCAGGCCTGGCGTCTGATCATGCGCTTCGTCCATCTAGATATTATTATACGACATTATATACAAGAACTGCTGTGAGAGCAATCTTTCAACAGGCGAAGGGGACCTCCTTTTCTCTCTTCTTTCCCGCCACCCAGGCAACCGGGACCTTTCTCTCTCTCTCTCTCTCTTTCGGAGTCCCCATCTCCAAGGCTTTGTTCATGCCTCCGAGAGCGTCTCCATCTAAGATGCAACTTCACCAGGGAAACACTTCAACTAGACCCAGCGCTTGGGTCGCTGCCCAGGCACCCGAGCCGCATCTATTTTTGTTCATGGATGGATGAAGTTATAAAATAACCCGGCTGGAGTCGCAATCACTTCTTCCAGTGCTGCGGAGGCAAACGGAAAGCCGTCTTTCCTCCTTCCCCTACCTCTTATCATCATCCATCTTGTCCCCGTTTCCCCTTTTCGGGCTGTCATGGAAAAGAGACCCCTGAGGCTTCCCCGGCCGGTCACCTAAAAAAAAACAACAACCACATATCGCTTGTTTCCGAAGCGCCTACCAAGTAAATAGTTATATTAACTTGGTTCCTTCCCGCGCGCAAGATAACAACAACAACAACTTTGACCCATTTCCCGTGTTTTCTTCCATGTAGCTTTTTCCCCCTTTCTTAATCTTCTTCCAGCACCCTTGTTTGTTGTCCATAACAATTAAATGTTTACAGCCCCGTTTATCACCCTGTAGCGCTTGTGTGTTGTGTGTGTGCGTGTCTCTCTGTGTGTGTCCCCTTTGCCGCCTCGTTTCTTCTTCCTCTGCCGCCTCACTGGGAGGGCTTAATCCATCACCGCTCTTTGTTGTCCAGGGTTCGTTGTCTCTTTTTCCCTCCCTATCTCACTCCCTCTCCCCGTATGGAGTACACCATCCCCCGGGATAGACACGCACACATGCTTTTAGCCGCATGATTTAGTCGCCTTAGCCCGAACTAGGCCTTACCGCTTCAACCAACATTCCCGCAACACCTGCGAGAAGTGCGAGAGAGAAGTCAAAAAAAAAAAAAAAAAAGCTCCCTTCCCTCCCCCCGTCGGCAAAAAAAAAAAATAATAGTTGTTGTGTTCAAAGGGGATTTCGGCGTCACCAACCTAGCCCATGATCCCACACCTTCGGGTGGGCCGTTTCGGATTCATCTTTTGCTGGCCTACGCCAAGATCAAAATAGTGTATCTTTTTCGACCCGCTGCACCTAGAATCTGTGAAAGGCCATCATGAAGGACTACGGCGGTGCGTCGACGCTGGACGGGATGTATCTGGCGAAGATTGTGCAAGATATGCTGCCTTCGCTCGCGGCTGTCTATTTCTTCGGTGCCTACCTCATCACATCCATTTTTGCCGACGATATCGCTGATAAAAATAATACTGCATCATCTCGTCGTACAAATATTGCGATCGGGTCTCTAATATCGACTGTCTTTCTGACTTATGTAAGTGTGGACAATAGCTGATCAATGGCATGTTGGGTGCTTACTCCTTACGCAGGTCGCGGACTCGATAAGTCTGCTCTCTTCTACCGCTGAAGATGGCGTTGTCTTTCCAAAAGGTCGCCTTGTAAGTCTCATTGTCCCCCATCATGTTTACGCGGAGAGACAGGGTGTTAAAGGATTACTGCTGTAGCTATTCGAACTGTCGTCGGGTCTTCTCTGGTTTACCACCATATTGCTGTACTCAGACAAACGGCCGCAGCCAGTGTCATACCCTTTCTATGGCTTGTGGATCATATATCTCGTGTCAGAGATTTCCCTGTTCCTCTGCCCTAGAGTTGTTTACCTTCCAGCAAACATTATTGGCCTACTATGCCAAACAATAAGGGTTATTGCACTTTCACTGCTTATCTGTGTTGCCTTTGGTCCTCGAGTTTTTCCAGGCAAGAAGGCAAAACTTGATGAAGAAAATTCGCCTTTACTTGCACACGAGCAGCCAATTCTTGCGGATCCAGCCACTGTCACCCGTGTAAATGGGGCTGCATATGGGTCGTGTGACTCGGAAACTTCAAACAACCAGTCAACCAAAAATGGGGCAAAGGACTCCAAGACAAATGTTGACACCGATGGTAAGGAGGGTAAGGAGAAGAGAGGAGGCATTTGGTCCTCAATGAAGGACTTGAAGGTACAGCAAACGAAGATTTCTCCCCTTCTTTTATATAAAGCTAATGGTTGATAGGAACTCGCACCGTTTTTCTGGCCTTCAGGGAGGCCTCGCCTTCAGCTCCTCTTTGGAGGTATGATTCTCTGTCTGATAGCTGAGAGAGCGGTCAATCTCTTGATCCCTATCCAACTAGGCTTAATAACAGATATCCTCAGCAAATCTCAAGGTACTTGAAGAAAAGAAAATTCTCTCCCCAGTCCATAAAGTTGTTAACATCTATCCTAGGAGGACCTTTGCCTTGGGAACAAATCCTAATTTTTGCCGCACTTCGTCTCCTAGACTCAAGTGGAGGGTTACCGGCATTAAGAAGGTTTATGTGTATGCCGGTGGATGACTTCTCATATCTGAAACTGAGCACAACGGCTTTTAATCATGTTATGTCGCTCTCTTGTGATTTCCATGACAATAAGCACTCGGGAAGGCTATGGACCGCAGTCATTCGAGGCCAGTCTGTGAAAGACGTTATCCACAGCATTCTTTTTCTCGTTGCTCCAATGATTATAGACCTCGTGTTGGCTGTTGGCGTGCTTTACTACGTGTTCGATGGCTACATGGCCCTAGATGTTGCTACGGTAATGGTGCTCTTCTTGTGGACGTCTGGAAAGCTGGTCACAAAACAAAAGGATAAACGGCGAGAGTGGAATGAGGCCCGGGGAGCAGAGTTTACTGCTCTATGTGAATCGACAGAGAACTGGCGCACAGTTTCTTATTTTAGCCGCGTGCCGTACGAGATATCGCGATACTTATCTCTCGTACAAGCCCAATTGAAAGCCCGGTTTAAATTCCGATTTTGGGATCACATGGAGAATGCAACGCAGTCAGCTCTGTTAATATGTGGGCTTACGGCTGCTTGTTTTATGGCGGCGTACCATGTTTCTACCGGAGAGAAACCCATTGGCAGTTTTGTTATGCTGCTGAGCTACTGGGCCCAATTATCGAGCCCCCTGCAATTTATTGCTAATGGGTTTGGGGAGATGGCTCGCGATTTGGTCGATGTTGAAGAGTTTCTCTCAATTCTACGCCAGAAGCCCACTGTCCAGAACTCGCCTGATGCAAAACCTCTGGAGTTTGAAACTGGAAGCATCAAGTTTACCAATGTCAACTTTTCTTATGATGGTAAGAGGGGAGTACTCCGAAATATCAACTTCCAGGCTAAAGCTGGTGGCACAACTGCATTGGTCGGCCAAACAGGTGGAGGCAAATCAACCATTTTGAAGTTAATATTCAGATTCTACGATCCCACTCAAGGTATGGTGCAGATCGATGGGCAGGATGTGTCCGGTGTGTCGTTAGAGACACTTCGTGAGGGCATTGGTGTGGTTCCTCAAGATCCAACTCTTTTCAATGCTTCAATTATGAACAACTTACGCTACGGAAGGCTGGATGCTACTGACGAGGAGGTAATGGAAGCTTGCAAAGCAGTTGCTCTCCATGACAGATTTATGAGCCTTACGGATGGGTATGACACCTTGGTTGGTGAGCGAGGTATGAGATTGTCTGGCGGAGAGCTCCAGCGTGTTGCCATTGCACAAGCTATCCTGAAGAACCCTCGAATTGTTCTTCTAGATGAGGCTACAAGTAGTGTGGATAGTGAAACAGAGGTGATTGTCCAAGAGAGTCTGAAAACGCTCACCGCGGGGCGGACCACACTAGTTATTGCGTAAGTCTCTGGGCTTTTGTTAATCTTTGTTACTTGTTTCTGTTGTTGCTGTTACAAATACTGAGGGATTCTAGGCATCGGCTCTCTACCATTGTTAATGCGGACCGAATTGTTGTTATAAACAATGGTGAAATCGTTGAGCAGGGAACTCATGCTGAACTGATACAGAATCACGGATACTACCGTCGCTTGTGTTTCCGCCAGGGATTTCTAGAAGCAAGCGAACCTGATAGTGGCACCCCATTCTCAGAGACGACTTGCTCCTGCCATCAATATGCGCCAAATGCGGGGAGCTCATGGAAACCCGATGCCCCTGAATTCATACCTAAAGCATACAAACCACCGGGCGAGAATCAGTCACAGCCTCCCCTTAGCGAGTGTGATTCAAATAGACAACGACCAGGAGATAAGTTATTTTCGGAATCAACTGTCGATATTTACGAAACAGACACGGACGACAGCTTCCATATTGATACTGGACATGACAAGGAAAATATTCGAGTAAAATTCGCTGCGGAACGCACCACGAATGCCAACAGTAGCGAGCAAACATTAAGAAACGAGATCAAACCAGGTCAGGATGAACCCAAGGTGTTTTATCCCACCATGAACGAGAACGCGCGAGGCAACTCCCTAGGCTTTGACGAGGGATATGATGCCGCTGCTGAAGGGCTCATTGTATCAAAAAAGCGCGGCGCGCAAGGCACCACTCGCAGGGGACTATCAAGGAGCGAGCCGTCAAACATGACAGCGCAAGTCAACATGGATGGTGATGAGGACTCTGATAACTGGCAGACTGTTGGCACAAGAGCGAAGGCTACCTCAAGCCCGGGCAAACCCCATGCCCGAGGTCAAGCGCATCCGCGCCGCCGTCGCAGACATAGAAAAGGAAGAGAGAACTATCAGAAATCGGAAGCTGAGCCCTGAACAAGCTTAGCCCGCAAAAATCGTTTATTTGGAGAAATTAAATGGAGTATCGGCGCACGCAAGGAGCCATTTGGCTTCTTTCTCCTACCTTTGGCATGCGTGTTATAATTTGAACTAGGCGGAGTCAAGGATATAGATATGCCCATGTATATATATCGCCCAAAAGATATTTCATAGCTGCGGCCAGGAGTTGAAGGGTCATAAAGGGGTTTACAAATTAGCACCGTCAGAAATGAGATTGAATTATAATTTTCTATAAAAAAATTGGACATTATTGCTTCTAGATTTCAGACTATCCTGTTTAGGTCTTTATCCAAACCTCTCCTGAGCAATGGCGCGGAGGTAATCCATCGTCTCATCCTCCTTGCGTCGATAAGACCGTAGCCTAACTTCTCTCTCCTCCGCCCTAGCTCTCAAAATCTCTTCTTTTCGCAGCTCCCGTTCATTTTTCTTTCGCATTTGCTTCTCCTTCATCTGCTTAAAGCCGTCTTCCCCTTCCGCTCCGCCCATGAGGTCCGCATCCGCAACACCATCTACCGGGGACCCACCGCGAGCCTCTGCGTACGCACGATTCGAAGCTGATTTCTCCCGTTTCTTCTCTAGAAGGCGTTCTCGAGATCCTGGTTCTGCTCGTGGGGCAATCTCGTCCTCGATTTTGCGGAGCTCGCTTTTATGGGCGTTGAGCTCCTGTTTGCGGGCGGCTCTATTAACTCGACGGGATTCTTCGAGATCTAGCTGCTCATCTTCTATAAGGGGGGTTAGTAATTGAACGAAGCCACTCGGGGAGTGTATGAAGAGGGATATCGACGAACCTCGTTTGAGGGTTAGGTCCGCCATAGTTGGGATTTTTGGGCCGGATTTACGGCTTAACGATTGGTGGTGTGGAACCGGTGCTTGTGGCCCGTACGAATCCTCCTCGTCGTCATCATCCCGTTCAATGGATAGCCTTCCATCATCGAGCCGTGAATGAGTTTCGTTAAGAGAAGAAGAACTCTTTTCATCATTCATATATGTAGGGGACGACCGCCTCCCGTATGCTCTGTGGCCTGATGCTTTAGGCGAGTCACGGTTATATGCCCCTTCTACAGCTTTCTTAAAAGTTGCCGGGTCATACCATCCTTCTGCAAGTTCGCCCCGGTTCCTCAAGCATGTTAGCTATTAGAACACTCATGCTGCGCCATAAAAGTAGAAGAGTGGAGGGCACCCTTGCATAGGCGCAATATTCCTTACCATTTTCCGATAAAACTCTTCCACCTGCCCCTTAGCTCTCGCTCATCAAGTTCATCTATATAGATACCTTTCTGGATATCCAAATATGTTCCGAACATTGCTTTGTATCCTGGTAAATCGCGCTTTGAAAGAGCTGTCGCACCAAATGGTAGGATGACGGGCAGAGCTTCGGATGATCGCTGCCGTCGGTGAGTTGATCTATTGTCTTCACGCCTGCTGCGACGATATTGGCGACGATTGTCATAACTGCTTTCTCTGACGGGTGACCGTGATCTAGTATCCGCTCTTATAGAGGCGGAGTGGTGATCGTGGTCATGGTGCCGACGGCGATGGCGATGGTGGTCGCGGGGGGAAACGGACACTTCGCGGAGTGACATCGATATTCTCTGGAAGATCAGTAATAACTATTATGGGTATATAGTACGCTCAGTTGCATGTAGCACCCATAGAGTGTGGATTTCGACCCTAGCTGTAGCTCTCTTCTCTATGAAGACGTTATCGAAGCGCGAGTCGCTCGTCAAAAAACCAGCCACGCGCCAGCACGTGATCATCCCCCCTGCACCTCTGGTCCTGTTCACTGTTACATCTTCTAACACTGGCGGCTATATTATGATTCTCTTAACCGCTTCACCTACTCTACGGCGGACGGCTAGAAATAGCCTTTTAATTTCTAGCTATAAAGCGATAGATACTATCCGCCCCTAGCGGGTTAGCAGTAGGACCCCTTCTATCCTAAGCTTCCCTCTCGCCTATCTGCCTAGTCTGCTGCTGCCTCTTCTTATCTAGTTGCCGGTTCCCCTTCTGCCTAGTTTACTATTCTAAGTTCCTCTTAATACCCGTTTTTCTCTACTAGGTCAAATATAGTACACCGTACTGTTGTAATGGCAGTATGCCGGCAGCGATGATACAGCATATACTGCTTGACCAAAAGATCATACACAGTGGTGACGTTCGTCATCTCTAGTAGCTTTCGAGGATCAAGATCACCGAGGCAGTCAACGAGTCCCTTAGCAGAAACAAGGATATGCCGCAGCCGCAGCAGCGACTGATCTCGGCGCTATCGGCCCTTGTACTGCTTCTGGTGTCTAAAAGGCTACTCGGTTCCCGGGGGGGTGACAAAGCACCTCAGGCGGAGGCACCTTCGACATATCAAGCCCGGGGACCGCATCAGATGCTCGACCTGTTGTGCGGACCTGGAAAACATGATACAACTTGAGAATCATGCCCTGATAGCTCCCTTGAATCTGGCATCCGCTGTGGACACCCCGCAGCGACGGACCCAGGCGCCTCTATAGCGTAGGCGGTTAGAGCTGGCCTCTACTGAATATGCTTACATCCCACGAATCTGTCAGGCGGCATTGTCCCAATTTAAAGGCTGGAGGGAAAGCAAGGCCTGGCGTTAAGTCCAGCCGTCTGTTAAGCGCCCACGTATCAGCTCTGGCTCTTGTTTTTAGCTCTTCAAAGTTAGCGCCTGGGGAGGAGCTAGTCTTTTTTTGGTTAGTCTGCCATGTGGTCTTTAAAACACGTTAAGTACCTTGGGCTTTATCATGCTTTATCATTATTTGATATAATAAAAGTACAGAATTACATGCAGAATGTATCATATTAGGTATTGTCCCGTCATTACAATATACAACTGTATCCCTTCCCAAAGGACAACGCATGTTCATCAACGGACTAGTGAAGCTGAGGAGCTGACTCATAAAGGTATGGTGGTAAGAATTTGGATTGACCATTTTAACTAGCAGAAGATGCGGGCTGCTGGTGGTCCTCGGCCTTTTCGGTTTCTTCGCCAGCATCTTCGACAGACGGAGAGGCCGCCGCGTTCTTTGCTTTGTTGGCAGCAGCCATCTGCCATGCCGGAATGCTTGCGGGTTTCCCAAGCTGGGAAAATGGACTGCCGGATCGTTCTCGTGGAGCTGGAGTTGACGCGGGTAGAGAAGCAGCCGCAGGGCTTGGCGCCGCAGGAGAAGCAGTTTGCTGGGACCCAGAGGCGGTTCCATTAGCGGTAGTGGAGGTAGTAGCATTGGGTGCAGTGGTCGAAGCACCAGAGCCAAGTCGATTGGTCAGGAGAACCTTCAGACTCCTTAGCTCTGAGTTGAGTTCCCTAAGTCGCTTCTCGTTCCCTTCACGAGCTCCTTCGATCGCCTTTGGAATGCCATCTTTCAAACCTCGTACTTCTTCACTAATGCGCCTGGTATCGTCATCACGCCTTCGTGAGGAGGATTTGAGTTCTAGGACAACTTCCTCAACTTCACGCAGAGCGGTATCAAGTCGAGTTGTTCGTGCTTCTTCAGCAGCTTTGAGGGTGGCAGTATCGGCAGAGAGCTGATCCAGGAGGGAAAACGCTCGGGAAAACTGCTCATCTACGCTTTCCTTGTCCTGCTGAAGTTGTGGAGACGTAGGAGGTGCGATTAAAGGTGAAATATAACGCTATAAAATGTGATTTCAATGAGACAGGGTTAATCTAAAGGATAGTCACCAAAGACAAGGGATTACAAATATTACATACCTTTGCAACAAAATAGAGACCATAACCAACTCCGCCCATTACCGTTGCCATAATGAACCAATCTCTCCAATCACGCTTTGGGAGTCTGTAGTATGATAGCAAATTGTTAGTTCTCGCATTGCAGAAGTTCCCAAAAGGGCCAAAAACTAACAAATTTAGAATTACTTACTCAGGTGGAGTTGCATATCCCCATTGCTGTCCATATCCATAGCTCTGGTTGGCAGGGGCCCGATATGATGTTGATGGTTGTTGGACAGCTGCCCGGCCTTGTTGCTCTGAAGTCTGTGTAGATGGACTAGAAGATCCGCTCCTAGCTAATGCTATATCGATCTCTTCCTGTGTCAAATTTTTTGATTGCAGAAAGGCAACCTTCTTTTCCAGGGGCGCGGACGAGACGGATGGATCCTGGAGGACTGAAGATATGTGTAAGTGAAAAGCACACAGAAATGCGATTAGTAGATAAGATGAGTGGTTTACGAACAAGTAACCTAACACGCGATAGATATCATTAGCCAAGGTTGCTTTCCATCAGGGGGCATGCGACAGCCAACTTACCGCTGACGATACCAGCTCCTCTCGAGCCATCTTGCGAGTGGTTCGGAATCCTATCTATACAGCGGCGGGTATAATTATCATGAAAGAGAAATCAAAGGAACAGACACTACGGGGATAGCGGTGCGTTGCTGTCTCTCCGTCTTGTCGTTTCTCATCCCCAGAATCGGGATCTTTTCCTTCTTAACCTTCGAAGAGCGCCAAGATTTTTCTATCAAGCCGAGGTTGAATTTAAGTCTCGTGGTTTTCGGATATTCAATAATCCGGATGCCCGGATTCGGTCGTGCCAAGAAACTGTCTTTTTGTTTACATTTCGAAGATAAGAAATCGTTTTGATATCAGATTTGAAGGTATTTAAACAAGGCACAGGCACCAGGCAATCTTAGGGACTGCCATTTTGTTCCCCGGAGCAGCTCTACTCCGCGATTCCCCATACCACTTGAGCTGCAGTTTAAAACGGCTAACCGGCCCTTTTCTCATTGTCATGGCGCAGGACACTGGACTCTTCAGTGTCCGACGACCACGAGAGGTACGCCCACGGTTTACCCAGGTGGACTGATGGGGACGGCTACTAACTAAACTGTTTCTTTTATAGACCCTCGGGAATGTCCAAAATTATACATCTATCCCTCAACCATCTTCTGCACTCAAGCGAACCAGTACTGCTGCTAATCTACAGAACCCGCCGTTTACCTCCCAGCATGCACGGTCTAGCTCCCTCGTTTCATCGCTTAGTCGGCCACAGCAACCTGCTTTTCATCGGCAGTCCACTAGTGGTGGGAACTATGGCATAGATGGCGGCCTATCAAGTGTTCGACGTTCTGTGTCTCACAATGTCCTTCACAGCGCAAATGCTGGGCGTCAAAGTTATGCGCCGATGTCAATGGCACCTCCACCGCCGCCCCAGTTACAGCGCCGTAGCAGTGTTTTGTCACGCCCTTCTACAGGCCCGTCTGCTGCTCACCAGTCTTTTTTTGTCCAGGGGTCCATTCCAGCCGGTGTGCCCCGAGACCCTCGACCACTCAGGGATCGGGGTTTTCAGGCGCGGATTAGCCAGGAGATATTGGAGTATTTAACGCGCAATAATTTTGAACTGGAAATGAAGCATTCTCTAACTCAGAACACGTTAAAGTCGCCGACTCAGAAGGACTTTAACTACATTTTCCAGTGGTTATATAAGAGGATAGATCCTAGCTACCGGTTTCAAAAGAATATCGATACCGAAGTGCCACCTATTCTAAAACAACTACGCTATCCATATGAAAAGAATATTACCAAATCGCAAATCGCCGCTGTTGGGGGTACAAATTGGTACACATTTTTGGGGGTGTTGCATTGGATGATGCAGCTGGCTCAGATGCTCGATCGATATTATCAAGACCAGTACGACTATGCCTGTGCGGAAGCAGGTGTCGATGTGACGGGTGATCGTATAATATTTCGCTTCCTTTCCAGCGCATACCATGATTGGTTACAAGGTGGTGAAGACGAGGATGACGAAGTAGCAGAACAGCGGCTCGTTCCCCATGTTGAGACCATGGCAGCAGAATTTGAGAAGGCAAATGAGAAATATGTGCAAGAGCTTCAGGCACTGGAGGAAGAAAACCGCTCACTTCGGGATCAGCTTGAAGAACTTGAGAAAAATGCCCCTGATATCGCAAAACTGGAGAAACATTTCAAAATTCTCGAAGACGATAAGAAAAAGTTTGAAGACTACAACGACAATGTGCAAGGAAAAATCGACAAATATGAAAATCGTATAAAGTTTTTGGAGGATGAGCTCGAAAAGATTGACCTCGAACTCCAGACGACCGAAGACGACCGGCTTGACTTGCAGTCGAGCGTTGATAAGCGGGGCATTACAATCCAGGACATTGACCGTATGAGTACTGAACGAGATAGGCTCCAGAAAAGTGTGGAGGATATAGTAGTGAGACTTGACGAGACTCATGCTAAAGTTATGGAGAAGGAAGCTGAAGCAAACGCGAAACTGGAAGAGCTGGAGCAAGTCGCCAAGACCTATAACTCCCTTGCCTACCAAGCTGGCCTTATCCCTTCGACTACGGCCAATGCCAAAGGGAACGAGTTTGAACTCTTCCTTAATATCAATGAGAATAACTTCTCTTCTTCACAGCTTGGAACATCTCAGAGCCACGGTTCATCAGAGGGTGATAGGTTACTTGCGGACGCCAATACGGGATACCACCCGACTAATCTTATCAACCTGGATCTTCGTGGAACAGTTCGAAATAACCTCATCTCCCTTCGCAAAGATATCAATGAACGCAGAAAGATTGCTTTAGACGAAGATATGAACAGACGAGATCTCCTCGAAAACATCAAAGAAGCTATGGAGGAGAAAAAGAGCGAAGTAGAAGCGCTGGAACATCGGCGCCGTGCTGCAGAAGAGGAGTTTGAGAAAACGAAAGAAATTACCTCGACTCAGAAGTTAGCATCCGACACTCAGATTGAAAAGATGGAAAAGGAGCTTGCCAAAATGCGCGCAAGTCTCAGTGAAAGTGTTCAATTGATGGAACAGAGGGAGATGAATACCAACATTGAGTATGAGCAACTTGTTTTACGCGCGAACGCCCTGCGTGAGGAACTGCATACCGGAATTGAGAGCATGCTCAATGATATTATCAGGTTCAAAGTCCATGTGCAGAAGGGGTTGGAAGACTACGAAAGCTTCGTCGCTGATGAAGTCGAACAAGAACTTGGTGCTAATGACATAGGCGAGGGAGATCATGAGGCTCCCCAGGATGAATGAATGAAACTCCCTTGATTTTTGATATACTGCCTTTTGTTTCATGATTGATGTCAGCGCGGAGCATATTTTTGGCGCAAGTTCTGTTTGGTATTGTACATATTTCCTTGGGATTGGGCCTATGAGTAGGCTAGGGCTTCTACTGGAATACTAATTAAGATATGTGATATCCGGCTATCACCTTGGGACGATTTATTCTATATAATAATATTGATATCTCCGCGAGGACAACATAGAAGTTATTGGATGACTAAGCAATATCGTTATTCCTCAAAACTTTTTCTCGCTGAAGGCTTGAAGCAGCTCAAGCTACAGATTTTTAGTGCTTCAAGAATTGGCCAAACCACTTTGCAATATGCTCACAGGGCATTCAATCTGTGAGCATTAGATTATTATATCCCAGACTAGACATGCGACCGCCACGCGGCCTCGATCTCACTCTTTTATCAGCTCAAGCTCCTCCATGATCTATCTCCAGCCGTGTCATGAGCATTTGCCTGGGCCCGCGAAGGATACTCCAGGGCCACAGCCTTTTCCAAGCCCGGAGACATGCGTTTCCTCTACCGTTGACGCCATTCCGGCTCTCATTTGGGGGACCTCGACTTGAATTTCACAGCTCAGCACGCAACGATGACCAGCAGCCGAGCGCTCTACCAAACCGCAAACCATGTCCTGTTCCACCAGGACTACGCAAAGATCCGACCGAATGGATAAAACATTTAGAAAAGTTTATTCCCCAGCGGAATCTAGATAAGAGCTCTACCACGGCCGGGACGATGGAACAGAAGAGTGAACAAAAAGAATGTGAAGCGATATTGGAGCTTTTATATCAAGCGAGGGAACAACTTGGCTTTGACCTTCTTACTATCCTTGGGTTTAAATTGGACAGATGGCAGGACTTCCATGCTATAGTCAACAAGCTCTTAAATTTCACAAACGAGAACCGACCCCGAGCGCGGCGAGAGCAACTACCGTCAAATATCCGCTGGGCTAGCTTGGGCTCGTTTGATGACTTGTCTAGTGATACGCTGAGATCCATTGAGCCTAGTGACATAAAGTACGGTGACGATGATATCCATGCTTCATCGTTTAACACCTATCTGGAAGGATCAAATCTGCACAACCAACTGAGGAACCCGGACAGAAGACCCGAGGTGATGAGTGAACTCTGGCAGAGTTTGGGTATCTTCATCCTTGAGGCAGCAGATCTACCCACAGAGGAGGGTTTTTTAGTTATGTCACATTTTTACCGTGTGGTTGCCCACCTTCATCATCTTGATATGATACCACCCCAAGTATACAAATATGTGCCTAAACGCGACCCAGCCCTGCCAAATCGGCCACCCGGAATGTATCTCCTCTCATATCCCATAATGAGCGTATTATCAGACGCCGCATGGGAGGCAGCTGCCACACAGGATGCCATTGATGGAGCCGAGCCAGGTACAACACCCTATATACCGCCCCTAACATACAAGTCAAAGCAGCTTGGTTTCGGCATCTGGCTCGAGTTTGTTCTCTGGTGCTGTGTTGAAGAAGGCTGTGCGGTAGGAGCCACCTGGATACTTCAGATGTCGCGCAATCGTTCAAAAACATGGAGTATAAAGAGTTGGGCCGCACTTTGTCAAACCAATGGGTCAATTGACCCTCTGAAAATGAGTCATTATGATACTTGGGCAGAATGTGGAGAATTGTCGAATGAACGCTCTGCTGGCCGATCGCATCGTCCATTTCTCGGGATGGGGGAACGGACGATTACCAAGGAAGTCGTTATTTCCATAATGGATGGACTAATAAACTCCCTCGAGGTAGAGACTGGCACTCAAGGAGACTCATTCCGGTTTGTTTGGGTGCGATTAGGCCTGCTACGGGCGCTCTTAGGCAGGAACAAATTGTCCCTTTCCCAAGAAGATCTCACCTATTTGATTGTTCGCATTCTTGAGACGGAAGCCATTATACCAGAAATAAAACCTCAATCTCTTGAACTTCTGCTCAACCAAGCCTCATACATCCATCCCCAAGAACAGTTGGCTCATTCTTCTAGTCCTGGGCTTGAAAATGCACACCAGCAAGAGTATCATCCGGCGAACTCTCTGGTAGTATTAGGGCTATATCAGTATGCTTTGAATATATATGCATCGAGTGGCAATATTTCCGGCACCATTGATGTCTTTGAAAGATTGCTAGGAGATGTTGATCCGAAGAAAGTTGCTGAAGTTCGTGATTCTGTTCTAGACCCCAAATATTGCATCATGGCACACCGGGTTCGTCAAACAGTACACAGTCACTTTCGAAATTCAAAGTCTGCTAGTCAATCTCAGAATTTCGAACTGCCACCGGTATCTTGGGCATTACTTCTGGATACTCTGACCTCTTCTCGTTTGTATCGACTTGCGGACTGGGTAACAGATTCATGCGCGGAAGCCTTGAAAATGTCCACATCCCGGACTCGTGAAGGCGCTCTTATTACAGATTCTTTAATCCGGCTTGCAACTGCGACAAAAAACCATCAACTATATTCTAATGCTATCAAGAGACTTAGATTTCCCCTTGAGCGTCAGACATTGATTTTAATGTTAAATTGGAGAATTGGAGAGTGTAACTGGACAGGCGCTGTTGAGCTGCTCCATTATCTTCGAGATGCAAAACTTTCGCAGTGGGATGTTGAAAATATAACATCTCTTGGGGCAATGATAATTCGATTAGAAAATTGGCAATCCAGTACAGATCAATCCGAGCTTGATCCCACTCTTGCCAAAAGTCAAGCTGAAACTCTAGGATTAGCGAATACTCTTCTGGTTGACTCCTTGAATGGAAAATTCAACCAGCACTATAGCTATGCCAACGGTCTACGTGTACCTGAAGCAACGCTGAATCGATTATATCGTGTCTTCAGCTCCATTCCCGGCAGCCTGTCTAGAGTCTGCCACGAGGTACAACTGCAATGGAGTCGTCCGTTTGAACCTGATTACTACATCCCTTCTTACGCATTCAATCAGCTTCTCGTTGCCGTGGTTGATACACAAGGCTCGCTTGCCGGAAAGCGACTATGGGACAAAGTTTGCATTGATCCATTATTGATGGTTAATCCAACTCGCAATCGCAAGCAACAAACGATTAAGACCAGGCTCCCCTTCAACTCAAGATCTATCTATCCCAAGAAGACTCCCCTAGTCTCGCCAGATCTTACCACGGTCCGGATTATTGCGAATGCAGCACTTGAAGAGCAAAAGAGCCTTCAGCAGCGTGGCCATTACCCTATTTATTCCGCTACCGAACCACTGACCTCTGAAAAGTATACTGCTGAAAGTGTTGGCAGCGTTCTAGCTTGGAGTGCTAGAGCGTATGAGCGCCTTGGTCTTAGCCCTCGAGAGATCAATAGGGAACTTGATGGATATCCGACACAAAAAGCAACCCGTCCAACGGATGTACCACCGTCGGCTCTTGTCTGAAAGCCTTTACTTAGCAAACACAAACCCTTTCCAACACATATCTTACTCATACCATTTGTATATTAAGCGAATACCCCTTGTACCAATAGATAGATATAAAGTTTCAACCATCTACGTAAATAAAACCCTTGAAGTGTAAACAATATTTCCGTCTAGGCTGCGCTTAAATATCGTGCAGCTGAGTTTGATAGTAATAATGCTAGAAGGTTCCATCGTAATTAAGCAAGACTCAGTACGCTTTTAGTCATATAAGGCCGTTTTCCCAAGAAAATGTCAAATTTCTCAAATTCACTTCAGTAACTAACAAGAGCGAAAGTAGACCCCAGAAACGGTAGGTATAACAGCTTCTACCAACCATCACACACTTGGTCATTATAAGACAAAACACACCTACTCTCTATCTATCCCGCAATCCTCCGCTCTCAAAGAAATTCATACCAGCAATCGCATAACAACAGTCCATCCATCTACCACTTCATATTTCCAAGAGCAAGGCCGCTCTCGAGAAGGCTACTTGGTGCTACAAAGCTGAATCCGCCAAAAGGATTCTCAGGAGAATGAACATCTCCCATATGACTCTCAACAATACCCTCGTTATCAACATCCATGTCGTCCCCGGTGTTTGCAAACGGCCCAGGCTTAGTCGTTACAACAGGGCTGAGGGGTAACGAGGTAAAATCGTGAGAGAAGTTCTCGGCAAGAGCAGGATCCGTTACCACGGGCTTGATCGGAGGCTCCATTTCACGCTTTTCCAAGGCCTTCCAGTCGATTTTTCGGAAGAATCGATGGGATTTGATGGTGCGTATGTCCTTGGATGTATGGTATCCTAGACGTTTGTGTGGCTCTTTACGAAGTAAGCGTGTGAGGAGATCTTTTGCATCAGGGCCAAGAAAATATGGAAGCGCAAGCTTCTGCTTCAGGATCTTTTCCATGATTTTGGCGTGATTGTTGCCCTTGAAGGGCGGTGAGCCGGTGAGGAGGTCAAACCCTAAGGCACCCAATGACCACCAATCGCAAGCTTTACCGTAAGGCTTACCCAGAATTACTTCTGGTGCCATATATTCTATGGTTCCGAGGGAGGAATCGCACCGTTCATCATCATCGACAGCAACCTTGCTAAGGCCAAAATCGGTGAGGAGGAGATGACCATCTGCATCCAACAGGCAGTTCTCGGGTTTCAAGTCACGATAGATGACGCCAACATTGCAATGCAGATGTTCCAGAGCAAGGACCATTTCTGCCATGTAGAAAGAAGCCGTTTCTTCGGAAAACATACGCTCGATCGCGAGATGGGTGAAAAGTTCGCCCCCCTGGGCATATTCAAGGATTAAATACAGCTTCTCATGGTCCTGGAATGCATAGAATAGCTTGACAACAAACGGGTGCCGATTAACGCTTTCTAGGATGGCCCTTTCTGTCTTGGTCTGTTCCACCAGCCTCTTGTGCACAGTGAGCGAAGCCTTACGGAACTGTTTTTGCGCATACAAGGCTCCATTGGCCTTTTGTTTGACTAACAGGACGGTGCCAAATGTTCCTTTTCCAAGACACGTCAAAGAGTCAAAATCAGCCGCGGTCATCTTCCTGTTAAGTATGGTCTTCTTCTCTTCATCCGCGGGTTTGGGTCCTTCATTGTTGAGGTCCAAGCCGACAAAATCATCTCCTAGAGGGACCTCATACGTTGTCAATATCTCAGTCTGGTCACTTTCGGAGATGACACTGCCACAGCTTGACGTTTCTGACCCCTTCTTGCTAACGTCGGAACCTGATGGTCGGCTAGACCCAACGTTGAGTGCGTCCAACTGAGCACTCAGTGCGCTAATGCCATTAGACGAAGGAGGCCTGGATTCAAAAGTGCTTTTAAACCCACCAACAGGACGAAGACGCGGGGAGATGGAGGGAAGCCCATCCTTGAAATAAACAGGTGGGGTCTCGGAGCCAGGCTGAGGGGCTTCGACAACAGGAACCGTGCTATTTACAGACTTTGGCAGCTTCTTCCTTTTGGTCTTCTTTTTCTTTGCCGGGTTCACGCCCCCGTGGTTAGGATTTGGTCTCATGGGGCTCACATCACCTGGGACCATACGGAAACTGCTTGTGGCGCCTGGTTGCTCACTGACCACGGTTTTCCAGGACTGGGCAAGGTCCGCTTCGTCAACTTCTTCCGGTTCAGGTGTTTGTGGCGTAAAGACGTCAGAGACGACAAAATCCTCCTGGGGTTGCCATCGCGGTGAAACATTGTTCTCCACACGATGAAGAGACAGCAGGTCGCTCTCCAGAAGTTGTCTCGCCATGTAGCCGGAGGTAATGCGGGCTCTTTGACAGGATCAGTTCCTACCCTGTCACGACGTCTGATGGGGCAAACCCCGGCCACCGGGTGCCCCGCGGATAGTGGATGGCTTTCGGTAACAGGAGTCACTGCGTAGGAAGAGTCAGCATCGATCCCATTGTGGCGGCATACAACAGGAGCCCTCACCTTTCGACTCTGGGCCGTACAAATGGCCCTTTTTATACGCTCTCAATTTCTTCAAAGTATTTCGCAAACGTGCTTTATTGTTCCCCTTGCTAATCTTCAAGTTTACCGTCCGCCCTTTTTCAGGACGGACCATTCACCGGTAGCCAAACCACCTTATCCACTTCTGTGCCTAGAATGTCGAGACGATGAGGAGTCACTGGAAGAGTGCAAATGTAACCACCCAAGGCTGAGGCAGCGGAAGGGTCAACGGATACTAGGCCGTAGCCAGGTACAACTGAATCGATATGAAGCGAGTTTCTTGATAGGCCCATAGATGAAGTAATCTTGATAGATAATAAGCAGTAAAAATAACGTCGTTCAATCCGTCTCTTGGTCTCTTCTTCTTCTTCTCTTTGAAGACTTTCTTTCTTTTCCTTTTGACGTCGAAAAAAAGATCGAATAAAATCAAGAAGAAGGCTGATTAGGTAATCTAGCCACATGCAACGAATACACGGCTTCTTATTGGTTAGTTTGACTACAAGAAAGGATAATATTTATTCCGAAACAAGTCACATGATATAAATATAAGAATGACCAAAAAGGGAATATAAAAATTGAAACATTCTATGCAGGCGGATGAGTGACACCGAAGAAGCTGGCTGTGCGGGTGATCTCGAGACCAGAAAACGCTACAAAGGCCATGGCGCTAGGCTTCTCGACTCTGACTGTCACCTCGTCCAGTTCGAATTGGACCAGCACTATCCTCGCAGCATGCGTAGCCAGGGCTTCCACAGTTTTATATGAGGTTTTGTCAACGCTCTAGGAAGAAACCAGACCATTAGCGTGAATATGAAAGATCACAACATTATAAAATGCCACTTACCTCTGCCACTGTCGACACCATCGTCTGGTACTGTTTCGGAATCATCCGACCGAGATAGCCCTCCTTACTATCCCGGAACGTCAATGCAAGCTCCACGATCTGTTTATCCTTCCTCTCATGAGGATTTACCCCGACAAAACAGGCACACCGTATCCCTTCTATCCGAACAGTCAGGTCGTAGTCCATAGATACATGCTCCCTGAACCGTCTCTCGCGCGTGATAAGTGAACAATATAATCCGCGTTCAGCCCGTAATATAGCCTTGGGAAGATGAAGATCTACCGTTATCTCTTCTTTCTTCCCCGTGAACCAGCTGTCTTTGAAAATAGGGTCGTCTTTGTCTCGTTCTATAGGCCCGATTTCTGACCATAGTACCTTATACGCGGCATCGCTTATCGTTCGGGCAATGTCCACGATGTCCTTGCTATATGACGGCCGCTTGGTTGGATCCTCTGCATTTTCATCTGCCACGGCCTCTTTGTTGCTGGATATTATGGCGGATTCAATGGATCTGTATAAAGTGCCGTAGTTGAGGGTGTGACCAACCGTGTCGTTTTCTGCGGCCAGGGCAATGAGGGTGGCGGGGTAGGATATGCGCACTGAGAACGTAGCTGGTTGCGGCCTGTTGGTTCGTTTCCAGGCGTCCGTTCGTAGATATATAGGGACTGGGAGCTGTACGTCGCGCAGTTGTATGTAGTCACACGCCGATTTGTTCATGGTTTCTGGTATAATGAAGATGCTGCTTCGAGTTGTGGTTCACTGGGAGTGTCGCGGGGTATCGAATCCTTTTCACTTGGGAGCTGTGAAACATGTCATTACAATAGGACTCAGTTAATGCTGCTATTGTATGTTTGAAGATGGAGGATAGAGTATCACGGCCAAGATATATAAGTTCAACAATTTGGTACAACCATGTTACGTGTGTTTTTAAGTAACTATCAAAGCACTTTAAATACATAAAAATAACTAACTCATGAAGCCCTCCTAATTTCACAGCTAACGTTCTCAGAAACTTAAAAGCTCATAAGAAAATTCGTTTCATGGCCACTCAAGAGGCCATACATCATATCAGTCCTCCCCCCACTGCAGACTACATAGAAGAAGACAACAGGGTGACATCATTGCAAGGGAACTGGGTGAAAAATGAAGGGAGGCACGCAAGAATCAGAACAATATATGGCCGTCAGTTAGGAGGAATAGAGAGCTGAAGAATTGATCGTCATCGTCATGGCAGTGTCCAGGCGGACGGATGAGATGAAGAAGTGAAGAAGGTTGAGCTTATTCTGTACAGCAGACATCCTCCCAATGCTACGAGATTGAGGTAATAATAGTAACTCACGCTGTGAAAGCCATACTGAAGCAAAGCGAGGAAGAGAAAGGAGAAATAAAAAAGGTTACCGACGAGATAGGTCCGAAAAGCTGCTGAATTGCTTGCAAAGCACGAGCTGAGGGGGGGTATCCGTCTAGTGAACAGGTGTAAGTTGTCGCAATTTTTTGGAGTTAAAAGGGCTTTCGTTAAGTAGATAGAATAATATAGTCGGTGATGGCTGGTTGGTAGGACTGGCGGAAGCTGATTTTGTTGGAAAAAATCGTTTTTATCGGGCATGGTAGACGTCATTGTCGGTGGCAGATTCTTACTCTTCTCTTCGTTTTCTTCAAAAGGAGTTATAAGCATCAGGATAAGACAGAGGACGGGGTAAGACAGTCTCTCTCTTTTTCTCGCTCTCTGATGCCAAAAACAAGGAATTCTTTTTAACGGTGATGTGGGATTGGGGAGAAAAGCAGAACTGGAGGTAAAGGAAGAGAGTAGTCTACCAGTATCCGCCCCGGCGCTCATAACCTCCATAATCCCCACGAGGAGGGCTACGTGGCCGACCTCCAAACGGAGCCCCACGAGGCATGTACGGATCGTCATAGTGACGAGGAGGACCACCACTGCGCATCTCATACGGGTCATCGTATGGTCGGCGGGGTGGCGGGTAGTCATCTACACGCGCACGAGGGGGCGAGCGACGGCCATAGCCATCACGATCATAGTAGTCACGGCCTCCGTGAGGGGAGCGCTCACGATAGTGGCCACGGGGGCTGTAGCCCCTGGGAGGGCCGCGTCTGTCATAGTCCTCAGCTGGTGGGTATGGAGGGCCACGACGAGGGGAACGAGAACGGTATGGATCCTTGGGCACACGGTCCTCCATGGGTGGTTGGATCTATAATAAGAAATTTTAAGTTGAGCTGTGAAATCCATGTCATCATCCAGGAAGGGTGGTGAATTCCTACGTCCGCAGTGCAGGTCACTCGGGAGCCTTTGAAGTCAGTGCCATCCAATTTCTCGACGGCGGTCCGGAGATCGTTGCCATTCTCGAATTCAACAAATCTTTTTAATTCAGGGCATGCTTGGTTAGTTCTCCACGAGGTAGAAGGAAGGTTGGTATCGGAAAAGAATAAGGGGAGGATGCGAACCCTTTCCCGTCACGGTCACGAGTTTCAGAATAGACGACGTCGAGTCCTGACTGGCGGGCGAAATCCTTGAGATCCTAAAAAGAGAGTATGATGCGTGAGTCCTAGTGTCCTGGAAACGAAGCTGTCTGTGTGTGATGTTCCCACGTCCGTCCATCCCAATGAGCGTACAGGTTGAAGCCAGACCTGGCCATCTCTCCAGATTGGAATTATGACGAATCAACTTGACGAATCAACCAAGGGGGAGGGGGGGGGATCATTCCAACCAAGCTCGACAAGAAGAGGAGTGAAATCTTATACAAGGGGAGAAGTGCGAGAGGGAAAAATGGCAAGCTCGATCTCCACGGGGTCCAGGGGGGGAGAACGGGATCGGGCATTAGCTAACCTGCCAACTGGTTTCGGGCAATCCAGTTATCTGCATACGGTATATGGTTCGTCGTGGACGAGGAGCAGTAGACCGTTCGGGAGGCCCAGGGAATGGCTCTCTACGCCGTGGCCCACGCGCAAACTGCACCGTGAGCCTTTCACCTTTGAAGTCGGTACCATCTAAAAGATATTAGATGGCGTGGCCTTTTTCTCTCTTTTTTCTCTCATTTTCTGCATAAGTTGTGGTATTGAAACCGAACTTATTCATGGGAACGGAGACAAGAAGATATCACGTACGGAAAGCTGGAAGGCAGAATCAAAACGGGTCCCATTATTAGCAAGGCGTCGTCCATGGAGTAAACAGAAAAAAGGGAAAAGCACAAAAAAAAGAAATCCAGGAAAGTAAACGCGACCACGGAGGTGTCCTCACCAGGAACGACATCTTTTGCATCCATAGCATCCTCGTATTCGATAAAGCCAAAGCCTTGCATCAGCTTGATCTCAGTAATCTTTCCGGTACCGTGGGAGCCGAAATGCTCTTCGATGTCCTGTTTATTGACTGGAAGGAAGAAATCCAGGCAGAAAAGGATGCCCTTGAGTCAGCTGCATAGGCCACGAAGATCCGGAGTATTTTATATTATGTATTTGCTTCAGCCGGGAACGTGGACAAGAGGCGGACGATGAGGGGATAGGGTAGAATGTATCATATCATTCATAAACAGTATGGATGGTATATGGCATGGCCTTGTTCTCCTCTCTTCCATTTCCCATGTAGTAGGCTTTGTTTTGTTGGTATCTCCCCTCCCTCTCCTGGAGACGAAGAGAACTGGTTGAGGCCACGAAGGGGGCCGTTTGCCAATACCAATAACCATTATCCAGTACAAGACAGGGAGACGATGACGGTGACGGAGATGGGATGGAGTAAGACCAGCAGCATACCATTACGGGGCAGATTGCCGAGATAGAGACGGGTGGAGGATACTTCGCTCATGGTGGAAGGGCGACGTAAGTTCCCGTGAAGTAGGAAACAGGAGAATGGCCTTGGAACGGTACACAGCAGTTGGCGGTCTCCTGGCAGAAGACGAAGATGGCGTGTATGTGATGTCAGTTGTCGATGTTGTTGTTTTTTGAGGATGGAAAAAAAAAAGTGGCAGCAAAGGAAATCGAGGGGAGGAAGAAGAAGAAAAAAAAGAGCGCTCAAGCCATTCACGTGGCTTTGCTTCCCCCTTCCGCTCCACCGACTATTAACAAGTGCACATTCATACATCATACATAACATGGCATGAAGATAAGGACTGGACATTATTATTTGACGAAGCCGGCGGCTTGCTTTCTTCTTTTTGATGGAGATGTCGTTTTTCTTCTTTTTTATTTTCTTTTTTCTTGTTTTTGTTTATGATAGCTCTATTCTGTACATGGCTGGTGCATATAAGCGCTTGGTATCCCATTTTGATTTCAGATATATAATAAAAAAAAAAAGGGGCAAAAAACAAAGGACGAAAGGATGTGCAATCTAGCTAGGTGATAGAGTACTTGGGTCCCTCTCCTCCCTGGGGAGTCTGCCAGTTGATGTCCTGCGTAGGAACCTTGATATCACACGTCTTACAGTGGATGCAGCTAGAAAAAAAAAAAGAAGAAGGGTTAGCAACCTCACCAAGGGAAAAGGAATTTGGGAGCTTACTTCTGAGCATTGATTTGGAACCGAACTCCATGCGGCTTGTCCTTGTCCTCGATGTACTCGTACACGCCAGCAGGGCAGAACCGGTTCTCCACCCCCTGCCACTTCGGCCACGCCTCGGCCGTATGCTTTTCCCAGTCGGCAACCTGGAGGTGGACGGGCTGGTCTTCCTCGTGGTTTGTTCCCGTCCGGCTCACGCTGGTTAGGATGTCGAAGCTGACGACGCCATCCGGCTTTGGATACTCGATCTTCTTGCACTCGCTCGCTGGTCGAGTGGCCGCCGAGTCTGTTCCGTGGTGCTTGAGGGTCCATGGAACACGGCCACGGAGGATGTAGGCTTCTAGTCCACTGTACATGATACCGCCGTAGATTCCCAGCGGAGTGTTGAACGACGGACGCATGTTACGGACCTCCTTGAGTTCAGACCAGATGGTAGAGGAGCGCAGCGCGTCTTCGTACTCGTACAGGAAGATGGTGCCGTCCGACGAGTTGCCGGAGAGAGCAGAGTATGTTGCCTTTGCAGCAAGCATGCCCGAGAGCATGGAGGTATGTGTGCCCTTGACCTTGGGGACGTTCATGAAGCCGGCGCTGTCGCCGATGAGGGCGCCTCCCGGAAAGGCGCATTTGGGGATGGACTGGAAGCCACCTTCGATGAGTGCACGCCCAGCATAGGCGATGCATTGGCCGCCTTCCAGCACGCTGCGGAAGAGAGGGTGCTGCTTTAGTTTCTGGAACTCGTTGTAGGGTGAGAGCCAGGGGTTGGGGTAGTCCAGTCCCACAGTCAAGCCTACGGAGACCATGTTTTCCCCAAAGTGATACATGAAAGAGCCACCGTACGTGTCCCTAGGTAGCGGGTAGCCCATCGTGTGCGTCACCTCACCCTTGCGGAACTTCTCTGGCTGGATCTCCCATACTTCCTTGATACCGATGCCGTACGTCTGGGGCTGGGAGTCGCGGCGCAGGTCGAATTTCTTCATCACCTTCTTCGTCAGAGAGCCGTGGCATCCTTCTCCAAGCAGAGTGACGCGGGCATGGAATTCCATCCCCCTCTCGAACGACTCCTTGGGCTGACCGTTACGTCCGATGCCGACATCATTGGTGGCGACTCCCTTGACCGAGCCATCGGTATTGTAGAGCACTTCACTGGCAGCGAACCCCGGATATACCTCTACCCCCAGCTCTTCCGCCCGTTCTCCGAGCCACTTACATAGCTGGCTGAGGGAGAGTATGTAGTTTCCGTGGTTGTTCATCTGTGGAGGCGCCGGGATGGGGATGGAGTATTTCTCGGTCAGGAACCGCATCTTATCCGTCGTTACGGGGGTGGTGTGCTCGAACCGGTTGGGGTTGTCCTCCGCCAGCCAGTCCGGCAGCAGCTCGTTGATCGCGGTGGGCTGTAGAACGTTCCCGGACACGATGTGGTCTCCGATCTCGCCTGCCTTCTCGAGCAGCAGGACACGGAAGTCTTCATTTCCGGCTTCGTTCGCCAGCTTCTTCAGCTGGATGGCGGCGCATAGACCGGCAGGACCTGTTGACAAGCCGTCAGCCTCACCGTCATCGCGGCCGCTTCCGTCCACAAGAAAAGAGGACCAATTGAACTCACCTCCACCGACGATGCAGACGTCTACCTCGTCGGACTCTCTCTGGATATCCTCTGGCCTGAACCCGGACCCCTGCTCCGTTCTCCTGGCCGATACGTGCGAGAAGGACCTCTGCTGCTGACCCAGCAACCCTGTCGGACCGGCAATGCCTCTCTGCACCGCCCTTCTCTGCACCGGGACGCTCGTCGAGTACTGTGCGGCAGCTCTGCTTGGGGCCGCCCTCCTCCACGCCGCGGGGGAGGAGCAGCAAGCTTCCCTGCGCGCGAAGGCGAGCGGCAGCACCGCAGACCTGGAGGCCATTGACGATATCACCCCGGCAAGTGTTTGCTTACCCCAAGAAAGAAAAGAAAAGGCGACTTTCAACCGTGGTGTAGATAGCAGACGAGCTCGTCGGCGCGATGCTCCGTCTTTTTGAGAGTGTAGGAGATAATCTTCCGAAAAGGGCGAAATCCAAGGAAGGGAAGCTGAGCCGAGGCCAGCCGAAGCAGCCAGTCAGCGGTCAGGTGATGGTCAGTCGCTTAACTTGCCTCCCTGGGATATCACATGATCAGCGCTTCATCCTCGACCGCTTTCACTTACATAATCCAATGACTCTTTCTTCCACGTAAACCGAAGTTTCTTTCATGAAAGATTAGCGCATACTTACTTTTTTAGGCGGCGCGTCTCTCCTTCACGCGAAGGTATCACAAAGCGAAGCTCCTTTTTTTTTTTCTCTCTCTCGCGGAAAGCCACATAGCCTGGTTCTCAACCGGCCGTCTTTTTCCCTTCACCGTCACCTTTCTTTACCGTCACCGTCACTGTCACCCTTCTTCTCGCCTTCACCACTACATGGCCCTGGAGCCATCACATCTTCCCCAGTGAACGGGGGGAGAGAGGAGAAGGGGTGGCAAAGGCAGGCGAAGCAACGCGCCAAGACTCAAGCTATCAACAGTGATTGGCCGCGCACTAGTCTCCTTTAGGCAAACGCCCCACTCATGACGCCTTCAAAAGCAACTTTTAAGGGGGCGCGCGTGGCGCTAAGCAGGGGAAGTGCGTGTGCCGAGGCCCTCGCGGAGTGCGCCGGGCAAGAAGTATAAAAGGGACAGCCTCTTCCCTCTTTTTTTTCCTGTTGAGCTCGACTTTTTCGCTGACCGAAAAGAGAGAGAATAAGAAAAAGCGCTGCTGGTCTTGGCACCCTCCCACTTGCTTACATACGCATCACTTCTTACTTGCGCCCGCTTTACCCACAAAACTACACTCACTAATAATAGACAGCCCGTACTCTCAGTATCAAAAAAAAGGTAGCTAGCTATATCGTGTTCATGTTGATGCTCTCTCGTCGTCGTCTTCTCCGCGTTCTTCCTTGCTTTGCTGCGCATCGCTGACCTCTTGCGCGCTTCTGGTAGTCTTCATCAATATTGGGGGAGGCATTCATTTGTTCATCTCCCATCAAAACCCCCTTCTCTCTTATATCACGGTAGGCCCTGACTGTTTCCGTCTAACACTTATTCAAACAATACCAAACATGCCTTGTCCTTCTTTGCCGGCTGTGTTGGAGCTTACTTGCTGACTCATGTGTTGCAGTTGCCTGGGCTTGAGGTCACCTGACTCGACCTCTTCTGATATCAACATCAACATCCAAAGCAGACAACCGCCAGAAGAGAACAAGACCTCTCTCCCTGTCTCTCTCTCTTTTATAGTCAGGGTCGACGGATATCGCAATCATGGATTCCTTGACCACTCATCCTGCGACCGCGCAACAGGCAAAAGCGTTTACGTCGCCGGCCTCTCTCTCGTTCCCAGGTGGTGCTGGCGAGCTGACTCCTCCTTCCTCCGAGAAAGAGACAAACGGCCAGGCTCTACAGTCCCAGTCCATGCTGCAGTCCCAGTCTCAGCAGACTCCTGGTGGCAGCGCTGCGGGTGCCGGGCCCGGTGCCACTCCCGCGACCCCCGTTGCGACTCCCGGAGCAGGCCCAGGCGTGAGCGGGATTGTACCAACGTTGCAGTGAGTATTTTTGATACATCAATGATTCTTTCTGCTCTTTGAACGCATCTGCAGGTCAGGGATGTAATATGAAGTGTTGTCGTATGAGGGTTAAACTTCGTCGCCTCACTCTCGTATACTCCCCCCTGTCTTTTGCCCTTCTGGCCCACCAGAAAGCTGAAGCATGAATTATCATGAAGAAATATCGTTGCCACCGTCAACCTTGATTGCCGACTGGATCTCAAGACCATCGCCCTGCACGCGAGAAACGCGGAGTATAATCCCAAGGTCGGTCTCCCGCTGACACAATGTGTATAATAACTCACTAACGAAACCAGCGTTTCGCCGCTGTTATCATGCGTATTCGAGAACCCAAGACCACCGCCCTGATATTCGCATCCGGCAAGATGGTCGTCACCGGCGCAAAGTCAGAGGACGACTCGAAACTCGCATCCCGAAAATACGCACGTATCATACAGAAGCTTGGCTTCAACGCCAAGTTCACCGACTTCAAGATTCAGAACATCGTTGGCTCGTGCGATATCAAGTTCCCCATCCGTCTAGAAGGCTTGGCCAGCAGACATCACAACTTCAGCTCTTATGAACCAGAGCTGTTCCCGGGCTTGATCTATCGTATGATGAAGCCGAAGATCGTACTGCTCATCTTCGTCAGTGGTAAGATCGTGCTCACCGGTGCCAAGGTTAGGGAAGAGATATATCAAGCTTTCGAGATGATATATCCCGTCTTGACCGGTAGGTTTACGCTCTCTTGCAGCAAAAAAAACCTTGTTTTCTTTTTCATTAACAATTGCGTAAACAGATTTCAGAAAAGTCTGAACAAGGTCACGACTCCCCGACCAAAAGTACCCTTGTATCAACAGTTTCCTTCTATACCTTCTACAAGAAAATGGAGGTTATGGTACGGTACTGCAGTGGAGGTTTATTAGCGCATTCAACATGGGATAACTGGGAGACCTTGATCCTGCGCAACAGCTCATCCACCTCAACCTCTACCCTTCATCTTCTCTTTCCGATTACCCATTTTTGTTACTTCCTTTTTTTTTTTTACTCGATGCATTTACACGGCGTTATAGCGACCTGACACTCGGTTTGTTTCTTGCGGATAATCCCTGAAAAAGAGAAAACAACCTTTCTAATGCCAACGACTAACAACCACGACAAATATCTCGATACACACTATCCAACCTTTATCTACCTTTTAGAGAGAAGACCCTTTTTTTTTTCTTTTCCTACGGTTCTGCCAATGGTGCATACGGTGCCGGTGCGGGTCTGTCTCTTTTTTTCATCTCCCTCCGCTACTAGTTTCCCGGGTCGTTTATTATTTGACCACCTCGTCCTCTCCCTTCTATCCGCTATTACTCTACATAACGATTTGCGAGTGCATGCGAAGTGGAATATCTTACCATCACCAGCACATCGACAGAGAGACGAGAACAGGGAAAGTGGCTCGGGATCCGGCTTCACTTCCTCCTCTCCCATACATACCCTGCGCTGCTTTTTTCCTGCGTTTTGTTTTTTCAGCTTTCAAACCAAGAAAAGTTCTGGGGCAGGGGGGAGAAAGGGAAAAGGACGGACCAGGGCCAGGGGAGAGAGTAAGTTCTTGTTTCTTTTTTCTTTTCCACTCCGAGCTTTTATTAGATTGTCTCGAGACATGTTGCAGCTTTCTCTTATGGGCCCTGCATCTTGTTCTTCCTTTACCCTGAATACGGCGCGCATGGCCCACCTGGCTTCTAACTTGTATTGTTGCAAGAAAAAAAAAGAAAATATATTAATGTTTTATGTAAACATCCTGTTTCGTTTCATGGCCGTAAAAGTAAGAAGCGAACATGTAGTAGAAGCTCTGGTTTCGTATAATTTAACGGTGCCTGTCGATCTTCATGGATTGACACACACAAACCAGACGACATTACAATCTGCTGCTCAGCTTGAGATCGTTGCTCTTCTCCAGCTCGTCTGCCAACACCATACCCTTCACCCCAGACCGGCTCCCGTCCTCTGTCCAGACAGTAGCGGTGCTGCCGTCAGGGTTGGTGACTGGTTTCTCGGGCCAGGTCCACAGCGCAGCAAGGTCGGCATCCAGAGTCCCCTGCATGGCGTCCACGATCTTATCTCCCAGCACAGGCAGGAACTTATACCCATGTCCGCTGCCCCCCGTGGCGATAAAGAGAGACTTGATCTCCGGATGGAAGGAAATGATAAAGTCCCCCGTCGGCCTGTTGCATCCTGTTAATCCTGCAACATTATATATATACATATATATATATATGAGGAACAAGGACAAGGATAAGGGAACTCACGTATCCGTATACCAGCATATCCGTGTCTTTGTAAACGGCCTCTCCCCCAGGGTAGGAAGCATCTCTCTGAGCGCGGTGCGGGCGGCCATCTCGCCTTCGAGAGGCACGCAGGCACCGTGCAGCGGCAGGCTTACTTCTATCTTACCCGGTGCCGTGGGATGGTTGATCAGCGTTGGATTCCTATACCCGTACGCATGCCTCCCTATCTTCAGCTCGTTGTTGCGCGGCGGAATGATGAACATCCCCGTCGACAGGTTCAAGACCGTCGGCATATCGTTCAGCCTGCTCTGTTCGTCGTCCGTCAGGCGGATATACGTGAGCGAATGGCCCGTGGCTTCAGCCCGGCCGCGCAGATCGACTAGCTTCCCTGTCCATGCACCGGTAGCCAAAACGACTAGGTCGGCAAATATACTCTGGCCATCAGATAGTCTGACGCCGGTGACCTTGCTCTGTCCGGCTTCTTCGTCGATAAGGAGACGTTCAGCTTGGCCGAAGAGGAAGCGTACACGGCCCGTCTGGTCGAGTTTCTGTTTTGCATATCTTACTCCGGCCTCGGCGTCGCCCCAGGCAGAGTCCCAGTTTACGTACCCTCCGTTAACGTGGGATCCGACCCCGTAGCCGGGAACTACGCGCCGGACGTCTGCTGGGGTAGGTAGCCGTTCCACTACATTAGGATTCAGGCGCCTGACGTTCTCGTAGCTCTTCCTCATGTATGTATCACTTCCGTTGATGGAAGATACCAGCACCAACCCGTTCCTGTGGTGTCTCCCTTCATGGCCCCAGGGGGTCGTACGCCATTGGGCGAGAGCCGACTCGGCAAGGCGAGAGTACGCCGGGTTGGCGTAGTCGGCACGCAGGATGCGTGAGGAGTCTACGGACGAGCCGTAGGGGTTTGGGATGGCCGGAGCAGCTTCCAGGAGTGCTATGGAGCCTTTGTGTCGGCGGGAGAGCGCCAGGGCCGTGGACACTGATATTCATTAGCACAGCCGACCAAAGCGTACGGGGGGAAGACATACGGCCGAAGACGCCGCCGCCGACGATGAGGATCGAGTGAGGTAGCTCCGTAGCGTCTGCAGCTGAAGACATCGCGTTAATAAGAGGCAGAGACAGGACAGTCCGAGAGGGAGAGGGAGAGGGAGAGGGAGACGATGGAGATGCCCGACCTGTCGTTTTCTTTCCTTTTCTTCACTTCGAAGCGAAGTCGGCGGCAGCTTCGCCGAGAGTGGAGATGCGCTACAGCGTAGGAGAAGTCCAGCGGTGAAGCCATGGAGCAGCTAGTTCGACATCTCCATCGCCAGCATCATCTTAGACTAGCTGTTAGGATAGAGAAAAAAGAAAGAAGATGCAAGGATGACCTTTTTTGCTTATCGATAAGAGTTGGTATGTTTTTTTTTTTTTTTTTTCATGCTGAAATATTCAACATCAACATCGACGAGACGAGACGAGCAAGATGCGTTCGTCGATGGCACTGAGGGCTCGAAGGACGCCTCTTCCTCCCCTGCCAAAGTCGCCTTTGCCCATACGTAGGTCAGTTTGTCATCAAGAACAAGGAGAGAGCTACTTCTAACGGGTGCTACAGAGCTACGCGCAAGACGGAGACTGCCGGGCATGCCTCGCCCTCCACAAGCCCAGGAAAGACTCGACCTGTCGTCGTGACGGTGACTGCGGTAGCGATGTTCTCTCTCTCGGCGTACGCAGGCTACCTGTACACGACCTACCGCAGGGCGGCTCGGTCCAGCCCGTCGTCCACGGCCGATCATGACGTATCAGACCGGTACCGCACGACGGCAGCATCCTACGACTCGGACGTCGACATGGCCGAGCGGATGATGTGGATGGGCAGGAAACGACGGGAGCTGGTGCGTAGGGCGCGAGGAGACGTGCTGGAGGTGAGCGCGGGCACAGGGCGGAACATACCGTACTACCTGCTGGGCGAGAGGAGGGGAGTAGATAGGAACGGCCGGGCGAGCGTGCTGGGCTGCAGGAGCGTTACCTTTGTCGACCTGTGGCCGGAGATGGTGGACATCGCCAGGTGGAAGTACGAGAAACTGGGCAGTAACAGGGAAAAGCAGAAGGGCAACGTCGACGTCATCTTCCTGGCCCAGGACGCAATGGCGCCTGTTGAGCCACCAGGCAGCCGGGACAGCAAAGGGACGAGGACGAAGAAGGAGAAGTTTGACACGGTGGTGCAGACGATGGGACTGTGTTCGCACCCGGACCCGGTCAAGCTGCTGCGCCATCTGGGCAGTGTGACGGAGGAGCGCGGCGGGCAGATACTGCTGCTGGAGCATGGACGGGGCTACTACGGTTGGGTGAACCGGCTGCTGGACGACCTGGCGCCGGCACACGCCGATCGACACGGCTGCTGGTGGAATCGAGATATCGGCGAGATCGTGAGCCAGAGCGGGCTGGAGGTGGTTGAGAGCCGGCGCTACCACCTGGGCACGACCTGGGAGTTCGTCCTGCGCCCAGCCTCGACAGACGCCGGATCTGCTCCTGCATCTGATGCATCTACTGGGACATCCGAGTGGTTGAAGCAGTCTCCTGGCCTATAGCAGAGCATTATGCGGTGTGACTCTACTATGGCGTATGTTGTTGATCTACGGTGCTAGCATCGCCACCTCGGTCGCTGGTCGAGTCAACTTCTGATATCACGTCTGATAAGTGATAGATGGAGTACATGCAACCAACCCAGGGATGGGGCCGGGGCAAGCGAGGTGTGAAATCAGGAGCAGGCAACTCGTCCGTTCTCCGTATTATAGACTCCGCTACTTTTGCCCCCCTGTCGACAGGTCCCAACGGCACACACGACAAAGGAAGTGATACATGTTAGCGGCGCAGGGATGGCGAGTTCGGTGCGCGCCCTGGCCTGCTTCGCAGGTCGCTAAGCGTTGGATGTACATATACATAGTACATAGTATCCCAGGCAACACCTCCTACCACGTCTTCATCCACTACCACCGTCTTCATCCATCATCTACCACCTACCATCATCTATCAACTTCATCTACCACCTACCATCATCTATCAACTTCATCTACCATCTACCAACTTCATCTACTATCTACCAACTACCATCATCTACCAACTTCAACTTCTTCTCTTATAACTCAACTAACCCTGACTAAGCGTACCCACCTGCGTCCTTACCGCTTTAGGACTAGCGCGTCTCCTTGTTTTTTTCCCAGAAAAGAAAAAAAAGAAAAGAAAAAAACTTGCTCGCCGCCTTTTTTTTTTCTCTTTTTCTGCCTCTTCTTTTTTCAACTTTTTTCGTTTTTTGCTTGAAACTTCAACTTCTTCGTTTTCGTCTGATTCTTCTGGTTGTTTTCTGCTTCTTCTTCTTCTTCTGCTTATCTTCTTCTTCTGGTGTTTTCTTTGCAAGCCGTTGACGATGGGATACAACACACGTCGCAAGTCGCTCTCTCTGCCGTCTCTGGGTATTCACATCCCCTGTTCCGGTCGCCGCGCCTCCAGCACGAAGCAGCCGGCCATGGTGCCAGCAGCAGCAGCCATGGGAGCACCCGCGACACCAGCGACGGCCTCGCCCGCGTCCCCCCAGATAAAGAAGCTGAAGCGATCGCACGAGTCGACAGACGGGGCAGAGGCGGTTCTGGCCTCGTCGGACGCTCCCTTGCTGTCCAAGGAGGCCGCGCGAGGAGCTGTCGCTGCTGCCTACCACCAGCACACGCCGCCCCCGTCCCCTTCCACCGCAGCCCCGGACCAGCAGACAGCAAAGATAGACACCGAGGGGATCGCGGACGATATCGTGGTAGCCGTCATCCAGCAGCTCGAGAAGACCGGTAACAGGCCTCATCTCATCAAGGAGCTTGCTGCCGTCCTGTCGACTACCACGGACTCCATCGCAAAGTAAGCCCCCCTTTTTCCTTCTTATTTACCACCTCCATACTGACTGGGGCAGTTCTGCGAACGCGGCTGCTCTGATCTCATCTCGACTGTCGCTCTATCTAAAACGGCCGTGGACTGCCCTTGCGCCCTGTCCAATCGCCAAAGAGCTGATTCCCGTCCATCCGCGCAAGGTCTTCTTCTACCTCACCAACAGTCCCCGTCAGCCGCTGCCGCAAAACTCCCATGATATCATCTCGCCCTCGATAGAAAAGGAGGTGACCCCCAGCCCGTCCAGCGTGGACGTCTCCACCGGGGAGCCGGATCTGGAGCTGGATATCGAGCTCGACTCCCAGACGCGAGACCGGTCCCACCTCAGCCCCAGCCCCGAGGTCGATCTGGACATGTCCATGGAGTTCGACCAAGACGGTCTTGGCCTGGACCAAGACCACTCCGCTGACCCGACCGCCTCATTCTCTTCCATGCGCCAGCACTCCCACGTCCACGGCCATCGGATATCCCACAACCACCGTGCCGCCTCGCCACCGCTGGAAGGTGATGAGCGCGAGTTTACTCTGACGGCGAGCATGGTGCGGGAGCGGACGACCGGGGACGACGGTTCGGCCCATCAGCTGCGTGGCCTCCTCCTGGACACCCCCAGCGGCCAGCAGGACGTCTCCCTCGACATGGACTCCCCTTACCTGGACGACCACCACGCGGGCGCGGCGGAGGAGTACCCAGACTACTTCAGCAGACCCATCGACATACCCTGCAGCAACAGTGCCTCCGAGCCAGACATGGTATACAGCACCTCCCCCTCTCCATCCGTTGCATCGGAGATCTCTACCCTCTCCTCCCTCACCACCGCCACGTCGGAGTGCTGTGACTCGGACGAAGACGTCAAGTCTCACCCTGCCCGCGTACGCGCCCAGAAGAGGACGTACGACATGACCTTCCCCGGCGTGGAGATAGCCCAGCCTCGGAAACCCCTGTCCCTCGACTGCGCCTTCAGCTTCACCTTCGACACCGCTCTCGAGTCCTGGGTCGACTTCCGCAGCCCAGAGACCGTAGAGGTCGACGAACTAGATGCCATCTTCGCCGACATCTAACCCTCTTCCTTTTCTTCTCTATATATCCCACCACCCTATATTTTTTTACCTAATTACTCCTTTTTAACTGACTCTATTTGTACTTCTACTTGATTGTATATATAGGTGCCGCGTTTTCTTTTTCTTTCCTCTCTTCCCTCATGTACTATCTATACTAATCCTACCTGCGCGGCGTACGGCACGAAAACACATCATCATCAACACGGGAGGGTGCATTTCTTCTTCTTCTTCCTCTGTCTTTCCCCTAACACTCTCTTTACGACGTCTTACGGTGTACGGTGCTCTTTTTTTTTCGGTCCTGGTTCGGCTCTCTCTGGTTCGGTGTTTATTGGTGATGTCTTTGCAAACATACAAGCATGTTTCTCCTTTTTATGTTGCTATATTCCATCTTATATCTACCTGCTCCTTGCCTGGCTGCACAAAAAACATGAAAAGAATCCAATCAGAACAGAAATTACTCCGCTTCTCATTTCGGCTTCTTCTTCTTCTTTTTCTTCTCTTTGTCTATGTCTGCGCCGCTCGATTGTTTGACATGCTGGCTGCTTGCTTGCATATAAAAGTTTACTGTCTTTGCTCGGGGAAGTTGGTTGCTTAACCCGTCTACATGGAGTTGAATGATGAATGATGGCATAGAATGAAAACCCAAGATATACATAGTACGGCCAAGAAGGAAGAGGCAGACTATTTGTTTATCTAGTTCATATAGTTCCAGAATGATTGTTTTGCTTTTTATTCATCTGTAGCCATTAAGTCATATTATAATCTATTCCCTAACATGTACGTACCATATACTCCGTGGATATTAGAGAAGTAATTAATGATATTAATGCATACGCTCTTTTTTCCCTTTCCTCCCCCCTTTCCCCCCCTTCGCCTCTCCTTGCCTTGCCCGGTATCATACATCCGGTATTCGAATCGCATCGGCTACTTGGCGATCCTCGATAGTTTCATCTCTGTCAGGCTGTAAACAGCGTGCTTGACAACTTATGCTCCTGGTGGCGGTGGCGGTGGCGGCGGCGGAGGAGGAGGAGGAGGATGTACCGATCGATGTGTTCCATTTCGATCCCGTTCACGATCTCTACTCGATTGAGCTTGTGGAGGTATCGCTGCTACCGGAGGCGGGGGAGGCAGGGGATGTTCCATGCGTTGCTTCTGGTAGGATGCGGGAACACGGCTGTTGGTCGATGCTGATGTCGATGTGGACGGTCTCGGACGTGGTTCTGGGTCCGGGTCAGCTTCACCCTCTTCTCGTTCGCCTTCTTCAAGCTCTTCGCCTTCTTCGATGTCTTCCTCCCGAGCGCTTGTGCCTGGTTGTGGCTGCAGCTGTGAGGAGAGGTTTAGATTCGAGGCGGCATTTGTAAATGAGTTGGTTACTTGCAGGCGGGGTGCAGAGTTGGCTGTAGCAGTTGCCGGTGATTTCGATGTAGATACCGCTGACCGTGGCCTTGACTCTTCAGAGTCTCGCCTTTGCCGTTTTGGCGAGTCGGTTCCGTTTGGTCCAATCTCGCCTGGTTCTTGTTCTTCTCGTTCGTGTTTGCGCCCGTTCGCCTCGCTACCCCGGGAAGCTGAGACTGGCCGTGTTTCACTCGCAAAAACTTGCCTCGTCATATCAGTCGCTTCTTCTCCGTTTAGTGGAGTGGGAGCGTATTTCTGCCCCGGCTTAGGCAGCGGATAGCTATCGTATATCTCTGCCATGCGATTGCAGGCGCGCCGCACCTCTTTCAGATCAACGTCGATCTGCTCCCACCACGGCCTACCCAGTTCGTCGTCTTTGAACGCAGCGTCACAGTGCATGGCAGCCGCATATAGCGCACTTGCCGCAATGGTTCGCGCGCTGAACTGTACACAGAGGACCGTAAATGTTGAATCGTTGACGAACGCCCATGCGGAATTCCGCAGTCGCTTGTCGTCTTGAACCCGGAAGAAACAGATGAAATCATAGAGCAGACGATACGGCTGTTCGAGCTGTAGGTCAAAACAGAGGGCTTCCAGCAGCAAATCCTCATTATGAAGAATGGTATCCCGCCATTTCCAAAACTCCTTCGACTGCTCATCCACAATCACATTGGGCTGTTTCAACGCTACCCTGCAACAGGCCACTATCAGCTCCTTCATCTTCCGGCAGTTCTCCTCCACTTTCGTCGCAAGGAACAGCGCCGTGGCTGCGATCGGGTACGGGTGTCTACCCGGCCTCTGCGGTAAGTCCACCATGCTATACCGCATGAAGAACCGGTGCATGTACACGCTCGCCGTACAGAGTGTGAGCTGCGGCAGTTTCAGCAGAATGCCAACCTGCGTGATGAAGTTCACGCCTTTACTCCGTTGCGTGTGCTCGGCCTCCATAGACATGCCATCGAGTAGTGAAGGGGTATATCGAAGGTCGGAGTCGGTGAAGAGCCATTGCGATTCATTCGAGACGAGGACGGGATTTGAGGGAGAAGGGACCGGTTTTGCTGGTGCCGGTGCTGGTGCTTCCTCCTTTGACGAAGAACCCGCCACCGAAGGCACCGGCATTATGTGTGTGAGCTTGCGCCGTTACTCTTTACCGCTTGTCAAAGCCGTATACATGGATGAGTAGTAAAAGAGCGCTCTAGGGTTGGAAAAGAAGGCAGCTGTGAATATGCGCGAGTAACTGGTACTTCGGGCAAGGAGTTCGCGACCAGCGCTCGTTCCAGGTAGAGTGACAGTATTCCACTATCAGCCAGACTGTCTAGTAGCAGAATGCGAAGCAATAGAGCGAAAGTCATGAAGTAGACGGGCTGGTATCAAAAAAAGTCCTTCAAGTCTCTCCGCTCAATCCAACTTGATAGAAAGATTTTCGGATCAACGATTTTGCCGTCATGTGATCAACACTTTTATAAAAAGTTGAATATGATAAAAGAATAAATTGATAGAAGAGATATTCAAATAGATTAATACAAAAAGGCTCCAATAACAACTCCCAATATTATCCCAATGGTATCATAATAGGTTCCTGCCCAAAGATCCAACGTAAAGATAAAAAGCGACTCCAAGCTGGCTATAAAAACTGTCCAAAGTAAAGATAAATCACTCTTCTTCACTGACTTCACTCTCATCATCACTCTCAACACGGTTGACATAGCGCTGCTGCTGTTGTTCCATTGCTAGTCTTGCTCTCTCCTCCTCTTCTTCTCTAGCACTCTCTTCCAGGGCAGCCTCCATCTCGGCAACCAGGTCGTCCTCAAAGTCTGCAGGTTCCTCGTCATCTTCCGCATTATCAGATGCCTGAGCGTCCTCCATGGCCTCGTCCTCATCTTCATCTTCTTCCTCTTCCTCCTCGTCTTCTTCCACAAGTCGTCTTCCGAGGAAAGTTGGTCGAGGTTCTTCCATGTCATCTTCATCATCACTGCCGGCTGAGGTGTTGTTGGATGCGAAATTGGTTGGGTCAATCTTGAATGCCGGACGCTGTGGCGGAGGAGAGCCCATGTCAATGATAAGGTCCCCGTCCACAATAATATTACTACCAGGTGATCCGGCCAGTCTTTTGGGCTCGTCGTCTGAGGCAGAGTAAGCACCAACCAGGTCCGGTGTTTCCACCGATGGTATGATCGTTTCAACGGGCTCAGGCTTATTAGGCGGGAGCGATATCGCTACGGGTGCAGCCGGCTCCGGTTCTTTTACATTTGTGTTTGTATTTGCATTTCCACCAGTAGCAGCAGCCTTGGGATTGCGCTGCTTCGGCGGACGTAGCGGATTGGCCTGCGCCTTATTCTTGGGTGCAGGTTTCGGCTTGGGCTTGGGCTTTGGCTTGGCTGCAGGAGCCGCAGATGGCACCGATCGGGGTGCTACAGGTTTGCTCACAACATGGTGAGGATCCGGTGTTCCGGGAGTCGAATTTGATTCCACAGTATGTTGTTTGCTTTCCTCTGTCTCCTTCTTCGGGAGGAAGTGTCTGTAATCGTAAGGATTCTCTTCATCGGCTGGCCCTAGATCCTCGTCTTCGCTCTCGTTCTCTGTCTGTTTATTACCGTCCGTAGATTGATCGTTGTTCGAAAAAGAGGTGCTCAATTGAGGGTATTGCTCTGCAACCTGTCGGTCTGTCTTCCCAGGAGCAGACTTTAGATTGAAATTCAGCCTTGTCGAAACCGGTTCGAGAATAAACGCCTTGCGCTTCGGGTCGAATATCAGTACCAGGTTGCTGTTCTCTGCCTTCGAATTCGTAGATTCCGGGTCAACACCACCGCTATAGACATAGGTCAGGTTTGTCTGTTCCGCATTCCCTGCCTTGTCCTGTATCGTGAGCTTGTATCGATCTGGGGCCCCGGCCGAGGTAATGGTTGTCTTCTGCTGCGGCGTGCCGCCCTTGGTCTTGTAGTTGTACGTCACATTCACATACTGGCGCCCTCTGGCAGACTCCCTCCCAGCCAGCTTGTCCCCCAGGAGTATAGGGTATTCGCCTTGCCGTGTGGGGTCGACCATCAACCCCCCGTTTAGATTCGGTGTTTGCGGAGCTGATATGGTAGCCATGGCGTTGACCGTGAGAGGACGACGAGAGGTCTGAACGACTACACGCCGGATACGCTGCAGATGCTGGATACGAAGCCGTAAGAGGCGTAACGGCACCGGCAACCGACCTGAGGAGCGAGGAAACAGCGGGCTTTTTAACGGACAGTTCTGGTCCCCAAGGGTTGGGGTGGAAAAAAGTACCCCGGACTTGCGGGCGAGGCTATGAAAGGAACCTTATAAATAAAGCATTATATCAAACAATCCAACAATAGAGAGCAACGGAGTCAACTCTGATGAATGAATAGTAAATGTGTATCCCTTGTTGTTGCTGGTAGGAAGAAGAAGAAAAAAAGAAAAGCAGAAGTTGGTGAAACAAGAAGAAACGGATGACCAGCCGAAGGTGTTGAATGATGCGAGGGCCGTCTGATCCACCAGCGAACCCTGCAGGCTACGGCTATTTTTATAGATGCTAAGGCTGGAATTCTGATGCTGTGATACTGATACTGTATAGTCTATGGCCGGGTGGTCTTTATGTGTCGATAGTATGCTATGCTATCTATCTGCTGGACACCAGTCTGGGGTAACTAATCTCTATCCAATGGCTGTCGACAGGGGCTTCACTTTGAAGAAGAAGAAGCCCGGAGAGAAGAAGATCCCTTCGCCCCGGCAGCTTCACCACCGGCTGTCAACAGGTCCAGACGCTCGGCTAGGATGCGGTGCTTTCGGATGGCATCTTCCCACTCAGGGACAGCTTCAGCGTCAGCATCAGCGTCATCCTGCTCCATTCCTCCGGTCGTGTCCAGCAGGGAGAGTATCATGCTAAAGTCGCCTCCCAGTCGCCCCAGACTGGCTGCACAGTAGAGTACCTGTGTTAGCAGGCTCTCCCTCGAGCTCTTGTCTCTCACGTTCGGCAGATATTCCTCCAGAGTCTCTGCCAGGAGCTGTGCCAGGTGCATCGGGAATGTAGCCAACGCCGGAGGAAGCTGGGATAGCATCAATGCTTCAAGTGGCTCATCCTCCTTCTCTGACTGTGGTTTGCTTGTTTCTTGTTTGGTTTTCGAGCTGGTTTCTGATTCCGAAGATATGGGTGCAAATATATTCTTATACAAGGACACGATTGCGAAGCTTTGTTCTCTGTATATTTCAATGTATCTCTTCAAGAACCGCTCCGTCTGCTGGCCACCAGACCAGGTGTTCTTTGACCCTTCGCCAGGTTCTCCCTTTGTTTCATTCTGCCGTCTCCGGACAGTCTCTTGGTCCGCAAGCTCCCGGAGCGGTTCAAGAGCGCTTAACATGTTCAAAAGGTTTGCTAGACGGCAAACAAGGAATAGGGCACCGAACGCACCTTCGCCAGCATTACTACTACCACCACCACTGGTTGAGTTAGAGCTTGATGGCTCTTCGAGGTCAGGGGCAATACGCCGCAGCCACCCAATGACCCTCATCGCGGGCGCCAGTCTAATATTCTGAGCTCTAAGATCAGAGATCAGATTGGTAGTCATATCCTTCATGGCATCCTCTGCCTGATTTGATATATCCTTGGCCAACGGCGACTCAGGATATAGCGTCTGAAGCCTCTTGATATGTGCAAACAAGTCTAGAGCAGCTGAATAATTGGAACTGCTCGACAGGCTGCTCGACGACGTCCCACCGGCCCCGGCGGCGGCTGACGAAGTCCCCGAGGAAGATGAGACTGCTGTGGAAAGCAGAGTCGGTAGCTCTAGGATATCAGATAGCCTGTCCACATTCCTGGCGAGCTGGAGCGCCTTCTTCCTCCTGTCTAGTATCTGGCTCTCTCCCGTCTTACTGTATGTAGAAGAGAAGCACACAACTTCCTCGTCCAGCTTCGGTATAGCATCTCGTAGCCGCTGTGTCTCTGTGGCCAGCCGTGGAAGGGATGTCTGTAGTGATCGGTGGTTGTCTGCGGATGTGATGAAGGACTTGTGTGATCTGTTGGCGAGCGCCTGGAGGGAAACAAGGTTCGAATGAGAGGTCTGCGAGAGCGTCTGAAGCTCAGTCGACGTTAAAGAAGCCGTATCAAGGGTTGGTATGTATTTAAGATACTGCGCAGTAGTCGAGCTCGATGCTGGCGGAGGTGGTCGAGGGGCGCCATCCGAGGTGTCAAAGTAAGGGACGAGCAGCTCGTAAAGTGCGTCTGCCATTATTGAGACCGCAGAAGCACGTTAATTCAGTCCATCAATATATATTATTCAATGTCAAGGCCTGGGGAGGCTTGTCGAGTTGCTGGTTGCGGGTTTGTTTCTTCAATGTACTCAACTTCTGCTGAAGCTTTAGATAATCCGGGATAGCTTTGCTTCTTCTTCAACTCCAGGGCTGCGATCGTGGTTCATTTATATCCATACGGACGCCGGAGGTATACTCAGGTGTGTATATACGGAGTATTAATCCCCAGCTTCACGGTTTCTTCAAAAAAAAAAAAAAAACGTTTAAATCTATCTATATCCAGCGTGCTCGTCAGGGCAGGGAGTTATTCCACAGTATGGGCAAACCGCGAGTCAGTACGGAGGTCATAGTCTGCTCTGCATCAACATATGCATAGACTAACAGGTCCTTCTACTGCAGTTAATTATCCTGATCCGACATGGACAGTCAGAAGGAAACAAAAATCGAGAAATCCATCAGACAGTGCCTGACCACCGCATCAAGCTTACTCCAGAAGGCCATCGACAGGCATTAGAAGCTGGCCGCAGACTGCGTGAGATGCTACGGCCTGACGACAAGATACACTTCTTCACATCCCCATATCGGCGAACAAGAGAGACAACGGAGGGAATCCTAAAGTCTCTCACCTCAGATGACCCTTCGCCGTCACCGTTCCCTCGCCAGGGTATCCAGGTATACGAAGAGCCACGGTTGAGAGAGCAGGACTTTGGCAATTTCCAGCCATGCTCCGATGAGATGGAGCGCATGTGGCAGGAGCGTGCGGACTATGGGCATTTCTTTTACCGTATTCCCAACGGCGAGTCTGCCGCAGACGCATACGATCGAGTGAGCGGATTCAACGAGTCATTATGGCGGCTATTTGGAGATGATGACTTTGCCAGCGTCTGCGTCCTCGTTACCCATGGCTTGATGACTCGGATTTTCCTGATGAAATGGTACCATTTCAGTGTCGAGTACTTTGAGGATCTTCGAAATATCAACCATTGCGAGTTTGTGGTTATGCAGAAGGATCCAGATAATGGAAAATACGTGCTACGGAACAAGCTACGGACATGGTCTGAGTTAAAGAAAGAGAGAGAAAGAGAGCGTGAGGCTAACAATATCATGCCGACAACATCTCCTATTAGCCCGAGGAGGGTATGGGGTGGGTGTCCAGATGGGTGTAACCATGCTCGTCACAAACATCGAATAACTAAGGGCCCGTTGCACCAGAGCACTTCGACAACGGGCCTGATGGCCGGGACTGAGAGAGGGGGCCGCGAGGGGAAAGAGGTAGAGTTGGATGATAGATATCAAAATGATGATGAGGACGAAGACGAAGACGAGGAAGGGGAGACGACCAAACAGGGTGATCAACCTGTCCTGCATATAAAGTCTACGTCTGCTCTGCATCACAGATATAAGCGTAGCGAGCCACCTCGCGCCTTAGATGTATCGTGCCTAGGAGGCCGAGACGCTGGGGGCTCGCATAGTGGCGTATCGACCAGCCTCGCATCACCCCTAGCAGACAGGGACGAAGGTTCTACTGTCCAGAGAAGCAATGGCGATGGAAACGGCCGCCAGGGGTCCAGTCTGAAATACAGCAGCCATAAACGCAATTATGATAGAGATGATGATTACGCCAATGATGATGAAGGGGAACTAGAAGATGAACGAGCCAGGCTCGAGGAACAGAGTGTACAGGGGAGCGTATACTAATATACAACTCCTTGCCAATCTAGAAATCCCTAAGGATATTAATGATAGCTACCCTATTACAACTTAGACTATGCATTTTCGCATGCGGTAGCAGATAATGTATATAATTTTGTAGATTAGATTTTGTCGTACACGCCTCGATTCCATTCGATGCCTTGCGGGACAATCTATCGATACTGCTTAATCTCTCGCAATATATTTAACATGCCCCCTGGCCACCACTGCCAGCGGCCTTCTTCCGGCCACAGCCTAGTCACAAAATTGTTACCATATCTATTCACCATCCCCGACAATGTCACAAACGGTAGGTTCCCAATCCACCATGACTCCTCCTCTACTAAAAACATAAGGACCGACCAGTGCGCGTAAATATCAAGCGCAAGTGCTTGCTCCATCGTCAATTCTGTAGAAATCCCACCTGGCCCGGCGGTAGCAGGGCTCTCAAGCCTCTGGTCCAGGAGTGGAAGGACGAGATCCAGGTATGCTTGGGGAGCCTGGACAAGGAAAGTGAGGAAGTACCTTGTCAGTGGCTCAGTTGGCTGTGGAACCACAGACCTACTCGCAAACGAACGAAGCCATGAGGCTACCTGCGGTAGAGACATAGCTTGGGGCTCAAAATCGTCGCTAGCCAAGTCATCAGGCGATAATGACGAGGATGGTGAGGGCTGTGATAAACTAGTCGAAGAGAAGGCATTGTTTCTTATGTCCTTTAAAATATTAAAAGCTGCACTACAGGCAGATAATAATTCATTTCCATCTCCGCCGTTATGGATAAAAGTAGAGTCTAAACGCTTCTGAAGTTTTGAAAAGGCTGCTTTGCCAGTGGCTTCGAGTATTGGGACCATTACATGGCTTCGTGATATAGTTTGGGTTGCCGAGCAGGTATTGCTGTCTAGAAATATTGAATGATTATCAACCCCAGGCTCTGCCCCGGGGGATGGCGAAAGTCCTGGCCTCAAGCTATCACAGTCCAAAGTTTGAAGAGTTGCTCGTATCCCTCGCATGATGACTATGATGTCCCTCGGCGTAGAGGAAAGAGGCTTTTGAGGATCTTCCACCTCTCCTCTTTCCGATAGCCAGTGGTTTATTTGCTGACTTGCAGTAGCAAATGGTACTAGCATCAAGGCACTTGCTAGAAGCGGTTCCAACTTTAAGGTATCCATGGAAGACATTGATTCTCTCATTCTTTCACTTGCTGCATGATAATGCCGATAACCTGTTACCAAGACCCGATTAACTGCGCTCACATCTGGCGGGGGTTCTTTGGCTATCATATCGCACGCCAGACAGGCTGCAGATGCTGCTAGGACGGAATGAAAGACAGTTTTGCTCCGCAATGCCAGCGTTGGAATGCCAATTTGCAGTGCACTTTGGTCTCTTCGGGAACAAGCCAAGGTTCTGCTCGTATGTTGCAGGTAATGATGATACAAATCAGTATCAGATAGTTCAATCAGGGTATCTGTGGTATTGAAGAAGATATTCACTTCCAGGGATGAGCGTGTTGATGGTGAATTTTCCAGGCATGATAGGGCACTTGGTGACGGTGAAAGAGTGCTGCGCGAAGAGCTTGGTAGGGATAATTCATCCCTTCGGTTCTTGCCAGCCGGCGTAGGCCCTGATGGGTAGATACATTTGTAGAAACCGGAAACGCATCTCACACAAGCCGGTTTCTCCTCGTCACACTGGGATAATGTTAGTTCTGTTCGTGCTTTGGGGAATGTATAGAGCCATTCACCTTTATTCTCCGCCGCTTGCACTCGAAACATCCATTCCTCGACTTTTGGTGGCGCCTCCTCGTCTTCTTCTGGGAGGGTTGAATGTGGCTTTCAGGGGTCGACATCTTTGAATATCAAGCTATCAACTTATGCTTCAGGTGTCACAACCACTGCCGAACCTTTATATCTGAGTATATCCCGCCAAATATCTTGCCACAACCCAAATCCAAGGATCGTTACGGGTATATAAATGTACATAATCGCAAGGCTGATATTGGTATATGTTGCTTCCGTGATTGAGCAACCAAGTCTGACTTGGCAGCTGAAGCGGCCTTGGAGATGGTTCTTCATGCTCAGCCTCATTGAATTCCAAATACAAAAGCTAAAGCCACGAGTTGATATTACATACATGGTACTCCAGGGAAAATCCACATGCCTGGCATGTTCCTGGCCGGGTTTGAGGTCAATGGCAGACGAAACACCCCGTTGTTTGGAGTATGGTACCAATCCCAGGATTACAATGAAGCCAAGTAAAAGGCCGAGGTTCCGGCTCGTCCGGGTTATGGTTTTCTGACCTGCATTTCTTTGAGGATCAAAAAGCATAGTGTCCAGTATTATTGGTCATATTTATTGGCTTCGAGAATCTGTGTTTGCCTACGGAAGTATCAGATCTGGAGGCTGAAACCTGGGGCTGAGGGGCGCCCCGTGCCATCCTTGCCTTGCTTAATATAACCCTATATCTACTTTTCTCTGTGACTTCCATCTCTACAGGTTGCTTACTCTGGCCGTACATAGCACTCTTAAAGTTGGGTATATATCTAATATTAACTTCTAGCTATTCTAGTCATCTCCCAAGGAACAAGGAACATAAAACAAGAGAGTTGGTAGTAAAATAAAGTACACGTTGGTTAGCATTGATATAGCTCTATAGTTTCAGTTCATATGCCAGAATAGTGCTCTGTTGAAGGGGCACTGCTACAGCCATGGTAGATGGGACGTTACAGCCCATTTTTGGCCAAGAAATCGTAGGTGAGCTGGTAGCCAGCAGTAGCATTGTTGTGAAGGGTAAAAGCGTGTCCAGTATTGGGCTGTATGGCAACTTCGATATCGGCGGCATTAGGATAGGTCTTCCTCAGCTCCTTCATGTCAGCAATTCCCTTGCAATCGCCGCCACAGATGTAAAAGTCGAACTCTGGAAGCATGTACTGAATTGGCCCCTTGAAGTTAGGCCCGGGCAGCCCAATGATATGGTACGCAGAGGCAAACTCTCCGATAGGAACAGGCTGTTTGATAGCATCTCCATAGTCGAGCATTTCCTTGGTAAACGCGGTCTTGGTATCACCGGCAAAGAAGATGGTTTGGATACCGCTCTTCTGGCACACAACGTAACCACTTGGTCGGTCGAAAGGGGTAGAGCTCGTAGGGGCAAACTGGGCATTGAATGACACCATACCTGCCTTTCCGAGGTACTTGCTCAACAGATAGCCTGTTACGATTGCTCCGTCGGACAGAGAGCTGTGTTTTGCGATGAATGCGGAGGTAAGGAAGGACCCAAAACTGTGGCCGACGTGTACAATCTTGCTTGCCGGTTTTGAGGCCTTGTTGAATGCTGCATTGGCCGGTCTTGCATTCCCTGTTAAGCTGTACAAAGTACCATTGCGAGCCATCAGAGTCAACTGTCGAAGTATCTCTAGTTCCAGGGGAGCTTGAACGACGTCGTATGCATCGGGCTTGTCGGATTTACCCACGCCCAAACGGTCATAGGTGAGGATGGAATACCCTGCTCTGAGCGTGGCCTCGACATAGGACTGTTTCTCGCGATCGAGGGTGGGATCCCAGTATCTCGAGTCATAATGGACTCCATGGGTGGCAATATGCAGGATATCATTTTTCTTTCCTGCAGCCCTGGGAACACATAGTTGGGCGTGGATGTTGAAGGTATCGGAAGTAGTCGTGTTCTTGATGATTCTGGCTGCGCCTGCCGGAGTGCTCCAGGTATCGGAGTAGATTGCCCAGGCTATCGCATCAATGTTACTATCCACCTTGGGGGTATCGTAGATAGCACTCTCCGAGCTAGCGAACACAGGGATATCTAATTGTTTGCAGAATCCATTGGTATGCGTGGAGGAATGGATGGCCGAAGCAGAAACACCGTGGGCAAGCAGCAGGCCGGCCGTAGCAAGAATAGAAGCCATTGCTTGAGGTAAACAGGCAGTTTCAGAGGTGATTGGATGAATGAAGCTTTGAATATATCTGTCAAAGTTGTGGTGGTGATGGTGATAGAACTGAGTATGGGAGAAGCAGTTCCTTATATATAGTTGAGAAGCAGCAACACTGCCCCAACTCCAGCCCTCTTGGAGGATGATATCCTAAAAGCAATGCCATCGTATCTTGTTGATACGATAGCTGACTTGATATCGCGGTTCAGCTACTTAGACTGTAGTTGAAAGTATTTGATATCTTGGACATGAAGCAGGGAACGTATTCACAGTGCCAAGCCCTCGTATAGACACTAGCAGGGGGCGTATTTATACTGACAGAGGCCGTAACTACTCCATCCAGGGGCGTATATTCCACGCCTAGAAGCATGAACATATCTACAGCGTGGCTTACTGACGGTGAAGTTGAAGAGCAACTAGCACAGCGGGCAGTTATGGGTCTGAGGCTGATGATAGTCCTCTACGGGGCCACCTTCAGCCATGAACACCAGCATCGTACCAGTAGATACGGGAGAGAGATCATTAACGGTGAAGAAATACAAATCATTCCAGCGCAGGCCAGCTAAGAACAACCGTCTTCTTGACACAGCTTCGACCGGACAAATACTCCGTATACATACCATGTAGACATTCCTCAGCACTGCCCCCGATTTCGACGATGCCAGCGATATCCTCGAACATCGTCAGAGGGTATAAATACGCCTTTCTCTTTCCATCCTATGTCCATACCATCACCACCATCACCACTACATCTACTCTCAAACAATATCTTCCAAAAGAAAAGAAAAAGAACCATCCATCACCCACAACCTCAACAATCAACGGGCCCTACTTCACTCATAAAAATGGCCGCTGTCGTCCTCGCCATCGGCGCCGCAATCTACTTCACCGCCGAAAAAATCCACGATCACCGAGAAAAGAAACGGGCTTTGAAGGCTAAAAATACATCCAAACACGCTCTGCTTGAAGACGATCAGACCATCGGGGACCTTCCTGCCTACCATAAGGAGAAACTGCCAGCATACGACATGGTAGATCAGCACCGGCACCCTGCACTTGTGTCCGCGGGTTCATCGCGGCACCATCCTCACGGCCGTTAGAAGGTTTTCAAGGCTTTTACTATAAAGAACATGGTTTCATCAAATGGCGTTTGTACATGATAGTTTACCGTTCAGCTTCTCCACCGGTTCTCGCCGTTAGTCTAGTTAAATAAATCACTACGGACTTCCAACCAATAACTTCAAGCAGAGTAATACGTATCCATGCAAGAGAAGAGACGGTCCACAACTTAGTTTAATTTATGCCTCGGTAAAGACAGAATGCTCGCCGTGTATTTCGCGTACAAGCCAGGATATCAGCCAAAGGCTGAGCGGGAGAGCCCTCAGGGCGGAGGGAAGGACGTAAGACGACAAGACATATCGGAGATTAACATATGTAGAGTGGATTGAAAGGCACAGCATGAACAAACGCTATCTTTTCGAACGAAGAAACAAGGGGGTATGAAATAGAGTTGAAAAGACCAAAGGGATAAAGCCGTAAGACATTAATAAGAGCGCACAAGTGTATGTATATATATGTGGTATATTCATCTTTTTTTCCCCTTCCCCTTCTTAGTTAAAACCCATCAAGCGAGGTAAAAGAAAAACCGGAGCCACAGAGAAAAAATTGGAGAAGAGGACGAAAATGTCAAATTTCCAGCTGAGAGAGAGAGAGAGAGAGAGAGAGAGAAATTAATAGATTTGTTTCTTTCAGGGTTTGGATGTAGAAAGTAAAATAACAGAATAAACACGCAAATTATGGCTGATGCAGGGGGAAGAGGGAAAACACGAGACATGGCAAATTGGCAAAGAAAAAGACGAGAACAGACGCAAGATGCACATAGCAGATGTTTTGATTAAAAACCCCCATCACCATGCAGACAGAGGAAATACAAGAAAGAGATCAAACGAAATAGCGATTAGAAAAAGCCCGCCAACCAAAAACCAAAAGATAGAAAATATAATAGTAATAAATATAGTAAAGATGAAGGGGGGGAAAAAGAGAAAAGACTCAGCGAGATGTTCTATGCTTTTTTGTATTTTTTTTGTTCGCTCTTTTTTCTCGTTGCTTTTCGGGGGCTCGAGTAACACTTTTTCTCTCTCTTCGTCTCGCGTCGTTTGCGGTTGAGATTGGATACTCGATAGGCTGGAAATAAAGCAAGCCGAAATAAAACCAGTCAAGAACGTGTCTCGCTGAAACCGAACCAGGGTAAGGCAGGGTAGACAAAGTAAACAAACAGTTTAACAGGCTGGCAGGGATGTTTTTGGTGTAATGTCGACAATTTTTTTTGAGGAAGAGGAAATATAGTTAGTAGCGGTGTGATGGTGATGGGTCGTGAACATGAATTATAAAAAGGCAGAATGGGAATAATGTAGAAGACAAAAACGCCGAAGAGCCGGAAAATCGCAGTGCTAGAAACAAAGGGATAAAGGGAAATGTCTATGAGGGAGATAGCGAGAGAGAAGCGCCTCCGAATAACGATGCCCAAGTAAAAGGAAAGAAAAATTAAGAGACAAAAACGGCGCGAAAGGGGGAATAACGTAACAGTAGCGAGAGGACAAGCAAGGCGTGGCAGCAAGGCAGGAATAAAAAGACAAGTTTGGGTTCAATGGGTATGGTATGTATAGTATGTATGTCAGGTCAAATCAAGTCGAGGGAAATCATCAATCATCCATCCGCGTAGAACGAAGTGAACAGAGGCAAAAAGAAGTAGTAAAAAAGACGTAAAGCTGAAGAAGAAAAAGGCGAAAACCGAAGAATGGCAACGTGAATCGTTACGTCAGAATATTTTTTGGTCGAAAGAAGTCTAGTCAAGGTTGCAAGGAGCTTTTTTTTTTTGGTTGAATCGAATCGAAAAAAGGGTGAAGAAGGATCATCCGGCAACAGGCTGCAATCCGAAAGCGGTGACAGGGAAGTATAGATCATGGTTCTTTGCGCAGTAGAGGCATCCGCAGCCAGGGCCGTGGCCGGTCCAGACGTTCCCGTTGCCATTGTTGATGGGACTGAAGGCGTTTGCATACATGGGAGTATGGACGTAGGATGGCGGCTGGGAGCGTGGGAGGGGCAGCGGAAGGGCGGTAGGACCTGGACGGGCGGTCTGGTGTTGCTGCGGAAGCCAGGTAGCACAGTAAGGTGGAGGAGCGTTGTACGGCCAGGCAGCAGCCGAGCCGGAGCCGTGGAAGTAGTCCGGTGTACTGGGGCCGGTGTGAGGAGCCGAAGGCGGAGAGTAGTCTGATGCAGCGAGGGGAGTGGCGGCTGCGGTGCTTGCGTTGCTGGTTGGGAGCCATGGGCAAGCACCGCGCTGGTACTGTGGCGGAATGGGGCCGTCTGGCGAGAGCATGGCCTTCGGCAGGGCGCTGTGGTGGTGCGAGTGACCGTGGTGGTAGGGTTGGTGACGACGTTGGATGATGTTTGTGTCGATGGGAGCGAGCTTTGCACGGGACTCGTTTGAGGAGGCAGCCGCAGCAGCACGAGCATCAGCCTTTACCCTCCAGCTATCCCAATGGGACTTTCCAAGACATGAATCCATCATGCTTGGTGTGGATGCGTTCGTGAATCTTCCAGTCAAAGCCAAAGAGCCACTCGAGCTCCATGGCGTTGAGGTCCGAGACAGGGATACTGCTGACTTCAGCCCAGGAGCGGTTCTGGAAGGTGTTGTCGTCCAGAAACTTGCTGCCTAGCAGGAGACCGGTGGTGAGCATGCGGTAGACCTGGGTGGTGGCAGGAGAAGACGAGGCAGAGGTGGAGTTGGCAGAAGGGGAAGCAGGATGGACATCGGCGGAGGAGAGCATCCGCATGCGAGAGGCTAAGTAGTAGAGACCGAGAAGGATGGTGGAACTAGGCAGACGCGTGGACGAGAGAATCTGGGAGACATATTTGCGGAACTGCGAAGGAGGCGTGGTTCCTGGGTGGACGCTTCGGAGCATGTCAATATCTGCAAGGACTAGCTTGGACTGGTAGAGAGCATACATTCCATGGGCCATCTCGGCCACGAAGTCGGTCATCTGGTCCATGTCGTAGTCTAGATGAGCCGCCACGCCGCCCGTGGTCTTTTGTTCCTTTGCCTGTTGCTGCTGCTGCTGCTGATGTTGTTGCTGTTGTTGCTGCTGCTTCTTACGCTGTTGGTGCTGGAGGTGCTGGAGATGCTGGAGCTGATGCTGGTCCTGGTGGATCATGGGATCATGACGACGGTACTGTGGTGGTATCGCGCTGTCCATGGGAGCCAGCTTGGTTCCGTGCATCGCCATGAGTCCGTGATGACCATGGCCGTGAGCGTTGTTGTTGTTGAAGAGCATCTGATGAGCGATCAACGGCTTGTTGCCAGCCCCCTTGTTGTTGAGGTCACCTCGTGATCCATGGTAAGGGTTGGGGAAGGTAGGCTGGTACTTTTCATACTCAGCTCCGGCCCCGTACCTGAAGGGGAACCCGGCATGTCCGTTACCAGCGTAGAACGAAGGATCGGTCTCGACGCGAGGAGCGACGTTGGTGTGTGGCGGAGTGGGCGGGAAGGTGTTCAACCCGGACGCGAAGAAGGACGGCATGATGGGCAGTGTCTGTTTGACAGCGAGCAGGCAGCAGTCACAATGGATTGCTGCCTAGGACTGGCCGGTTCAATGCCAGTCGATCGAGCCGTGTGAGACGCTTTTTGTTTTGAATGAGGTATCGTCGAAGAAGGGGTTTGTCTCTCTGTCTTTCTCGCCGTCTCTCCCGACCCAGGACGGGGCCTCGCCCCAAAAAAGGACACTGGCTGCTTTGAAACAGACGACTCCTATCCCTAGTATGACATTTGGGGAGATGAGAAAGAGAGATTCCAGCCTGCGAGGAAAGGGGGAAAAGGAGGAGGAATTATATGATGATCCAAGGAGTAACCGATGATGCCGGACGAGCAAAATGAGCGTAGTAGTCGACCAACCAAAGAGAGAAAAAAAAAAAAAACTAAATAAACTAAGAAGAAGAAAAGAAGAAGAAAAGAAGAAGAAGAACAAAAGACGCTGCGAGGTACTGAGTGAACCGAGCGAAAGGGGAGAAACGAGACTTAGTGAAAAGCTCGTTGGTGGCCGGTGGTCGTTTTCTGGTGGTGGTTGGTGAAGATGGAGAGGATAGATGGCAAAGGGAGAAAAAGGTGAGCGAAACACCCGACGAACACCGACCAAGAACGGACGAGGGAAACACGAACACGATGAGCGGGGACTGAAAAGAGCTTCAACGGTGCTGGTGTTGGAGTTGGTGAAGATGAAGAGGATGAGAGGAAGAAGAGGATGAAGAGAGGAAGAAGACGAGAAGAAGAAGAAGAACTTCGCCTCGAGCGGGAAAAAAAGGCAAGTTTGAAAAGTGTTTTTTTTCGCCTTCTTTTTTGCTATGTAAGGGCGTTACGGGGCTTGTACGGTATGGTAAGGAAAAAAGTTAAGAGGGTCAGGCGGAAGAGGAGAAAAAGTCAGTTTGACACCTTGTAAGTTACATACGAGATACTCTTATGACTCTATTCCTCTTGTTCTTGTTCTTCTTCTGTTCTTCTTCTGTTCTTCTTGTGCTTTGTGGTTGTACTGGGTGTACGGAGCACTGTGTCATGGCTATGCTCATACTATGTATACCGACATCTTGCTGGATATCTTAGATACTGGCTCAAGTTCTAGTCTATGACTCTAGGATGTCATGACTAAGCAGTTAGGGTTACCCGGTCGACTGCCGAAGACGAGGATGAAGGTGAAGGTGAAGAAGAAGATGAAGATGAAGAAGCATGGCATAGAGTACATAGACAGGTCATGAGGGGCCCTCGAGAGTTACAAGATAGAGGACAAGAGGAAGACAAGAGGAGGACAAGAGGAACAAGAGAACAAGAGAGAGAAAAGGGCGTGAAGGGCTGGATGTAGGATGACGTCGATGGATGGGCGGGGAGGTTGGATAGTTTTTTGACAAATAGCAAAAGAGTTGACTCGAGGAAAAAAAAGAGGTCACACACCTTGCATGCATGCATGCGGAGGAAGAAGAAGCCGTTTTATTTTCTTGTTCGTCACAATAAGAAACAAAAGTAAAAGCACCTTCGGGAACCGGGCCCTGGTCGCCGATGAACTCCGTACCCTGGTAGACAAGTAGATAGAAAGAGATAGAGAGGAGGTCACGGAGTCCAGGTGAAGTTCATGGCGAGGTTGGCTCTCGCGCCGTCGACGGCCTCGCCCTTCCATCTGGTCTTCCACTCCCACTCCTGTGCAGCGGCATCCAGGTACGCCCGTCGACAGTCTTCCGGGAGCTCCGCCAGTACGTCGGCCGTCATCTTGAAGCTGGTGCCTCCCTCGCCGTCGTCTGCTTCGTCGTCTGCCTCTCCCCGGAGAGAGATCAGGCCGTTGGAGCCGAGGTCGTGGTCGTCTCCGTCCGGTCCGGGGACGAGGTTGAGCGACGAGTTGGGTGCAGACTCGTAGTGGATGTCGTGGATGCGGAAGTTGCGGCTGAAGATGCCTGGGACCGGTGGGAAGATGGTAGTCTCTTCGCTGTCCTCGTCCTCGTTGTCCTGGCTGTCTCTGTCGTCTATGGTGGCGCCGGCGATACGGCGGCAGAGAGTGGATGTCTCCTCTGGCCGGACGGCCTCCCAGCGTGCATGGGTCGGCTGCATCGTCTTGGGATACATCATCATGTTGGTGTGGATGTCGTAGACACCGCCCAGGTTCTCCCGGCGCAGGCTCGCCAGTTCAGAATTGAAGCGGCTGCAGTTTGTCAGTAGGTATGTATATGTAATATAAAAATGCGTAGAACATACCTGGCTTCACGGACGTGCTCGACCATCCAGTTGTCGCCGGTAACCACGATCTTGCGCTTCTTGACCTCGACCGCCTTGCCAATCGGCATGGGGACGGACGGGACGCCGGAGTGATACACGCTGCTCGCCCCGTGCCAGGCAACGTACTGGTTCTTGTTGTACTTCTCCCCGGCGGCAGGCAGCCTGTCCTCCGGCACCGCCAGCTCACCCTCCACGTCCCCCCTATCCCTCGCCTCCTGGGCATGGTAGTCATCCACCACCTTCCTCCCGCCAATGATGATCCTGGCCCCAAACTCCCTGAACACAGATCTCGCGGTGACTATCCCGATAGCCCGCCCCTTGTACGAATGCGGTATGATGTCCCTCTCGATCAAATCCCGCTTGGCCTCGTCGTCGATGATGATCTTGTACAGAAGCCTGTGCTTCTGGAAGAAGAGGTACGAGTCTCGAAACCCAATGCAGCGCGCAGGCTCGGTCGAGAGCATGTACTGCCTCTCTCCCCGGTCGAGCACCTTGAAGGTGCGGACGCGGTACTCCCGGCCGCCCAGCAGGTTGCCCAGCTTGTCGACTTTGGTCTCTCCTTCCGGGTCCTCGGGCAGGTCGACTTCATCGTCCACCACGCCCAGCACGTTTCCTTCCTTGTCGAGCGCATGTGCGAGACGTGGGCTGAGCTGCCGCGGGACTTGG